TGAGGTGATGGCTTTTGGTGTTGTTTGTGGCTGTCGAGGACTTTGGTTGACGATTGTGTGGCTGTAATCCTCAGCTTTCTCAGTCTGCTCAGCGCTGGTATTTGAGGTCTTTTGAGGTTGGGCAACAGACGTTGCAACATCGTACGTCTTGTCCGTCTCACGTGGAAATTGAAAATTCCCAGCCTCTCCAAGCTGGGCTCTCCAGCGGTCTCTAGTTTTCTCCGCGCGCCTTTCGATTTGTGAAGCAGATGGGATGAATGTGTTGATATCATGCGGCCATTCCGCGGCATTGTCACTCTCTTGGCTATCTTTGCATTCGGGAATAGTGGTCGATTGAAGTGCGACGTTATTCTTGTAGACATCCTCCGCGTTTTGTTCAAGATTTATGTCTTCAGCCCCGGGTAAAGAATGGTTTCCGACAGGTGTCACTGCACGGATGGTCGATCTCATTGCTCTTCCAAGTGATCTGATCGTGCTAGTTTTGCTTCGGACACTGTGAGCCAGTGTAGATCGTCGGGACTGCGGTCGCCCATCGACATCAGTGCTTGGACGGATACTACAGCTTCCAGAGGAATGCAGGTTTCGTATCTGGAATTGATTCTTCCCAGTATTCAGTTCGAGTGCATCACTCTCCGCACCTGATATCTGCCTGATCGGTATTGATGATTCATGAGACAACTTGGTCGAACCAATCTCTCTCATCAAAGCAGAAAAGACCCTTTTTGGGTCAATATGAGTTGTCTTCTCTTCGGTAAGAGTTTCCATAGGCATGGGCTCGCGAAAGGACGAGAGCGGTGGAAGAGGCAATGATTTCCTCCTTGACTCCATCGAGGAATTGGCGCGTTCTGCCTCACTCCCAACGCTATCCTTGGACTCATGAATGACCGTCATGCGTTTGATGGTACGTTGCACTGGTGTATCACCAGTTGAAGTTGTTCCCCAGCTCGTCACTCGGGATGATGGCACCTGGGGAGCATTGACTTCACTGTGAAGACTACGAGCACTGCGCCCACTGCCAGTACTGTCGCTTCGATTCCCAGACCGAAGTTGATTAGGACGAGCGCTGTCAAGCGAGGAAGTACGACCACGCACACGCTGTAGTGTTGCCTCATCTGGGCATGGTATGGAATTTGTATTCTCAGCGCTTGGAGGACTGAAGTGGGAGACATCAAAGTAGTCGCGGCTGGCTTCGATCTGTTGCACAGGAAGGTCATTCCGCTTAGCTGAAGTCCGTCGGAAAACTTTCATGATTCTATGTTTTAGTGAGCCAGAAAAGGAACGTTTCTCTTTCGCCTCTTGCGATGGCAGGAAACCACTGAGGGTGTTGTCATTCATTGGTTTGTCGGCCGTCTGCTCCTCCGACTGTGACGCAGGATGCGTTTCTGATGTACTCTTCGCACTGTCGTTGCCTTTCTCTTGTCTCTTCTTGAATGGTCCCAGGAGTATAGATGTCTTGTGTTTGACTGAATTTTGTTGAAATTCATGTAGGTATTCGTCTCGCGCCTCGTCAAGTGTCACGCCAGGCGCGACAGTGACCGGTATGCGCGGCTCTCCCAAAGGTGAACTTCGAAGCGTTCGAGCTTGTGGACGCAAAGATAGAGGCTCTGACACTGAAGTTTCATTGACCGGCACTGGTGTGTTCAAGTACTCCACTGGTGGTCTTCCTATTGGCGATCCTGTCTGGACAATGCTTGCGTAGTACATAGAGCGTGCCTTTCTGATCTGTTGCGAGGTCACCGAAGACGCAGCGCTTGGCCGAAACGTTTTCTGCTGAGAGGTAGGCCTGGCCTTCTCACTAGAGGTCCTTGGAGTCTGCGCTGGCAACTGTCGTGGTACCGACGTTGATCCACCGATAATCGGCGCCGGATACAAACTTGAAGGCTGCTCCTTGGTCTGCTCTGTAGTTGATATCAACGCTTGTGACAGGAGCCGATTGCCTCTACTCTGTTCAACTTTTGGTGCTTGCATCGATCGAAAGCTGGATCCGCGAGGGGGGAAATGGTTGCCTTGGGACGTGAAAGATTTGCGGCTGGCGTTGCTCTTGGACCTCGCTAGATCAGAGCTTGGTCTGGTGGTACGTCCTGTCGCATCTTGAGTATGTGCCCGTACATATGCCGCTGTAGCAGCCGCCACTGCTTGCTGCCTGACAGCCTCCATATCTATGGGCTCAGCCATGGAGTTGGGACGCTTGTGGACGGTTGAGGCGGACTTGGAGCGGCGGAGACGAGCTTCAATGTCGCTGCTGGCACAGGAAAGCATTGTGATGACGAAGTAAATCTGTCAATCGCTGAGTGAAGGAGGTAAGAGAGTGATCCGACCTATTGAAGCAGTGATAAGGACGTGTTGTCAACATGCAGTGTAAAGAGCGGTAATGAAGCACCGTTGGTGTACGTGGTTTGGAATGCTGAGGTCAATGACACGGTGAGATGATTGTGCGTTGAACCCATGTCTGGTGGTGACTACCCCGTGCTTGCTATTTTGTGGGGTTTAAGACAGTAGCAAACATGTAGCGCAAACAGAAAGATCCTTCTCTCCAGAGACATGGTCGCACCTACGCTTTCAAAGTTGGTCACTTCTAAAAACATTTTACTAATACCACGATAAAAAGTACAAGACAAAGCAGAGCTTGAAGTCAATTGTAAATCCAAACGCAACTCTCACGTAGAATCCCTGCGCTCAGTTGCACCCGGGCGTACTGACAAGGAGTCCCTCCCCTCATCATGGAAACTGTCTTCATCCTCGCCAATCAGCTCTACATAAGCGGACTTCTTGTCCATTACATTGATGGAGAAAGTTACAAATGTCATCAAGAGGAAGATGATCGCAGAGCTCAGAAATGGCAGTCCCAGCCATGCGTCGCCGAACCCTATGCCCAACTGAAACAGTTCATTCAGCAAGGGCCCACCAATCATGGAGCCAAAGCTCTCGGCCATGGCAATTGTACTCATCAGCTTACCTATGTCGGGGCTTGACTGCCCGCCGACAACATGGATAGAGATAGAGCGCATAGCGGCATTGTAGCCTGAGCCCATATTGTATACAAGAAGACCAAAGACCAATAGAGCAGGATACGCAGAGACGCCCATGGCGAAGAAGGAAAACGTGGTAAGGGCAATGGATCCACGTGCGATCCAAATGTCAGCGCGGGGTACTGGGAAATGCAGTTTCTTCAACAGCACAAAGTTGATGAGTGGAAGGACAACGCTAATGGCAACGAGGTTAGCAGCTGCTCGGAATGATAGCAGATATGCTGCTTTTTTGATCTCCCAGCTATAGCGCTTAGAAGCATAGCGCACCAAGAGGGCAATGGACTGTCTGCCCAGCCTGTTTGCGAGAAAGGTGAAGACAACCGTAGCGAGAGTCCAGTCGCCGCGTAGAAATTGGACTGTAGCCTGGAAGTTACGCAATTGCGAGCGAACCGAGAAATGACCCGACATCGGCTGCAACTCAATGGATTGTGTCTCGATATTTTTCGGTTCCTCAAGGTTGCGCAAATGCAGGGTCTCTGGAATAAAGAGCGACACGATGAGGCCAACAGTCTGAAACGCCAGAGCGAGTAGAAGCGGCAGCCAGTCTCCGTATTCCATCAGCCGGGAGGCCATCATGGGTGCCACCATTTCTGCAACCAGAATACATGCGGTCAAGTATAAGAAAATCGTTGTACGCTTTTCCGGTGGTGCGATATCGGAAATCATGGTCAGCCCGATAGCCATGGCAACAAAGGCACCACCACCGATGACCATGAAGGCGCTCGAGAACCACGTTAGCTGCAGGGGCAGAGTCTTGAGATAACCTGCACACACGTCAACACAAGTTCAGACCTCCTTTTCTAACGCGTGCACTTACATATCAGCAGAGTCCATGCATAACTTAACACAATGCCGACCAGACTTGCGGCAAAGATCCATTTTCTGCCTATCCGATCAGCCAGTGTTCCAAAAGGAACTGCCAACAAAAGTCCAGGGAGCGCGTTGAACATCTCTTGCCATCCAAAGATACTAGCCAGTCGCTGCTGCACTATATCCACCTTGCATAGCTCCTCCGGTATCGTTCCATCCTCTCCTATTACCGAGGGGTCTTGCTCCAGATAGTATTTGTAGCACAGGTTCGCTTCGAAGATACGCGTCATGGGCGGGTCGGCAAGGTATGCGCCTATGTCGATGAAGGCGACGAGGACGACGATGAGGCCTACAAGGAGGAGCCATGGCTTGTCTCCTGTAGTGGGCTGCAACGCGTCTGGGGCGTCGATGGACGGTAGGAAGGCCTCCTCTTCCTCGTACGGTTCTCTCGGTGAGTCTGGTTTTACAGCCATCTTGAGGGCTTATCCGCGATAGGGAGCGGTTGGCGGGAGATGTAAGACAGAACCATGCGTTGAGGACAGTTTGTTTACGCGTATGTGGTTACAAAAGGCAATGCCAGCATTCCTAAGAGGTTTCTGCTTTCATGTGTTAGCAGGAAAAGTAAGGCAGAGCCATCGCAAGGAGATCTGCCGTGTCAGATCCGAGGTGTTGATGTTGGGGCTGTGAAACTGCCTGGTAATTGGCGGTTCTCGGCGCGCATCCCTCGAACGCCAAGTGTCGCGAAAGCATAGCCATGATTACGCTAGCGCTGGAGAGGATTCAGTACTCTCCATCGCTCAACCTTCGTTTTCTAGATGAACGCAATGGACGATATGAGATGATGTTTCTGGACCTGCAAGTCAGGAAGTGCAGCTACTTGCGCAGGAGCGACATGAGACCCTGCATAGGTAGTACATTGACGATCGCTTCTCAATGGCGATATTCTAGTGCACCCATCCAACACTCATGCACTTGGCATCATTAACAAGCTATCTTCACCTTTTACCGGAGGTTTATATGCTATATCCCTGTATTGTGCAATCAAAGAATAAATCATCGTGAGGCAAACGTTATCGGTTTTTTCTTCAAATACGCAGGTAACCAGATGTTATTTTAGCAGCCAATATTCCTGCACTAGGCCAAAAAGCCACTTCATACGTATCAAAGCACGGTGGACTCATATTTAAGATACCGGTCACATCTCTGCTCACTGTATATGGCCCTGATGTGTAAGATGCCTCTGACTATCATAACGCTCAAGCAGGGGTTTGAACTAAATCCGATCATATATCTTACCATTGATAGTATATACTCATCCCGATAATACGAAAGCAGAAGCGTGGGATATAGAAACGCGGTAGTATAACTATAATCGCTCAGGAACTTTGAACACTTACATCCGTAGATAGAAAATCCACTCCATATTTTTTACATCAACTATGAGGTTCACGGTATGCATTGCTAAGTCATGCATTAACTGAATTACCATTTCAGCTACGATCAGGAAGGTTTCAATCCAATTTGAAGAATCACATATCCGGTATTCCGACGACAAGATGATACCATTCCTCGCTACCCTATATATCAAGCCCATCCGCGTTTTCTATCCTCTTCACCCGTCCACCCTTCGCATCCTCCCACATCCAACATTGCCAATCCCATTTCCTATGTTGACCTGTCAGCACTCCTCCAAACCAATATTAAAGACCCAAACTTACACATCTTCCACACTTCACCCCTGAGCATTGACGCAAACTTGATACACATTCCGACTACTCTGGAAGCAGTAGCCTGGGTTCTCACCACCTTGTCGGATCGCGTAGTCCCCGGAGTTCCTGCAAGCAGCTAGGCTCGGCCAAGTTTGGTCTAGGCAGTTTTTCGTGCGGGCTTGGGCTTGGATGGGACATGCCAGAGAGAGGAGGGAAACGAGGGTAAGAGAGAGGGTGCTGGGCTGCATTTTTGCGGTTATAGGCTGTATCGATTTTTTTTTTCCAAAGAGAAGGTAGATGAGGGAGGTTGAAGAGTAGGCGGTTCAGAACGTAGCGGTGATGGAGGACAATGGGTATTTATGGGCAAATGTATTGGGTTTGTATATTCCTCTGACTTATCTGGTAGGTATTGCCAATACGATATACTCGACAATCATTTCTTGTCTCGGAAATTTGCTGCTCCAACTTCTAATCTCATTTTTTTCGAGCTATTTTACTGATACGAATAGCCGCTTGTCTGGTTTTTCGTCTAGTATTTTGACGGCTATACTTAACACAACGCTAGATGCTGATGCATTAATGCGTCACGGAGCTAGAAGTTTCTAGCGCTTTGCCGTAACTGACTCGGTGAATCGGACAGGATAAGTCAATGAATCATAAACAGCGCCGATGAATGGTGCAGTCTTGGCTACGCATTACTCCTTCATCCTAGTGCTGTCACTGATAATAGCCTTCGGAATTAGCCACCGTATCCATTTACCGTTTTGACGACCCACTGCTCACTGTTGTATCTATTAGCTCATAACTAGTGTGACTGCAAGGTGCCCCTTACCATACCTACTGCCTTCTCCATTATCCTAGCCTTGCTACCTACTATTCCAACCGAAAAAACATGCAGTCACATATTATGCAATCTGAACCTTGTCAAAAATAGCTTGAAAAGAATACACCAGGTTAAAGCATACCCCGTACAAACAATATCAAATCTTCTTGGAGCTTAAGAAATCTCATCGCGTCCCTTCAAACACACAACAAATAACTCACCTGGTACAAATGATCTCACGTAGGGCATCCTCTATCCAGCCCGGATCTTCAATACCACCTAAATGAAGCTGGAACTAGCAACCTTATTATTTAGTTGCTTCAAAACATCCGTGCCACCTAGCGCAGAGCTCCGTTTGCTTGGCACTGCCGTATCAAAATAAGTTCTACTCGGTCGCTCCCTCACTTGAATATTCGCTCTTCGTTTAGCCAAAACAGTGACAAAAAAGTAGACAGTGACATAGATACAGAGAGCAAAGATTCAACTAAAAAGTGCAGCAGGCATCGATACCTAGTATTTGTCGTTGTATTGATGTTCTTTCATCTACAAAAAAAGAAAAAAACATCGATTTAGCTGTATAGATCACATTGTCTACAAAGTCTATATATTAGAAAACTCAGCCACCATACCGACATCTGCTGCAACTTTGCGATCACACAAAGCACTCCAAGCTCCCTCAATGCCTTCTTCCCCTCGAACAGCATTCAAGACCTTTACCTGTAGACTGGCAAAAGCATCTCCTTTCAAACACCTATTCCACGTCCCGTCTATCTGCTGGGAGAATTCCAACGCGCCTTGAGATTCGATGACACGATCTCGCAGCCCGCTCGTGTTGACCAGGACCTTGGTATTAGCAGTCGCCATTCTGGCTGCAATCTCCTCTTGAGTATAGACTTTGGCTTCGTAGCCCACAGCAACGACGGTGACTTTTTGAGCAAGCTTTGATGCCGCGGCCCTGACTGACTCGAGGACTGCGTTGGATGCGCCGAAGTCGACAATCACTACTCTTGATGGGTCGAATTGCTCCGCCCAGGCCATGGTGCTTGTGTCGTCGTATGTAGCTGCCTTCATTGGCAAGGGCGATTCGTATCGGGGTAATGTGTTGGGGACTGATGTCATTTGTATCAAGGCACGAGGACCGTGTTTTGATACATCTCGATTCCTGGCCATTTCCCAGCCAAAGCTTCGGCCAGTCTTGCTTGAGGCGGAGAGACTAACGACTATGGCCGACGATAAGTCGGCATCCTCCTGGGACCATGGCGCACCGAAGCCAAAAGGGTGAATACGTCGTGTGGAAAACACGCTTGTGTTGAGCAGATGCGGGCCCTGCCAGAGGGGTTTGCAGAGCGCGGTCATGCGCATGGTCTGCGCATCGCTTTCACTAACTTGCTCGTAGCTGTTGTACATAGTCATGAGCTTACTTCGCTGCGCGCTGCGCTCTGGCCAATGGCTCGATGGCTCGGTTGCTTCGAGTTGGAGGTCGACGGCGTGCTCTGAAGTAGGCCACATGCCCCACAGTAGCGACCCTGGCGCTATGGCATCAATTGTGCTCTCGAGGACGCGACCATAGCCCCAGGCTGGCACGATGCCCCATTCTTCCCGATTGTTGAAGGGAGTTGGACTCGATTCAGGGACGGGATAGGTATCCCACCACTTCAGAAGGGTTCCCGATCGGGCGTAGGTCAAGTTGTTGTAAGTGAGGGAAACAAGCCATGTCTGGACACGGACTGAAGATGCCGCTAGGCTTGGAAGGTCCTGATCAATGTGAAAGACGGCATGCTTGGCGTTATCTAGCTTGGACACAACATGTATAGATTTTGCCATTATGCGGCAAAGTAGGACAGGCTTTGGCACTGGGAGTGTCAGAAGTGCGGGTAAATGTAGCCTTTTTACGGCTGCGCATGCAGGTATGGACAGCTTTTTATCTTGTCCAATAGTGGGGTTGAGGCGTGCCACCACTCGCTCTCCAGGAACAAGGGCATCCAAACATAAGAGGTTGACAGAGACGCTAAGGCAGGATGAGGTGAGAGCTCACATCCAGCGGACTTTGGTCGGCTGCACATGTCCGCGACTCTGGGCTTGCTGATTGGCTCACTCTGTGGAAGGTCTAGTCCCCATTGGGCGACGCCCGCGGCATCCCATGTAGAATCAGACGACAGATATGTTTGTCATGATTGTAGCGTCTATGATGAATGCAAAAGCTGCAACGTTATTAGGAGTTGAAAAGGTCTATGAGATAAGCTGCAATGCAAATCTTCTCTTCTGTTTGATCTTGATTGAAAAGCAGATTTGAAGTGTTCCGCTGCCATGGTTCAAGACGCGGACATTCTTTTGCGAGAGATCAATCGGTACAGTATGATACTCCGAGCATCTCCATCTTGGCAAAAGAAACTGCGCGTACATCATCGCAGGTAGGGCGGCAAAACCCCCAGACACCATCTTGCGCGGATATCAAATTCCATGAAGGTCTCAACCAGCGAGGCTCGACTGGTTCCGGTCTGGTGCAACACGTTTGGATTACAATCTCGGGACGCGTTCGAGCCATAGTTGGCCCAATTTTGTCGAGAGCAAATCCATACGCTCGGAACAATCGAGCTCGTAGTATGGATGGTAAGACACAAGGTCGAGGGAGAAAGCTAGGCGGCGAGGTGGAGGGGTTGTTTACCTATACGTGAATTACGAGGTCTGAAAAAAAGTGTGTATCGAAATTTGAATAAATGGTAGCAAACGAGATTGTATGAGAGAGTAATGTTCAAACGAACGATCTTATTGCAGTATGACGAAGGAAATGCCGAAGTTGATGTCGTGGTTGCGGGTGAAAGAAAACTGAAAATGCCCACGCGTGGATGAACAAGGGGTCGTGGAAGTGGGGAAACACCCTTTTCCGGCATCAAAGGGCCATTAACGCCGGTTCTAGCACCCGCCAAACATTACACATCCACTAGCCAAGATCGGGTTCAAGGCTTCTTGTCCAGAAGGCTTCTATAGGCACTGTAGAACACGAACTGGGTTCAGCACGTAGCGTCGCCAGCAGATGTGTCATATGAGTGCGCGTGTTGTTTGCATGAAATCGGTCTTTTGTCGACCTGTCTGCCCAAATAAGCAATCCTCCGAACCAAGGCCGCAATAGCAATCAATCACGACTCACGTACGGTCACCCTCTGCCCTTGCGCCAAATTTCTCGCTTTGCTTTCCACAGAAGTTGATGAAATTTACAGATGTGACCCATGCCGAGATCGCAAAGTCCAGTGCAACAGAGTTTTTCCTACTTGTGGATGTTACACACGTCTGGGCTTTGCATGCTCGTATCGTGACCGCATCAACCAACGCGTGACTCAGTCGGCCATCATAGCATAACTCTAGGAGCGTATCAAGAAAAATGCCAAAGGTGCAAGCGTCACTCAAGCAACCCTGTTATATCCCTAAAAGGTACTATTTCGACCAATGTAAAGCCGAAGGAGGCTTCCACCCCAGCTGGTGCATGCATTTTCTTCGTGCCCTTTTGCTCCTCACCCACTTTGAGATCAACAGCCGGAGCTGTGCGCAATCGTGGTTCACTTTGGGACGTGCTATACGCCTTTTGAAGGATATACGATTGAATCAGATAGATTGTATCACTAAGCCTCCTTTTCTCAATGTGAGCTTACCCGAGATAATGTGCCCTTCGCAGCACGCTGCAGTCGATCTCGAGAAACGGTGACGGTGTCTATGAGCTCTGTATATTCTCAAAGATGCTGCCTCCGTCTATACAGCAACAGCAGGATTGCTTGATGAATCGAGGATATGTAGAAGCAAAGTATCATTTCTTATTCTGTTGACAACATTAATGTAACTACTCGTTCTAGCTATGGGTATCGCTGCCATCGCCAAACGAGCTAGATAATGATCTTCAGACATCATCTTTACCGCATCTTGGCGATGCCAATACTATTTCCAAGGCCGAGATACTCTCACCATTCTGCGGACTAGTGCTAGCTATTCGGTCTTGCGCAAAGTCATCCACCACACCGCCCAGTCGTCATTACCGTTATCGGCATCCGGTTTCTGGGGTCGTCATTTTTCTTTGCTAAAAATTGTGACGATGGTCGAAGCTCTGATTGAGCCTCTGTCTCTCCGTGGCCGCGGTTGATGAGATTGAGCGACAAAAGTTACTGTTTACAGCAATAGACACAAAAATGGATCAGCTCACTTCTAATGTGCTTAAAATCGCCACTGAAGTACGGTAAAGTTGGTACCAACAACAAACTATGGTGAGATTGAATTTTTCCTAAATGTGGCTTACTTCCCGCCAAATGAGGCAAAGGATACTTTGAAGTCTGATCGCTGTGTGATATGATGATCTATCTCTCAACTGGGCATTCGTTAGCTAGTCAATTTACACTGCTATCAAGGCGCTCAGTCGCGGCACATCCCTTGACCAGTCATATTCATGAGAAAATGTTATTCGCGTGTTGTACGTCCCATGGAACGATGTGGAGCCACCAAATGGAGCGTGGCAAAAACTTCTGGTACAGTTATGTCCTTCATGATGACTATGTTCATTCTTTCACATCCCGTCTGGACTTCCGGATATCCGATAGAGATACAATCTTGCGAATAGACAAAGGTAATTTAACAACATAGCACATTATTGTCTTAGAGAGATTGTCCGAAAAATGAGCAACATCACGAAGGTCTTCATCCGAGAACCTCCCTATGAAGCAATTTAGTTGATAGATTTGTTCGTAATAACCACAGATTTCCAAAATCGCGGAAGAAATAACCCAGAAGTGTAAAGTGGAGCATCGCTTGTTGCAAGGCACGTCCCATAACTTAGGGATGGAGATTGGTGAACTACTAAATGGTTGTTAGCTCTAGTTAGGACTGTACCTACCACATGTTCTATCATGGATCGTATGCTTTGCAACTATAGTACACTACAGCTACAGCCAAGTTTTGTCATTCCTGCCGATCTCTGCTTGAAACTAGGCTGTAATACGGCAAATTGGTGAGATTACCAGTTACGTAGTCCACAGAGCCATCGACCAATGGGAGCCTTTAAGACTTTACCTAATACGTAAAGTCAAAATGAAACTCGCAACACCACCGCACTAGAAGCTCCGAAGACAGAATTGAATGACTCTTAGGTTAATAGTTACGTACCAAAAACAAGATTATGAGATATTTTCTGAAGGATGTTTAACTCGTGCTGTCTTCTTCATCATCTGCTTTCACATGACCCTCAAGCTACCATCAGCCGCATCAACTTATCGCTTAATTCGTAGAAAAAAAATACTCATTCCAGCCTTCCAGTAAACGAAGAAAACAAAAGATAAAGCTCGCATTTCTCACCGCTCTTGCCTCTCTTACCTCTCTCGCCCTCGCAGATGAACCAGTTTGGACGGTACATTGCCATTAAACTTAGCACCCAAATACAGTGTACACACCACTAAAACAAGACCAGGGCACAGTTATCCAAGGTAGCTTGAGGCCTTCGTGCAGATACATCGATAGCTATTGAGAATGTCTGTAAGTGATACAGCTTCAAAATCCAGTTCGTGCATGGTAAATGTGCAGTCGCTTGCCTTTTTGAATTTGTAGAAAGGTCCAAATTCGACAATAGGAGCATTATGCAAGGCGAGGAACGGTGAGTTTTATGCCGACAGTTGTTAACTTTGGTGGAAATGTGTGAATGAGTTGTGGTACACGTGTTTGGACTTGGCGGTAGATGGTTACAGGGATTCTGGTAGAATGGGATTGTACTTAACTTGTGGCATTGTAGTATTTTTTGAGAACTCATTATAGGTTCCGGAGACCCCTTTCCAACTTTCTTTTTCTGGAGCTCGACAATGAAACAAACTATAAAATTCGCTCTTGGGCAGCATGCCATCTTCCACGATTTCAAGAATGACTTGCTTTACTACAGAATTCCGTGCCTGTTGTGTCAGTGACACGTGACCTGCTTTTTGTATGCTAGAAGAATACGTTGTGGAAATTACACGATATAAATGATTACCAATGGAGTAGATACACCGAATGCATGATAAGAATAGAGACTGGATTGCCCAATCGTACAAAGTCTTCGGAAGGCAGCTACCGCAATTGTCACCACACATCCGCCCCCACCTTTGTATCTGTGGAATATAAAACGCCACGATGATATCTGCGACCAACCAGAGAGATGACCACACAACGCTACAATTGGAGGCTATGCCAATGCCAACCACCTTTTCTTGGCTCAGCCACGAAGGAATTGTTGTTGTCATCTCATCTACTAGCCGGATGATACAACCGCTACAGTATGGATTGAGTGTCTTCACAGCATTGTATGGAAGGATCTAAGGAGACATATGCCTGAATTTTGTCCAGGCGGTTTCGCGCCTCCATCATGGTGTTAGCCATATCTCCGATAAAGAGTGTTGTGATAATAGCCATGGTGCCTCGTTGGATAGCCTCAAGTTCGATCGCGGATTTGATGTTTAAGTAATCCATTGCGCCTGCTATAGTCCAAAACCAAGCTGAAATAGTAGTCGAAAAGATAGGTGGTCAAAAAAGTCGTAATATATTCATAATCGAAGTGAAGCTGTGGGTATATGGGCTAAGTACAAGATATCCGCCACAGTGGACAGCAGTAAACAACAGTATGCATCAGTGCAAGACCAACACGAAATCCAACACCAAAACTAGACATATACTTATACGTCAATTCCTTGCAGTCTGCAGTTTTCCTGGACAGTGCGTCCCGGGAAAGTATCGGCATTAAAAGTGCACACCGGAAGGTTGAAGATGCACTTGGCGGTGGAGTCAATCGGCAAGATCTCTGGGGTGAAAAGCTGCACACCGTGTTCGTCGAAGCAATCCGAGGGACCTTGCAAGAATGTTTCTTTGGAGATTCCATACTTTGTTATGATCACATTCGGGATGTCAAATGGACTGTCATCGCCTATTCGTAGTGCGAAGGAATTTGGGCGATCAGTAGCCGAAGTGCATAACTTGGAAGGCTGATCTCCGTTTTTGCAGCTGTCGGCAGGGATGGTGGCCCTGTAGATATAGGCCTTTTGTGCTTGTAGTAGGAGAGCAATAGAGCGAAGCTTCATACTATCTGCAACCTTTTTCTGCATATCTGTTTCCGTGAAGTTTTGGGCGACACCCAAGAAGCTACCGCCGGCCAAAATGGAATTGATACCTGACGTTGGGTTGTTGATCTCAGCGTCGAGTGTAGTTCGGAGAGAACTTGCAACGGTAGATTGGTAGTCTTTGACTGCGGTAGCGATGCTCACGCCAATGTCGCTCCATTTGATAAAGAGATTTGGTTGTTCCGGGGGCTTCATTTGGTTGGTAAGGAAGTTGGCAACCACCCCAGAAACAGTGTTCACTGTGGCCAGGGCGCCGGTGAATGGAACGGCGCTCAGGGCAGAGGTGACCAGAGAAACCATGTCTTTGAAAGGGGTAACATCGTCTGTAGGTTCGGGCCAGAAGTCGGCGACAACGGCAGGTATCTCTAAGGACATAATGGAAGCGGCAAAGGAGATGGCAGTATTGAGCGAATTCATGTAGCTGTTATAGTTTTGAACTGCGACCAAGGCATACCTGCATTGCTTATTTAGCTGGACGTCCGAAAGTACAATTATATTATAGTGAAATCTTTGACATAGATCATGGGCAAGCTTACCATGCAGGAAGAGAGACCGGAAGACAAGGTTGGCCGGCGTTGCAAAACTGGTCAAGCCCACTAGAAGAACAGTTGTTAGTCCATTTTCCTTCTACCTAGCATCGCAGTAAACATATCAAGTACTCACCAAAAGAAGTTGGGGGCTCCTAGCGATGAAGCGAACCCCTGAACATTGTTTGTAGTAAGGTTCGGAGCGGCACCCGCGAGAAAACCATCAAGATCTAGTTTTTTCCATGTCGCCTCGTTCAATGCTTCCGAGGGGCAGGAAGCACTTCCACCTTGAGGCAAGGCGATAGGATTTGCTGTGGTGAGCCGAAGCGCTGAAAGCAAGGCAAGGAAGTGTGGTTTGCAATACATGACAGTGGTTCGTGTTCTTGAAGAAGAAAGTTAAAACGAAAGTAGAACCTGTCTGAGACAATGAAGGTAACAGTTTGGTGTCTGTTAAAAGAAAGAAAAAGTGGGAGTATTTAAAGTGTAAGAATGTCCTACTGGTTGTACACAAATCACATCTCGCCCAGTGAACCTACAACCAAGGCATGACGATACGAAGAAATCGTCAAAACATGTAAGGTTCCAGATTAATTCATGTTTCCTAGGCGTGTAATCCCGACTTTCTAGGCGTTTTATGCCAAGTGCGAATTCGGACGTATAAGGCCGGGTTACTGCATAGCAGAGAGATTCGGTTTATAACCTCATTGGAAACATGAAACAGTTTATTTGATACACGGTTCACTATAGAGCCAGCTATCCCCACCGACCCGAGCAGGAGCTATGGACATGAGGTCGGCTGATTCGCAATGGCAATCGTCACTAACTTAGTGCGTGCGCTAGCCCCACCGGTCATATACCGGCGCCCCCTCCACACAAGAGAATACACTTTCCGACGCTATCCCGCTTTTGGTAGCCGTGCAAACTGCGAAGAGCGGGATAGCGTGCCGAGACATATGTCGTTTTATGTGTCAAGGTAATGCCGGTACCACTAGCGTCGCAGACACCCCAGCTCCCTCGTCAGAATCTGGGGTAAATGAACAGGATCGTGACAAAAATAGGCCGACTCTGCACATTTCTGGCTAGATGATCTTGTAAGCAGCCAGGCGAGATGCGGCAGCAGTATGACCTCACTCAATGCACGCAGTCTCTTGGATCATGCAACCAAGGATTGGCCTGCTTGACTTCTAACACAGTGCCGTCTTTTCCATGTAATATCATCTTGCTCTCCCGTCTCTATAACCTAAAAATAATTGATTACAAATTTAGCATTCGTTGCTTTATTGAGCTAGCAAGACTCACTACTAGTAGGCTCGACGTTATTCAGCTCAACGTTGATTCCGTCAACTCATGCGATTCGTATGGTAGATTGACCCCGCAAACGCGCCAAACATCGCATATTTGTCATATCGACTAGGTAAGAGGCATCACTCAGTACACAAAACGCGTTACTAGTGCCTTTTAACTTGGCACTAAGGCCTGTGCGGTAGCAGGTGTTCGCTGCTGGGCGGCATGTCAGGTGCCGTCTCATCTCCCTCACAACCTTGCCAAAAGCATCTTACTCAGCAATTTCCGCTTTTTAGGGTAACCCCTCTCGCGTAGCTCTAGCTATAAATATAATTCTATTCTAAATAGTTACTCGCTAGTTGCCCTAGCACTAAAGTCTCTTACGCGTAGTAGCAGTAGTCTTGGCAAGGTGATGAATCACGAGGTGGCATTTCAAACTCATTATCACGAACGCTCTGGCATGTCTTGTAGAGTTCTTGGATTTTACGAGCGTAAGCAATAAAGGAGCTATGTGCTATAGGAGTAGACTTCTCAGAGACTTAAAAGAGACGTTTATCTTCTCAGGTGGTAGCACGCTCTTTGGGCGCGCGAGCTTATCCAATCCCCCCTCACAATTCTATTTAACATACATTCTAAGAACCTCCCATAAGGCATATAATTGTATTTAGCCACTGCGTGTATATTTGCGTGAATACTACCATTTAACTCGACAATAGCAACTCCAATACACTCTTCGATCTGCGCGTAATTTCCGACGCATCACAATATATTGTTGAAGAGCACAATTGAGTCAAAGTGGTGCAGCGTAGCAAAACGAACGTTGAGTGGAGTAGAGCTCAGTTCGGAAGAAGTACGTAGACCCTGCAGGGTGACCACTAATCCATAATAATGCTGCCAAATGAGCGATCATTCGAACTACTCAGATCATAGATCGAGCGTATCAAGTCGTTGTTTGCCATCAGAAGGATGCAACCCGGCTTACCTACGAGGGGAGTGAAAACAAATTCACCCTCGTCATCCATCAAGACTAGCGGTCGCGTGTTTAGGTCGATCAGCTCAGGTTCGCCTTAGGTTTCCCATTTAAACAATCGCGACTACATCATCGCAAGTGACTACATGCAAAGGTGCTTATGATGAGCTTTATCGGCATCGTAGATCCGGAGATGATTGCTTGGATTTCCCACACTGGGCGGGGCGCACTCACAAGTCCCTGAATTGAACTTCCTTTAAATACCTAAATCGAGAGCAACGCACTGATATTGTCGGATCTAGATCCGGAACACTAACTGTTTTCGCTCGACCGCTTCTCCAGTCCTTGACAGAACCTTTCCTTATCTATGATCGTACACTCAACTGTTTCCTCCCTACTGGTCATGATACAGAGCTACCTAAGCACTAGGGCAGCTTGTGGCTGACCCCCACCTACATAGGCGTTTGCCCCCGAGCCGCGTGTACGCCACCCCCAACCGCGCTCGCCCTACATTCAGGAACCGACTGCTCATTCGTCTGCACATAGATGGTATCCATATCACCTAGTTTGTATATTCTACTACCTATGTAGTCAGAAATAGAAGTGGGCGTCTTAGATATCCTCATCAATTTACGCATATCCTCATAGCTAGCTTGTAATTTCTACTAATTGTAATATCTACCTATGCACCCTAATTGGGATCAGCGTCTTATTTGTACAGATTGAAGATGTGGCAAGATGCTTGCAATATGGCCTACAAAAGCTCAGTAGCCGCCCTCTAGGGTACACTGTTCAAAAGTCAACAAGGGATAATTTCAGTTCAATCCTTAAGTCCCGCACATGCGCATAGATCAGGGCCTCGATTTCCAAAATAGAGATTAGTATCAGTGGAAAGGAACGCTTATTCCAGCAAGATGGTCTCAAATGGATAGTCGTTGACGTCAGATGCCTCGCCATACATAACTCCGTACACATATGCATCGCATACGAGGTGGTAAATAGCGTGCCGGCCGTGATTAGCAATTGGACCTCGTAAAATGAAAGGTACTGGGGCCCCGGAGATGAGGCATACTCGGTCGCCTTTTCTGATGCTCCCGTTTGCCATTCCAAGACGGCCCTCTTGGGTCGTGAATAGTCTTCTTGAACGGCCAATTTCGGACCTATGCATGTGCGCATAGAACCTCGTGATATTGCTATCCTCTTGAGAAGAAAAAGGTAAAGCGCCTTTCGATTCCTGGAAAGCCTCAAATGCAGCAGCTTTCATTTCATCAGACAAGTTATTGAAATTATTAAAACCTCCCGCAATTACGGTTTCAAAGCATATCGCAGAGGCTTTTTTCAAGACTGGGTGACGGTTCTGCCGTCTCAGCATCTCCATTCCTTCATTTATCATGTCATATTGGCGTTTTGCAACTGCTTGCTCATCGAGAAAAGTAGACTCCACAGAACAGAGTCCAGGCTTGGACATCTCTTCAATGGTATCTATGAAAGCCGTCTCAAGAAGAAGGCTCAAACCGCCTGGGGGCCCTCGGTGTAATAATTGTTGCTTTTTTCTAGATTCCGAGGCTGCTTCTCGGATGTCTCTTGGCGAAGTAGCCTTGAAGTCGTTATGTAGGGTAAATGGCGGGGCGAAGAAGGTGCATGAAAAGTCCGGAACCCAGGTAGGGACCGAGCCAAATAATGTTGGTCCATCGATTCTTGGATTAGCGAGTCCGGCGTAACCCAGAATGCGATAATCATAAAGAGAAGGGGAACACGCCACCATCGCTTTTGTGAACACGTTGCCGATAGCGTCCGTATAGTCTGGTTCCAGGCCATGATAGGCTGCGAGGCCGAGAAAAGCGAAAACCTTATCCCGTGGGTCAGTCGCCTTGAAGGACTGGAATTCCAATAGAACATCAGTAAGCGTAACTCGTGGCTTGCCGTCATTCTTTTGGATCAATTCTCTGTGAGCGCATAATTTCGGAAATTGTTTGAAAACTGGCAGACTGGTCCGGCCCCAGTCGGAAGGAATCGAATATGAATCTGGAAGGCTGTTGTAGTTCTTGCGCCTAACCTCCAGATAATCTTTTAAGAAGGGCAGAGACATTCCTAGTGCTCCGGAGAGAAATAATACCTTGCGCGCGAGGCATAATTCCTGAACGATCCAAGCTCGCTCGAACCAGGGAGACTGCAAAACCCGCCCAAATAGATGATCACCGACTCCTCCGAACCTGCTGATGTTGTCAAGCGTGGCATTGTTGTGAATGTAAGGAGACGTTAAATATGACCAAAGAACTGACTCTTCATCGTGAGTGAGATCCCCGTTTCCTAGCCAAACGAGGACACATCGAGCTGCTGCGTAAATGTCTCCCATCATACTGACTTGAACGCCTTTCTCCTCGCAGTCGTCCTGGTTGATGCAAATCGCGTCTAGCCAGATTGGGAGGCCGCTTGCAACTCCAGAGATATGGCGTAGGATAGAATAGACGGTTCTGGTAACTTTGAGATAGGCTCTGGATGAAATTGGCAGGTGCTCTGTTGGTATTTCACCGCCCCAACAGTACGATATGGCAACGAATCTTCCACGTATAGCCTCGATCGAGGTTTCGCTGAGGTGAAACCTTACTTCGTTGGAGTTCAATATCGCTGAGTACCCCAGTAGCCGAATATTCCGAGCACATTGGAGTTTAGGGTATTTGTACACCGATAGTCCGTCTTGATCATCTAGCTTTCTTGCGATTGCAATGTCTCTTGCTGGTTGGAAGAGAAGAAGATGGCGTTCATTGTGAGCTACAACTTCATCCACCATGAAGTCAGGATCGTATCTGATTATAAAGTCATCCATCGTACTGTCCATTTCGAAGAGATCGCACTTCTTCTGGTGGAATACTTCACATTACAGTGAAACTCAGTAAAGCAGGTTCGGAGTTCCCGGCTACGAGTGCAACCCCTCAGCCAGGTATGGGCGCGAAACTTGGACGCAAGGTGATGAATTGCATCTGCGCGTCCGGTTGTTTCAAATAACCTTTATTAGGACCGCTTGGTCCATATCAAGACAGTGCAGTCCATATAAACTCGGAAAGTGGGAATGCTATAGCACAAAGCTAATCAGCGTTGATTGTTAGACGCTGCAATGCTGCTTTAAAGCGCTAGGCGCCACCAACATGCCAAGGGGCTCAACACATATGGACAATGATACACTGGCTCCTATCACAAGGTTAATATACCGAAAACAGAACTCTGGCTCCAGTTTAATACAGCCTATAACTTAGAAAATGATGGATCTCGTAGCGGACGGCGTAGGGATATAGTGGTCTGTATCTCTGCTTGCTAAGCAATTGAAAAATCGTGGGGAATTGGGGTTCCCCGCTGGAGAGAACCTTGTTTTGCATTCGCTCACGCATATCTATTCTAATTACATTCATACATAATAAAATTTTGGTGTCGCATTCTTTGCATCTTTGACAAGCGCTCTACTATTTTTCTGTACTACTGAGGACAGCTGTCAAAACCTGGTTCAGTTCGGACCAATCCGATCCCACCCAGGTTTAGCTAGCTGCACTCAGTTACTCTAGAGATAATTATATTCATACATGGCGAACAATCACTAAAGTAGCTTGCTACTAATTTGTCGGGTGGGAACACTACTGTTTGCGCTCCATCGATATTGATCCATATCGTGCTGTATCTCATTCCAGACAATAGTGTTATACTATAGAACATCCGTTCTACATAGTTGTGCGGCTAGAATCTTCCTTCCGTACTGGAAGCTTAGGCTGCATAACCTGCAAATATTTAACTTCTGTAGCCTACAGAAAGGCGAACAGCATGTACTGGCGTGCTAGCGGTTCTGATTTATCGTCGCGCTCATGGAGATTTGAATGCTCTGCCCACGTTAACTGCAATTCATCTTCGGGTCGCGTTTGAGTTGCCTCTGAGAATGGCCTCGCAACATGACGATCAACATTTGGTGTGCCACGAGCGGGAAGAAGCGAGAAGTATCACAGTGGCTCATTACCTGAACGAATATCGCCAACGCCTGAACGGTGCTGGCGATCATGATCAACACGACACGATCCACCGAGCGATTGCGGACGAGCCTGCAGGGGATCATACAAATCTAGGAGTTTGTACAGCGGCTATTTGGAGCACAAGTCTGCGTCTTCAAGAGCAATCGCCTTCCGGAACAGTATTTGAAAACTTGCGTGATAACGATCCCGCTAGCAAAAGTGGTACCGAGTCCGCTGGGTGTCTCCGGCTCATCTCCCAAGTTGGAGCTGAATTGGGTGCAGGAGTCTTGGAGCGATATGCCTGGTCATCCCGAGCACGCAGCTTTCTCGAACAGTTTTAGGCTATCCTCAAGTTCTATGCAGACTAGGCAACGGCTTTTAGATACCTCAACGCAGTACTGGTGCTTTGGCATGAGTTAGTCCTCTCGGGGAGACTTCCAGTCAAAGTCGATGATAATGACATCTGCAGAGGTATGGGTGAAGTCAAAATCACGTCAAGACACGAAAGGGCACCAAGATGGACATATTCAACTTTATGGGGCTCCTGACCAAGTTATGCATCTTAGTATACAAGAACTTGCTTGAACCAAACCAAGCTGAAGTCCCAACGCACCATGTTTGACCTTTCAGTTTTGGTCCTACCGAAAATTGATCGACTGTTGCATCAAAATAGGGACAAAGTTTCTAGAAGGACAACTTTACACAGCCGAACGCATCGTACATTTAGGAGCACTGAAGTTGATGTAAGCAAGGATGAATCAATGTTCTTTTGTGCTCTGCAAAATAGATGAACCATGTTCTATAGCGTTATCATGAACCAACCAAGTTGCATCCGATTACCGCACTCGACGGATAGATTTCCTCGTACTCTGTCCGCCACTCAAGCCTTCGCCTTGAGATATGTTTGCGTCATCCCAGCAATGATGCCTTTCATGCTTCTAAATAAGCGTGCCAGCTGACCGAACGAACCGAAGCGTATCATTTACATACTCAGTCTATGTCCATTGAGAGCTTTTCTCTCCAGGATTCTGTTCTCAGAACCCGACGACATGAATCAAAATTGAGGCCGCAATCCAGGAAGCGACGTACTCAAGCCTAGAGGCATGCTTTGTAATAGTTCAGGTCAAGTCCAAGCAATAGTAACCAGAGCACTTTCACTTCCAAACACCCCTGACATCGCTCCAAGTTTCTCGGACCCATTGCTTGGACCTGGTCCTAGCATGCCTGAACCTCGTCGTGGTTGATCGCCTGTTTGGTTCAGTCTTGCTGCCTTCGAAATCCATCGACTGTTTTTGTGTATTCGGAGCTTCTGCATATTTTTGTGTGGCCTGCGGTTCGGCAATGGAGTGTAATGATGGGGTCACCGATACTTCCTGAGCCTCCGCCTGTAGCAACTTGCCTTTTATAGCTGGCTCTGTAGCGGTGGCTATAGGCTCAATCGATATATCATCGTAGTCGCTGTGACTATCGTCATGCTCATAGTTCTCGGGCTGTGCTTGCTCGGACCGGGATGATCGGGCCCCGTTGGTGTCGCGTCCTTCGACTGATGAAGTCTCTTCTCGGCTGTCGAGTGTTAAATGCGAAGAGTATCTCCGCAATGTGTTGTTCGTATCCGACAGCGGAGAAAAATTTGGACTGGGAGATAATTGCGGCCAGTCCTGCGAACTTTGCTCAATAGGTGATCTTTTCAGTGCTGCAACAAGGTGTTGGAGATCGACGCGAATGAGATCAATCTTCGATCGTTCTAATGGATTGCAGCGGAGCATTCTTTCCTCAATCACACTAGCCATTGCCTTCGTAAAATTTGTTCCATTTTTCAGTTGAGACAATCGCTACATCGTTGTCAGTATGATGAAAGAATCTGGTCTTGCACAGAGATCATACCTTTTGTACACATTCCTTCAAACATGCATCTTGGACGGTGTTGCTGTCGCCTTTCACGCAAAAGAATTGATCTTTTCTTACATCATCAAACTCAGGCTCATCTTCATCCTCTCGCTCGAGACCAAAGTCTTCTACATCCTGCAACCCTCGCAAATACCAAATGCAGAACTCCAGGAATACGCAACCCAGTGAGAAAATATCGTATTTTTGGGATATCGGTTCCCTGAAGTCTACCTCAGGTGCCCGATAACCCCACGTTATCCCGTCAATCAGTGCTCGAGGAACCAGCGATTTTGAGAATTCGGTATGATATCGCGCAAGCCCTAAGTCGGAAATCACGAGGTGTCTCCGGAGTTCCCCGTGTTCTTCGAACCACAGTATATTCTCGGGCTTTATGTCTCCGTGCCTTCCCCATTCATGTTTGTCTTCATTCTGAAATTCGAGTGAGGTTGACCCCTTTCTTTTCCTCTTACGCGCATGCCACGAACTAAGCCCGTGAATACGACTGACTGCTCGGGCTAGGCCAAGGCATTGCTGAGCTGCCCATAACTCATTTGAAGGGGTAGGTTCAATGGATGAATATTTGTCCCAAAACTGTTGAAGATTCCCATCTGCCCATTCAAAGAGCAGATAGAATGTATTACCATGTTGAAAAGTAAGCAGAAGTTTGATCAAATGGTTCTCCGTTTGTGCGTGTGCACATGTTTTTTCCAGGGCGTGGAGCTCTTTCCTATACGCACGCTGCTCGGACGCGTCGATCTCTTTCAATGCAAACTTTGGATTTTCGGTAGACTGATCAGGTCAGCTACTGATGATTGGTAGGAATGACGATATTATACCCCAGGTTTTGAGAAGTTATGATGACTAGGGTGAATCTCAACTTGGTGAACTAGTCCAGTGCCACCACTCGACTTGGGCTCTATAGAGACCCAGGGAAGCCTTGTCCCGCGGTCGAGCTCATAAGAGCATAGTCCGTTCTCGTGCATATCGAAAAAAGGAACAAAGAAGACCTTCTGGTTCTCATAGAATAGCAGGCGATCGTTTCGGCTCCATCCATCAAGTATGCTGGACTTGGGATTCAGAGTAGATTCCCTTGATTCCTTGAACGGTAAGTCGTTATCCCATATATCTCCATTTATGAACTCCTCAAGATGACCGAGCCGCTCCATAGATACAAGGATGCCCAGAATCCGCGTTCGAGTCTTCTTTCGTTCTAGGCTCACGATAGCCTGGAACTTGTCCAACAACTCAGATTCTAAGGCAGACGAGAATATTTCTCCCAAAAGTAGCATTATAGATGCAGGATTGAATATGTTTCTAAACATATCAAGAGGCAGGTACTCGCCAGCGGCCGGTTTGCTGACTTTCAAACTCTTCTCAAACATTTCTCTAAGAGTCGATTCAACCCATGCAGTCTTCGGTGAATTTGGGATATCACAAAGGGTCTCACGCTCTCTTAGAAGCCCTTTCAGGGCGCGAAGACCATCTTCCTTCATCGATTCGAAGTCTAATGTGCCGGCGGCTGCACTGAAACCAAGGTCTTCGACTTTGTGCACTGTAGATGCGTCACTGCTCGGACTTTTCCTAAAGTCATTCTCATTCATGGGCCGTAAATAACCGTTGTCTTCTTTGACGGTTATATTAGGCCCACCGGGAAAACCTTCAACATCGTAGTTGAATCGCGTTGAGATCGGGCCAGGGGGTTGGCGCTGCGCACGTGACCGTGAAGGTCCAAGTGAGTTTTCTGGAGTAGGCAAAAAGCCCCTTGTATCGTTCATCTGAATCATGCTCACCCAATAAAGGTTCACCTGAAGTGGCGTCCTCAAAGGATGCGTCCTTAGGCTCCCAACCCACTGGGAAAGTCGAGAGCGGGGCGAGAGCAGTTCACTGTAGTTCTTTTGCTTGTAAGGAATAGTAGGCAGAATCGACTACGATAGACAATAAATATGAAGGGATTATGAGAGCAGCGTAACTGAGTGATCGTTCGTGAGACGAACGGTTGGGGCCTGGGGAACGTCTTAAGGCCCGTGAACCTATCCTTCGTGGAATCAGAGCCAATAGAAAGCAACTAAGCTTTCTGGTTTCTAGCTGCATGTGCGTAGAACGATAGGTCTGTGTGCAAGGCAATTCTCCAGCCTTAGGCAAGGCAATCCTGGGGCCAGAATACGGTCAGGTGGTGGTGTCGCACGCAAGTGCCTAAGCTACATTTGGCGCAAGCCTCGTGTCCTGAGACCGCACTGCCTCCACTATTGTTCCCGTCGGCTCGCCAGTTTTAAAGCCACATGTCGCGCATGAAAAATCCGCGGCTGTGACCGATATCTTCAAAGCCTGGAGCGAGTAATGTGTGGCATCTACACTGTGTACTTTGTGGAAGCGGCTTGGAATTTGTGGAGGTTGGTGTCAGCGATCATCCACCCCACTGCCCTGATTCGCGACAGGCTGAGGTATCGGGGTTGGCAGGCTATTTAGGGCAAAGATTTCTTGTGGGGTTGCCTTCTTTCATATCCACTCAAATTTGAGCCTTGCGTAAGTAGGGCGACGGAGCACGATAAACTGCTCCCAGTATTGTTGCTTTAAGCTGACTGGATGAATGACAGCATCGGAGGAATTGGCCCCCTACCCTGAGAATGGAGGCAAATATGGAGTCATTCTACCACGAATCATGTGTTAGAACGGTAGAAAGTCATTCCTTTCCTGTGTTCTCGATGCGCCAGGTGCTAGCACTAAATTGGGTAATGGTATGGTAGCGCTGGAACGAGGTTGAGACTGGGCGGTTGTAAGGCAGTTGCTGCGCCCCCAACATGGCGGCGCCTGGACGTGGCACACACCCATCTCCGGTGTCAGGTGGCGCAAATGCACTCAGCCCAGTTGGATGTGACCAGTCAGGCCCCGCGTAGTCCTTCTGGTTATTAAAAGGGAATGTCGACCGAAGGGTGAGGGTGCTAGGCGGTACTTTTCTGCCTACGATATTTGGCGCGATCCAGACTCAGGCAAATTTTATCGTAAAAGGTCCCCATCTCTCCATCATTTATCTCATGTCTTCACGGATCTGAATACAATGAGCAACGTTTCGTTAACCTTCGTGAGAGAGGAGGCCAACCTTTCTGTCTGGACCGAACATAGCGATCGCATTCACCCCAAAGATCTTTCGAGACATCTCTCGGATACTGTTGGTAGAGAACGGTTCAGAATATCACTACGAAAGAATATATACATCATCTACGTCGATAGGAGAAATGGTGGGAACGATGACGTGAGTCGAGCCATTCAATCTGTGGATGCTGCGGCTAATGGGAAGGAGCAGAATTGCGACCCAGGGTCTGATGAGGAAGAAGGCTCGAAGGAACAAAAGATAGGGCCCAAAACATACCAGGAAAGATTGCAAGACATCAAGCTGGCGGAGAAGAAATTAAGCAGCGAAAGAATACCCAAGTGGTAATCGACAGGGGATTTTGAGGGAGGATGCTATTCTGATACCATGAGCCATTATAGGGTGGACTCAAGTAGCGGTTCTGGCAATGACAAAGCTATGGCCCCGGAGAGTAAGTTTCAGAGGCTGTATCTCGCATTGGGCTGTTGGATTTGATTTGACCGAAAGCATGTAACTAGATACTCATGAGCAGAATGTCCAATTTCAGCTTAATATTTTTCAATTTCTATGTATATTTAAAGAATCAAGAAGCAACAGTCAACGAAAGTATTCAATTTGCCACAAACATGACTCAATGGACCATCAGCAGATATTTACCCAAGAACCTTCATTTTCGATCACTGCTGGCTCAAGTGATGCCACTCCAACTCTTTCGTAAACAAGATCCCTTAACGCGTTACGGCTTTGATGGATAACTAGTACGTGGCGCTTCAGGTCGGATTTACCGTCTCCCATCTTGTCCCTTCCAATGACTACGCACCTCAGCTCTTCGACGGCGAACTCTTCGTTGTCGTCGAACGCAATAGTAACCAGCATATCGTACTTGGACAGGTTGATCCTCCTTGCGAAGCCCAAAAACGAAGCGGACTCAATACCACCAACCACCGAGAAAGGGTTCTTGAAATCATCTACTGCCCAATCAATTTGTTTGAATCTCAATTCAGTCGTGGCGTCCATGTATTGGATGCCCCCCTCTATCGAGAGAGACGACCATGAAGGTACGCGACGACCGAGCGGCTGATCAATGCGCTTCATGCGTGTTATGTCGCGACGTTTCCAGAGTAGCCCTCGGGCGAAATATTCTTCAAAAAGGCCATAGGCAGCTCTGGTCTTGAAAGTGCGGGCGAGTCTTTCTTGCAGGCCCAGAATGGCAACTGACCGGTCTGCAGGCTTAGTAAATGCCAGACCCGAGTATCTTTCGTAGAGATCCTGGATAAGCAGTTGCCTGCCATCCCGGTAATGATAGACAGCGGCTTTCGGGAAGTTTGCGTCACCCAGAAGAGCAACTTTAGAACTTTGGCGGTGTCAGCTCCAAGAAGCGACCTGTTTGGCTAGTCTAAGGCGAGCTTACTTTTCAAGGCGAGTGAGCGTCTCACAATGAATTCCGGCTCCGCATTCCCAATAGACCTGCGTCGAAGTGAAGAATATGGTCCGGCGAGACAATGCTCTTTCCTGCAGCACCCAGCCCCGGCTGTTGAGCGCGCTGAGTTCTACATCGGTGTGAAAGTCATCGATATCGACACAGGCGTAAGTGGCTTGGGCGCTCGTTGCAGGTAACTTGATGACAGTTCGCGGTGTTCGCTCATGCAAAAAGCCATCTAGCGAAGATTCTGCCGAACTTGCGCCAATGGTGCAGTACGCCATGCTAAACACGAGCTCCATCTTAGCTGACTCACATTGCCAGTCATCGTCATCATCTTGGATGATGCATAAAGAGTCAATCCAAATATAGTCAATCCCCAAACCTCGAGCCGCTGTGACAGCGTCCTGAAAGGTAGGTGGCAGAGCCTCGAAATCGATGCCCGCCTTCAGCTGTTCGATGTTACGCTTGTATGTGCAAAATTTTTCGTTCTCTCCCAAAGGTCCCCAGCAGTGACTGAGCGCGACATATTGGCAAGAGCGAATGTTTGCCGTCTCTACAAGACGTAAATGTTGACCTATCTCAATTAGCCGTGTTGGCTTACTCTGTGTATCTTTCTCTTTGCGATGGCAGGTCTCATGGTCCGAGTCGCACACACGGACCCATTCCTTAAGGAGAGCGAAAAACTCGGGAGAAGCTTGGCCGAACAAGATTGGCAAGCCGAATTGTGCGCCGTCTGGAATCTCTAGTTCTGGATCTTTACGGTCATCAGCACTTTTCATCCTGTATATTTGGGGTGTAACTTTACCTGGCTCACAATAAAGGGACAAAAGATTGGGACCACCTTTGAGTCCCACATGGGCAGCATCCTGACGTAATTCAATAGTCATTGGTGCCTTGATGCCTTTATATTCCAATGCGTCTTGTAGAAGGCTGCATAAATCACAATGTTGAGCTCTTGCTTGCAAAACTGCAACCTCGGAGAACTTTTCGAATATGGGCTGTGAGTTGCTAGAATTGCACGAACCACACAACCTCGTGGTAACCGCACGTGGTATGAGTCTCGCCAGATCCCACCCAACTTTTCCGAAGAAATCGGCAGCAAATTCATTGTCTGAAACTGAAGTCCAGTCGTCATTAAGCCTGCTTGATTGCTGTATGATTCAATCACTACCATGGCTTTCATTGATATACAAGGTGCACCTACAAACTGCGGAATGATGATCAGCATGGCCTTATCCCAGAGAGCCGTATACTTACTATCTAGTGACACATCGCATTACTGCATTAGTGAGCTTGGGTAGAATCTGAAGAGTGGTTACTTGCATTCTTCGCGGAAGAAGAATGCTTTGTTAGCTGGTATTCCGGCTTGAATATGAAGCGCTTACATACTGTTGGTGTGATTAGCTTCGAACTTCGATCGATATGATATGCTCAATGAATCTGACATACTTCTCGATGGTCTGTCATTCTCGATGTTTGCCTGCTCAAAGTATCTGGATTGTCATTAAAGGTGGGTGCTTGCAATATCACCTGTGGAATAAAATCGGTCAGATTTTCGAGAGGCTGCTCAGCGGGGAATTCGTCGTCCGGGGTTGGGGCTAGTCTCCGTTCGGGAATTGGTTTCGGAAGGTCTCTTTGTTCTGGTGGCGCAAGATTTCCTCCGATCTTAGCACTTTCCTTAGCTTGGGCAAAAGAAGGATATGTCAATTTCGACATCTTGAGATACCCCTCGCGATGCTGACTCCACCCGTAGATATCTTGTAAGATCGGATGAATCTCACTGGCTTTATGACGGTATCCTTTTACACTCGCTTTCTCGTAGTCTGAAGACACGGGAACGATGAGTAACTTTCCCCGTATAAGCCTGAGTATATCTTTGTAGGCTGAGCCAGCTTCCAACTGTTGGTCCAACCATTCCATAACCAAAACAGCGTACTTGTGGACTTCGTAAGGTTTACCATCCGCCTTCGGTTCCCGCCAAAAGTATCCAGAGGTTCCCTTCCTGAACTGCTCGAGGGCGCTATAGTCGCAGACAAGCCACACGAGAAGCTCAAGTAGAATACAGCCAAAACTCCAGACGTCATATTGACGGGAGCGAGGTTGTCCTTCGCCACGCTGCTCTTCGACCTCTGGAGGTTTGTAACGTCTAGTACCTGATGGCGTGTTCGTGTGCTTACCTGCGCGTACGTTCGTGTGCTCTCCTTTCTCGTAAAAGGTAGTGAGACCAAGATCCGCTATTTGTAGGCATCCTCTGTTATATCCGCGCTTAAATAGAAGCATGTTCTCTGGTTTCAGATCTCCATGTCGTACATTCCGGTCATGAAGAACTTGCAAAGCCGAGCAAATCCCGACGAACTGTCCAAGCAACCACAGTACACTTTCTCGCTGAAGAGCCTCCGCTTCATGTTTTTCCCAATAATCGCCAAGATTACCGCCGTCAGCCCAGCGAAAGATGAAACAACGATCTGGCTTGCGCTCATACGCGGCAATAGGCTTGATCAGATGGGGTGATTCCAGTTCTCGTGCTCGGTTCAAGTTTTCTCTCTCCTTGTTGACCAGTTGCTCCCATTGTATCTCAGGCACTTGTTCACTTTTCTTCAACCTCTTGATTGCAATCTCGTACGCCGGAATTTCGACTTGCCGATTCAATTTCTTTGATTTCCATTGGATTTTTGGAAGTTCTGGGTGGCCCACAATGTGACTTGCGTGGATCACCGCCCGCGACACTTCGCCAAAGAAACCATTAGCCTCTGGTCCCGAAGCCTCTTCCAGGAACGGTAAGGGTTGTAGTGGAGCCAACTCAAAGCGAAACTTTTCCTTGGTCCCAAAAACAGGCATGGTCAAGCTCCATTGATGGCCGAGAAAGAGGTTCCGTCGGTTTCGTGTAAATGTTCGAAGCCACGTATATCGTCGAGCTTTACATGGTCCCTGCAGGCTCTCACCATCTCCATCGTCGTTGAATTTGATGGGTAGAGAGGAGTCGTCAAGATTTTCATCTTTGCAGTATTTCAATTGGTGCTCGAGATTCCGTTTTTCCGTCAGAAGAAGTATAAGAAATAGTCGTGGGGCTCTTGTCATAACGAAATTCACAACATCGTCTCTGCTTACAACGCTTTGGGAGCTGTCGAACTTGGTTGGATCCAGAACTGACTCCACCCTCGATCGCGTGACCAAGTTATTCACCTTGTCCTCAGGCATGAATTCTACGTCGTCATCATTTTTACAGAACGAGTCTGTAACCTCCTCTTCGAGCGTGTTGATAGGTTCTTCTTCTTCTTCTTTGCTGAGCCTGGTGGCACATGTTAGAGACAGGAATCATCGAATTACGTGCAACTTTTCATACATGATGGCAAAGTGGCCATGCGTTCAACCAGGCTGAGGCAGGAATTTCTCGTTGCGCTAGGACATCAGGCTACTTCGATTACGATCCCTATTTAAAACACAAGATTCAACAAGGCTGAACGCCATGGACGGCACATGCGTGGGCGAACCCCCATCTCTATGCATGGTGTTGCGTCGATTGGCGGCAGCTACCGGGCCAAGATACTTCTTTCCGCTAAAATCGGCACTTGAGGAGGACGATGGACGAAAGGTGTGGAAGGTGGCGGCGGCTGCCTTGCATATAAGCGAAAGTGACGCGGATAATCAACAAGGCTATCCAACGATGTAGGGCCCCCAAATGATGCATATGCACGAGTGATGTAACCGCTGCAGAAGTGGCCTCGGCTGAACACTTGAGTGACTTTCACCGGTTTGGTGCCAAGACGAGGCTGAGTTTCGTGTGCTTAGTTCGATCGGTGAACTGAGAGCTGAAGGCTGCGTCTGTGGTTCCATGGCGAAAGTAGCGAAAGTAGCGGGCGCTCACTAGATGAAATATCTCCCGTAAGCAATTGCTGACAAAACCACGGAGGACGAGTCTCATGCCGCTGTCAGTGTCGCCAAACTGGAAACAGCATGGTAAACGATGGCAGCCTGACCTTTGAAGCATTCGCGAAAGCAGAACAAAACCAGAAAAAATGCGTCAAGGAGCGCCTAATGTGGAATTGCCGCTAGTGCCCCGGCTGAAATCAACGCGGCCAAAACAGCGGCATAGGCTGGCGTCGCTGTGAGCAGATTCGTAGAGTTCATTTTCGCAAAAAGGGCATCGCTCAAAATTACAGCCAATGTCTTTGTAGTCGCATACCCAACAATCAGTATGAGCATAGGAACCAAAATGATCAGCCCACCAGTGAGGGCAAACGCGAATCAATTCCAAGCCATATAAAACGCCGCTCGTTTTCCATGCCTTGCGAACGATGCTGCGCTTTCGATAGCTAAACTCCGCGCAAGAGCTATGCTGTGCTCCGCAAGCTCTACGCCGAAAGAACCAATGAGATCCTAGTCTTGAAAGACGATGTGGTGGTTGGAAGTAGCTTCAAAGTCGAAATCGTAAATGAGGACTTTTTTTTAATGTCGACCTAGCTCCATTTTCGATCTGGGATGCAGCAGAGTAGTGAGAAAAGATATATCTCTACGAGCTGTATCTATTAGCTAGTTATTGTTAAAGCAGTTTTACTGAATTTTGGTGTTCAAGTTAGCAGCTGCTTTCTGCGCTTCAGTCAATCACGTAGCCGCGCGCCGACCGTCTCAGCTACCGCTATGACAAACAAAAGTAACGTTATGTTTGTTAAGGTACGCGGCTTACCGATTTTATACATTTATCTCCTTATACTATCACTAAGTAAAAGGACAAGTCTACTCAAGCCATTTTGCCGAACTGTTCTAGACTATTCAGACTAGAAGTTATACTAGAGATTGGCGTTTTTGATCGACTCAATCGCCATAGAAACAGTAGTAAAACAACATTGATAAGTGGGGGTAATGCAAAGATTACGGCCCAATATTCCCCAGGTCCAACTCGATTGTAGAGTGCGATCGCACTTCCTCTAACTTCCACAGAAGGTGCGCGACTATCCAACGTAAGACGACTCAAAGAGAGCGCTGAAGCAAGACCCAGCACATCTTCTAGTGCCGATTGAGAATTTTTGAATGAATAGGGTTTGCTGCGAATATTGTGCTCTGTTGAATTCGAACTTAGGACTACCATTCGTAAGTCTTTCATCCAACCAGCATATAGTATATGAAAGGCTCCTATAGCTGCTGTGGCCTTGATTTGGTTCAGGCCAAATCGTGCTGGAATGGAGCACTCATTGCCTGCGTTCAGGGTACGTGTCAAGGCACCTGTGTTGCGTGCGCCATCCGCCATCGTTAGGGTGAGTTCTCGGAGTTGAATTGATACGTGAATGTCACATCGGATGCCGTAAAGCTTGAGTTTTTCATCATCTGATGTATTCCATGCCTTTACCTGTTCAAGGTCGCCCATTGCTTTTGCAGCGTAAACGGCGTCAACACCAATGTGAGCCATCACTAATGTTGCCTCACCAATCTCTCCAATGGGGCAGATCTTGTAAGCATGGCCGTTGGGACTTTTGTTATCATTCACTGTTCTGTTGGCTGAGCAATTTTGGTCTCCAACCTCAATCGACAAAGTGCTTGGGTCGAATTCTACGTCTGTTGTTCGACATGAGAAAGGATTGTGCAAAAGTGTGGGTGAACACCCATGAACACTAACCAAAGCGGTTCCGTGTCGCATTATGAGGTCGTTGAGTCCAATTCGTAGAGCAGAAACTGGAGTGGGAAACGATGGTGCATAGAATGAGCCAGGGGCGCCTTGAGCCCCAGACTGAACCGCGACCCCAAGGTCTCCATAGCCATAATTCTGTGGGTCTTTTGTGTTTATACCGCCCATCAGCAGCATTGTTTGAGAGGTAGGACAGAAGTCCAGGTATGGGAAAACTTTGTATTCCGAACCATTTGGAAGTTGCCATAACATGTCCGAATACCTTCCATTCAATGATGAAGCGTCCACACCCATACATCCTGATGTAGAATCTTCTGGTAGATAGTATGAGAAAGTTGTCGTTTCCTCGATTTGGTTGTAACTCAGACCGGTGACAAATGCAGTAACGGTAAGGATCGAGATGGCAAATGAAGCAGAGACCCGCCATTGTCCCAGGCACTCCTGTACGGTTCCAATATCAAGAGCGGTCCGCCACCGTGGGTCAATTTGGAGAAGAGACGAGCCGCGATTGAGCTCTAAATCGAAAATCCTTAACCATAACTGTCGCAGTCGAGATAATGTAAAAGCTCTGCACATAGTTCCCAGAGTTGTCAACACCGTAACATATATTGTCTTTTCCACCGTGCTGAGTGATCCATGGTTGCCTGTTGAGCCGGAGAAACGGATTGGCACAAAGACGGCCACCACCAAAACCGTAAACATGGATACATTTGCTAGGACAGCCAAGCCGACCGAGATATCATTGAGACTGATTTTTTTGATAACTTCTTTGTTGACCGTGCACCGCCCCGAGTCGTCTTCATGCAGAATGCAGTTTGTTGCACTCGGTTCTTTTCTACCATGTGTGATATGATTCTGTAGCAACCTGCTAGAGGTATCGGCCATCGAATTGAATATAGTTATATCGAATTGAGAAAAAATAGTAATATTGATATGAGTTTGATGAGTTCTGAAAGCAAGGAAATGGCATACTATCAGATATCTGGTTTATATCAGATACATTGCGCTGCCATAACGTAATCAAGTTCAAATAGTTCGATTTCTTTTTGGTACATCTTTTTAGCAGCATCTACTACTGATCCACTCAGGAAACCGATGCAAGGCTACAGAAGCAATTAGTGCGGCTTAAGCGTTAAACGTTATATGAATACTAATCTTGATAATATAAATTCAGATATACTGCGCAGCTGCGCTAAGGCTATCACTCAGATGATGCCCATTGCATATCATTCAGCTGAGGCCAGTTGCCACCACGTAGCTGAGGCTGAGTATATCACAACGAACGTAAGCTACTAACAGACTAGAAACTAGTTATCAGATATATTAGAGTTGGATACAGGTAGTTGAGTATCACAAGCAAAATGAAGAATAAGGCAACTTTAAAACAAAAATATGTCTACTTTTTACCTAGATGGTTGGAGTCCAGTCGCTGTTTATCAGTCAGGTGGCCTGAAGCATGGAGCTCATGGTGTCGTTGTCTAGGTTCTTCCTAGTAGCTATATTAGTCGAACCGAAATATCATATGTAAGACGAGTATTTGACAGCTCAGCTAGCGGTGCTGAAGAGGGGTACAGCTTCAGCTCCATTTTAGCACAACCAGCTAGTCCGTTAAATACTGACACTAGCTACCCTACCTGGTCTGGATAACTTGGCTAACGTGGCTGACATGGCTGACCTGAACGACCTCGTTGGTTTGGCTGGTTTGGTCGTTTTGGCTCGTTTTGGCTCGTTTTTTTGGCTCGTTTTTTGGCTGGTTTCCTGGCTGGTCTGGTTGGCGGCGATCTTGGTGTTCGTCACGTGATCAAGCGATATCTGAACACAAGAATTTCTCACACCTGGGCACGAGTAAGGCCAGTTGGTGTTGAGTTTCTTAGAGCCAGTCAAATCGCGTTTCTTCTTGCTCAAAAACCCGTCCGGAAACGATTGTAATATGCAGCTAAAATTGCAATCAGACCAGTCCACTGCCCCACCACGAGTGAAGAATTCAGACTACAACCAAAACACAAAAATTAATTCTCCATCGGGTAATCGAACCCAGTCTCCCAGGAGTCGTCAAGTACTTGGCAAGCAGAAAAGCTGACCACTATATTACTGTGGTGCCTGCCGTGATATCCGTTAGACTTTACGTTCTGGGTTACGGGTATCTGTTAATTGTGCTGCATTAAATTTCGGTTTTGGGCGCATAGCCTTGTAACAGTAGCTGATATTTCACTCCCTTGTATTTTATGTTCTTCAGGATATCGGTGGCGCTTTGAAGCAGCATCGCACCGCTTGGTTATGGACACTAATTGGCTTATGTCATCGTATATCTACTCTCCGAGGTTACATAGGTCGTGACTTGACTATGTCATCAAACAATACACTGTGGTAGCGCTCTAGGGCGAGGAGGTACACCGTTCTCGGCCTGCAGGGATGGACGTTGGTGGTGTGTTGAGGCGCTCTGCGAGGCTGAGCTTCAAGACGGCACAGAGTGGCTGTGTCTGACCGGTTCGCCAACGCGAGGAATACGAGCGGGGTCAGGCTACAACATAGCTCCTACAAAACGCGCGAATACATGCAATGAAACATTTTCCCCAACCCTCATACAAATCATGACCGAAGCCGCAGGCCTGGCTCTGGGTGTCGTTGCCCTTTGGAAGACATGCGTAGAGGTGTTCGAGGTTGTCGACTCCGGACGCAGCTATGGTATAGACTACGAGCTTCTCCGTGTGAAGCTCGAAGTGGAGCGAATCCGTCTGGTGACATGGGGCGACACGATAGGCCTGGATGGAGAGAATTCGACAACGCAACCTGATACGCGACTCCAGCAGAGCCATGTGAATGAGACAGTGATGCGACTCCTTGGGTGTATCCAGCACATTTTCGATAACTCAGAGCGTCTGCAGAGTAAATACGGGCTCCGGCCGTCGGAGGGCCAGACGCAAAATGCTAGTATCGATGTCGGGGTTGGGCCTGGGATCTTGGGTGCAGTATTCAGGAGGCCGTATGAGAATCTGCGAAGGGCTGCAAGGGATAGACAGAAAGACACAAAGTTGATGAAGAAGGCGTTGTGGGCTATTCATGATAGACGCAAGTTTCAGACTATGATCATGGAGATCAAGGGGTTCAACGATAATCTGGAGAGCTTGTTTCCGGGATCACGGCTTCAGGTTGCGGAGGCGTTGAAGATAGATGTGGAGAATAGTGCTGCTGTTGAAGAACTTCAGCTATTGCAGGAAGCGACATCAGAAGACCATGAAGTGCTGTCTGACGTTGCATCGGCCAGGCTAGAGGCTTTGGGTGCCAGCACCGTGAGATCAGAGTTACTCACTGAGAGAAGCACTGTAATAGAAGGACTGAGAGAAGCAGACGAGGACATCTGGGAGGACCTTGATCGAGTCGGAAACATCGAAAATGAATCTGCAGAAGCTGGTGACGACGCGCAGACAACTGTCGATCCGGAAATGACTGTGCTAGAGAAAAGACTGGAACAAATTGAGTTATATTGCTCGGCAAAACAGAAAGGTGCCCTATCCATTAGTATTCACGATCCGCAAAGTTATTCTTCCAAGGTATCGGCGTATGTTTATTACGAGGGGCAAGGAGAGGATCGCTGGTGGTCGCGAAATGAAGACGGTTATGTAGAGCCAATACATGCATGCTTTGGTAAGTCTCTGAGTACTGCTCAACATTAAATTACATTAATTTAACCAACAACAGAGCTATACAAGAGAAAGAGGTTCCACGCCAAACGAAAGGAAAAAGATTATGACTTGGGCACTGAAGACGACAATGTTTTGTTCAGCGTCGAAAGCAACTCGGAATACGAAAACGTCAACCCAGGAACTGTCACAGTCAAAGGATTCGCGCTTGATGCATGGGACTACGAAGATACCAACTACCCTCGCGAGTCCACCGTGTTCACCAACACCTCTGATCCAGGAAACATTACTGCTAAAAAGCTGCTACGCCGTATCGACGAACTCCAGAAAGGCGCTGGTAAACTCGGGTGGAATCGTGAAATAGATCTTATGGATATGAGAGAGTTTACTGGAGACATGGGCATTACGTACTACGATCCCTCGTATGCGTTCCAGTCGAGCAGCCAGTTGTCTGATTTATACAGCATGCTTAATCGCTCCGACATTTTTGTGAATTTCCTTGGCACATCAAGCATCTGCCTCGAATGGAACAATCCAAAGAAGAACGGTGGCGGTATCTGGAATTTACTCTGGCAAGTCATCCTAGCCAAGGAGCTTGCGCGGCGACTAGAGAGTAAGACGGATGGTGGTTGGACTTCAGGGTTCACCCCTCGAGTTCTTGCATCCCTAATCGTGAGCGACCTCTGGCTCAGAAATGTAGAAATAGTGCTCGGAGAACCAAGATTCAGATTAGCAGACCTGAAGGGTGTAGAGAACGCAACAGAGAAAACCAAAGCCGAAGATCTCAAGAAAAAAGGCAATGAGGCTCTAGCAAAGAATATGTTCCAAAAGGCCTTTGAGTTTTACACAGAAGCGCTGAAGATCGACCTGAAGGATGCTACGTATCGTTGCAATAGATCGGCTGCCTCATATTCTCTGGGGAACTTCGAAGACGCCATGGAAGATGCATACGTCGCCACAAGAATCGACCCGAAATATGCAAAAGCCTGGTCCAGACTTGGTTCTGCATATACGAAATGTGGTCTCACGAAACGAGGCATCCAAGCCTTTGAGCGTGCCATTGAGCTCGCAGGCAACGATGTCTCCGCCGCCATGCGAACTGGTCTAACCAACGCAAAAGCCCAACAAGAAGCTGAGCTCAGGAGAATCGACGAAGAGAAAGACTTGAAGAAGCACGAAGGGCTGCGAAAAGCATATGTTGAACAAGACTACGACACGTTGATGAAGGGGGTTGAAATGCACTCGCGCTGCCATGAGCAACAGGTCGAAGGACTGCTGTTGTTTGCCGAGAAGATGAAGTGGCCATGGATCAACGAGGTAAGGAACTACGCAGAAGAAGCATACAGTGACTTGCGAGGGGGGCAAACCCTTCCTGCAGACTTGCACGACTGGCTTTTTGGCATGATACTTCCGGGTCAATGGTTTGCATTCAAGATCATGACCGCATTGATCCTGTGCACACCATCCATCAAGGAAAAGACTGGTATAGCCGCCTTCTTCGACTGCGGTCTCTCCCTCCCAAAGAAATCATACTGGAGAGTCCGCACAGTACTCGGTCGAGTTCTGGGCTGTCTCCCAGGCCTTATCTCTCTCTGCGGGTGGATTGGGCCTTGTCCACCCGTAGAATTCCTGTCCCCAGCCCCTGCAGACGCAGACAAACCTCACCACATCCGACTAAAAGCGCGGAACCTCAGTCTCGTAAAACACATATCCCGAGACCCCAGTGCGCCAATCATAATTAGCAGCTCCGGCCGCGGCTACGACGACACACAGCCGAAAGAAGGCGAAGAAATCGAGCCCTGGATGGCCGACATGCGCAACGCAAGCAACTGGATCGTCCCTGAGCCCCCCGTCAAGCAAGTCAGCACTTGCGAATTGAAGACCATACAGCTTAAGCGCAACAACATAGGCATTGGCTCCATCGACGACGAAGAAAAAGTCATGTACCTTGCGCAACTCGTCTTCAAGCGAGACGACAGCCCGGACCTACAAACTTACAAACTCTTCACCAACCCCGTCTTCGTGACACCTCCGCCCTGTCGTCCTGGTCCAAAGGGCGCCCATGAAATTCATCTAAGGGAGCTACATAGATATAGTGAGAAGAACATTTGGACGATCGAGCAGCTGAGGGATCATACGGCTGAGGATACCGAGGATATCGATGTCATGGTAATCAATGCTACGGGAAAGGGAGCAGAGTTGTTGGCGAGAGCTTGGTGTTCGGAGAGGGGGAAGAATGCGGTTATACGGAGGGCGGGTGGGCCTTGTTATGTTTGTGCTGTGCAGGCGGCTGGTCAGGGTGGTCTGCGGACCGGGGTGTTAATTTGGGTTTCTTGATGGCTTAATGGGAGGTTATGAAGTGTGGCTTGGTTTTGTTTGAAGTATTGTCGGAGTGCTTGTTTATTCGGTTTCGACGTCCTGTAGTGCGTGTTCTATTCATTGCTGGTAGCCTTGTCCTTTCTTTTCATCTTGATATCATTTTGCTCTTGTCTTAAACTCGTTTCTCTCGTATATAATGTCATTGAATCACAGCATCAAATGCAACACCATATAATGTCGAACGTCCAAGGAAACTCATATCTAGATTGTTAACCTGATAGCACGAATGTCATAGATTCCGCGCAAACGGTATTGAGATTCAATCCCCCAGATATACTCAACCCCGAATTGCAAATCATCTCCTATTGTCATCCTTTCTCTTCCATGCAATCTAATCATCCCATCTAATATTCGATGTAACTCCGCGATCTCCTTCGAATCTTTCTACTTTCCATCTTCAGGAGCGCGAGTGCTCTTGATTCAAACATTCCACCCCTATTAAAAGAATTAAGCACCACCCGCAGCTTTAATAGCAGCAGCGGTACCGAAAGGCCATGCGAACGAGGGCGTAGCTATTTAGGTAAACCTAGAGCTTCTTAGCTTTTAAAGTAGTACTGTAAGGGGCTGCGCTCTAGGGAGCAATCACAAGGTATATAAGAGGTTGTATTTCATAGAGAGCTAAGATCTTAAGCTATATAGCTATCTATATATAAGCTAGTCATCTAAGTAACTATTAGACTAGTAAAGTCAAAGTATATAAGATAGCTTCTAGTTCTATAGCTATTATCTAAACGCTATTTAGGTAGTACGTAGAGAATGTATTAAGGTTCCATTAAGAAGTAATCTAAACAGCGCTTAGGCTATAATAATTACTTATATTAGCAATAGCTCTAAGTTTTAGTTAGTGATAATATATAGTTTAAGAACCACAACTTTTAGTGATACATTTTCTCTATACTGTCTTTCTATACAACTAGAGCTAGCTATCAAAAATAGTACATTAGAATTCCTATAATAGACCTATAAGTAGTTATGGTATAGGAATAGATTGATTTTATAATTACTCTTATCATACTATACATAAAAGGGTGCTAGAAATCTATAGAATAAGCTATCATAGAGGTTAGATTTTTTCCATCTGTAGTTTCCTACTAATCTAGTCGTACTCTAGTTTAGATCCTACTCGGATGTAGGCCGTGGCAGTGGCTTAGCCGCGGCAGTCGCTCAGCCATTACAACTTCATACTTTGCTGAAGTCTATTTACAGACTACTTAAACTCTATTTTGATTTTATTTTCCATCATACGATATTATAAGCACTAGGATCCTCAATATTACGTTATTATAAGCACGGCATCGGCCATTTGAATTGAATTTCAATGTACCCTAGAGATTGTCTTACAACTCCTCCAGAGTACCATGCAAGAATATCTCTTCATAGTAAACATATCTTGAGCATTCCCATCTGGCTATACTATAAAGCTAGAAGAGGTTAGCCACTGTACCGAGTGTTATCCCTAGTGCAGTTTGTATAGAACTTTATCTCATGTATGTGTTACGCGTTGACAGTGCAGAAAGATAGCGGTGAATGATTACAATCTCTATTACATAACATTCAAATTAGAATCATATATAACAATGTGAACTTATGCTCCTTTTATTCATAGTACTATCAATCCTAAGGACTGCAACATCTTTATACTACCTTAGAGACATTGACTCTCTAAATTCACTACTATACCTTATGAAAATGAAAACTTTCGTACTTATTACTATGTTTACCACCATGCTTAATTTCGTGGGAGGTTCGCCTGAAATTGGGACTGATTGTGAGGACTGTGGCCAGACTTGCTTGGACAAATACCCTCGTGGTGGAGATTTTTACTGCAACCGCTTGTAGCAGCGGTGTTCCTGGTGCGGTCCCTGCCCGGGTTAGGTAATGTAAAATTCATTCTTAATCTAATCGCCTCAAAACTATTTTGATTATTTAACAGACGTACAATATGTGAAAGGCAAGAGCCCTTTGCCGCACTTGTTCTCGTCTATGACCATGGGGCTCCTAACTCTTCGGCGTGCTCTACCTGATAGTTACTTAGGAGACTATACGCTCTACCCCTAACCCACCTAGCTGCCTATATAGATAGCTACATAGCTTTCAGATTAGCTCTCTATCAAATACAATCTGGTTGCATCCTATATATACTATAATCGTACATTCGGCTATGAAAGTGTTCTTAAAATGGCCCGTGCACTGCTAAACCCAACACCAGAAGTGGACTACTTTCACCTAGAAATATCTGGGACCAAGTTGACACTAGGGGATGAGTAGCAATAGCGATAAACTAGCAAAACGGAGACAGCGGAAGTAACAAGACTAGCAAAAATAACACATTGAATGCCCACATGTGTGTACCTGCTGAACGGCCTGCCCTGCGTTGACGGCTGGGCGGCCAGTCATGTTCCGTACGGCGATGTTACTGCATTCATTTGAGGTTGCGGCAAATCGGCCAACACGCTGTGCACTGTAACCCGTCGAGGTAGTACATACACATTACAATGACAAGTGGGTAATGGAGTACGTAGCATCCGGGCGAGATATATCTTATTCACATCCTTAGCCCAATCCCACAGCACCTGTTCTACATATGTAACCTTAATGATGCTGTGTCGAGCCTTCGGGGTGAAGTCTAAATCCTTTGTGTCCAGATGGGCTTGTGGCTAGGACCTGATAGCGCGACAACGTACATCTCGTGACTTAGATACGGAGGTTAATCAAGATACCTCTTCCTCTCCATAACTAACTAAGTAAGAAAAAGAATTCTCGCTTGATGACAGAGAGACGTCAAATTTAGAGAATGTGCCTATAGCAGCGAAACTTCATCATACTAGGCAACCAAAAAAAGGACAAAAAGAGGACAAAAAAGGAAGCTCTCCAGCGGGGAATTGAACCCCGGTCTCCCGCGATCTGTCAATTGCTTGACAAGCGGAAATACTGACCACTATACTACTGAAGATGTCGAACAGGATCTTGTTGACCCGATTGATGGAAGACAGGCAAACTACATGGTATATGACCTGTTATTTTTTGTTGATAAAAAAGCGAAATATCGTGGTTTTGTTCGATGTCTTTTTTGTCAGGCGGGATCGCCGGAGGTGGAGTCGGCAAGGGAAAAAGTGGGGTAGGGCTGGTAGGGCTGGGCTAGTGGAAAGCTAGAGCCCTGCTTGGCCGCAAATTGCCGAGTTGGTAATGCGGGTACTTTGGTATTTGTTGAAAGAGGTAGGCAGCGGGCGGGACTCGTAGCGAATATGTTAAGAATGCAAGTGCTGTATCGTAGTCGTGAGATCCGTCTTATCAACCAATTAGCCTCCCAGTGCTGACATCTGTAGCAGGTGCATCACGCATTCAAGGGTCCTATACGGGATATCTCCCCTGAAGACGCAACTTCGCATGGCGAGGAAACTTGACTGGTGGTTTAGATGACCAAACGTTTCATTTGGGCCTGAGCTGAACCCGCCATCCTTGCAGACTTGCTTCCGTATGGGTGCGAATCATTTCGTACGTCACAAGTAGGGTCTAATTAGTCCCTGCATTTTGCAATCACGTTTTTGGGCTGTTTTCTTTGGTTAGCGACTTATCTGTTTGTGATGATTTAGCGTCACGTGACCGTTGTGCAACAGGCTGAGTCTGCAAGTGATCTTTGGATGTAGTAGAACCTACCAAAAAGGGTTTTTGTTTCTGGGCGCTTATTAAACCTCTGGATTGCTAGCTAGAAAATGGACATGCGTTGTCACCAGAGAGGAGAAGACATTGGGCATGTCAGCACTCAAGAGGGCTGAATATAGTATACTATCGCTCATGTCATCGAGCTCCGCTTTGCCCTTGATAATGCGTATATACTAAAAATAGTTGAAGTTAGAGAGCTTTTTCAAACTGGAGTCTATATCTATGTTTCAAACCGCTAAACGTAGTCGCAAAATGCGTAAACACATAGGCTCTCAACCGCATGCAACATAGGAACGCTGCTAAGGTTGACGAGGAATCGAAATTTCGGCCTCCAATGTAAATACATAGATACAAAACACCCTATTACTCCGCGCTTTACTTAATCTACGTATGAAGGCGCATGATGTAGCAACGTCAAAGCAGAACATTATCCAAGTACGAATACCTTTCAGACCTACAAATTCGTGTTGTATATATTGTCATTATTTCTCCCTCCATCCCTTTCTGGGCCTTCTCATACTGCACCCCTTGCATACCCCATCATGATATCTCTCCCACAATTTTCAATCCTAGCTCTACCCTCTAACCCGCTTGACACTGTGTAGGCGCATCTCCATAGACCCAATAAACCTGGCCTATTTGCTCTGGATAGTCACTACACTATTTGGCTAAGTTAGTAATGCTTAGAATGATGATATGTCAATGTGTACGCACTCCGCCATGACCACAAGGGAAGTGATATAAAAGTGCGCCATTGGTGACTCCGCATTTTCCATCGGGAAGGCATATCTACTTCGGGATTAGAGTGGGATCTGGCGCAATCGTTATTGAGACTTACGCCTCTACATCCGTTTGGCGAGAGACAGCCGACTTTTTTGCCGCGAGGTTCGGGCAGGGCTTTTGCGAGAGAGGAAAGGAGGGAGATAACGGGTGTGGAAAGTAGCATTCTGATATGATAGTCAGAGGTAACTTTGCCAGAGAAGCGAGGTAGACAGTGTACCATGGTACATATATAGGTATGGAGTGATCATAACCTTTTATAACTCTAGCTTTTGTAGACTAGCTATAGCTTCACAGTGCAGTCGGCGATTTTCGTGATGCGCAAAGCCATAATCTTTTACTTGTTTGATCAGCGTCACAACTCGGCCCTATAGACGCCGTGTCACGATACTCCATTACTAGTTGGGTCTGCAGAGGAATAGCCGTGGGGAGCTGGTTCGGTGTAACATGCTAGAACTTTCTACTCCCTGACTCTTATCTGGAACTACGGCATTTCTCTAGCATCCACCTTACTCTATCAACTACATAATCAGCCTGATAACTTTTTCAATCTCCGATACGCAGTGTATTAGATCTTGAGCAATGCCCACGCGCTGACCGTGATGTCCTGCTAAAGCTTGCGTTCTAGCACGTAGAAATAAACATTAGTGTGTAAATCACAAAGACAAGGTGCCTGGTGCATACTCGTAGTGCTAGTTAAAGTAGGCACAAACCTTGCAAAGACTGGTGAAAAAGTAAAATAAGGAATGGAAGTGAGTTAATGGAATGTCAAGATCAATAACTGCACCGATGATAGCCAAATTCAAACATGTCATAGCGGCATTTAGTGCCCCCTTAAACCATGGCTTTATCGGATAAGATCTCCAATAGGTGGGTAAATACGGTAAAACGCAGATATTTAGCCAAATGCTAGGTACAGGAAAGCCGCATTTACGCCTATATTAGACTATGTTCGAGTCAGACAGTCAAGATAGGAATGCATTTCGCGTCTATCACAATACCAAAACAACCATAGGCCTGCGATGTGTAAGTTTCGTCCATATAATGATTACTCCGTAAACCTTAGGTGCTGAGGCTTGATACGAAGTTATATGGATAGAGTTGTAAATGGAGAGGCTCCCACTATGCCACACACCCCGACATCGGAATCGTAAATCTTGTAGAGCTGATTGCTTTTCCAACTACTACATTTAACTAGGCCGGGAAGTTTCGAGGTCGCGCATATGCTTGTGACTGGAGAGGGTTTGCTGTTCCAACACAGTGCGTTATGGTATCATTTCGCTTGCTAGAACTATTAGAAACGCTATTTTTGGAAAAAAATATCTTCACACGACCGTGCTTCGTTATGGGTAGCGATACCGCCATCTCCGAATTGAACCGGACACACAATACGAGCGATCAGCGGGGTCGGATATCAACGTTGGTTGTGAAGGAGATTCAAATTGAAACGTAGTGATAGGAGGGATGCTTATCTTTCGTGATAGATAACTAAGCGTGCCCTCGCTTTGTCCTCCGTATCCCCGTATCCTAGAACTACAAGTCACTGAAATAGTACGAAGTTCCGGATGCTCGGCTAGTTGTATCTCCAAACCGGAGTCACGCAGAAGTAATAATCGACGCATTATTCAATACACTACTGAAGATGGTGAACCGGGATCTTAGTGATTCGAGTGGTGGTCCTATTCCCAAATGATTTTATTACGTATACATATTCGTGGCACAAAACCCAAGGCAGAGCGCGGGAAGGAGGGGCTTCTGGTGTGGATCTTTTTCTCTCTAGTTAAGCGGGGTCGCCGGGTCGCCGGGTATGGAGAGACAGAAAGGGAAAAGAGGGGTAGCACTACATAGTAAGCTGGGCTAGTGACAGATTGCCAAGTCGGTGATGGTGGAACAGGTGGACATCAGATGGGGATCTCAGCAAGGATGCCAAGAATGCAAGTGTAATAGTATACGCATAGCAAAAGGTGGATCGATCTGAACATATCCGCAAGCCACCAGGTAATTCCGAATCAAGAATTGTATTTACAATAAAGCATCTCAATCATCTACGAAAATAGCTGATGCGATTTGTTAAACCCATCTACTAAAAGAGATCAGTGGTACCAGTAAAATTACCCGTCTGGGTGGTGAAGTCGCGTGTGCTGCTAAAATCGGGGATGCGACCGAGCAGAATTTCCAACATGCGGTATCCGACGCCAGGCGTGTAGCCGGGCAACTCGTGACCCGCAAGACGCGCAGTGTAGAAAGTCAGACCACGCTCTTTGACCCAGGTGCCTTGATATCCGGCGCCAGCGAGCGCACCGGCGTTGAATTCGGGATGGTAAGGCACGTAGAGGTTTTCGGAGGGGTATCTAGAGAGACCCTGTGCGCCGTTCCAGGTCATGTTTTGGAGGGCTAGGAGGGTACCGTTCGTGCTGAGAAGCATGTCGAGGTCTCCAGAGCCGATAAGCACGTTGTTTGTTTTTTCCACAACGTTTTTGAGGACGCCGCTGTTGGCGGGTGGGATGGATGTGTCTGAGTTGTTTACACCAGCGCCGGCGAAGACGTTCTTATCTGTACACAACATCCATTTGCTGTCAGGGTTGGCATGAAGGGCCTTCTTGACGTCTGCGCGGTCAAAGTAGACTTCGGTGCCTGGTGCGACATAATCTCCTTGGTTGGTTCCACCGAGCGGCGTGGACTTGAACGGGCAGGTTTCGGTGATGTGGTAGATGTTGAAGCAAGGATTTACCGCGGAAATCGCCAGGGCGTAGTTATCGAACTGGTCGCAAATTGGGACATCACCTGTACTGTCGTATGGATTAGGGAGAGTCGGGAAGGGCCCCTTTGGCGGAGGAAACTTGAAGTATTTTTCATAATACTGTGTGTAACCGCATTCCTGGTCGCGCTTTCGGGCTCTTTCCAAGAAAGTTTGGTTCAAGTAGAAGACATTTTGCCAGAATTCGACATAGGGCCGGATGACGACCTGCTGCTGGACAGCATCAGTACCAAGGATGGGGTCATTGATTGCGATGCCACCGAGATTGAAGTACTTCTTGTCGTTGGCACGGATGAAGCTGTCAGCAATGTAAGGAACGTAATAACCAGCATACGACTCTCCGGTCACATATGTCTTCCAATTCCAGACACCAAAGAGATCGACAAAGTTCTTGTAAAAACCGCGGAATTGGTCGCTGAGTTCGTATTCGTTGCTGATATTGGGCTCGCCTTCCGAATAGCCGACACCAACAGGCTGCTCAATCCAAAGCATATTTGTGAGGTTGTGCCATGAATAAGGATTTTGAGTTGGGCCAAGAGTGCCGTCCTCCCACAGGAACGGGCCGTTCTCTGTGAGCAAACCAGAGAGTGAACTACATCCAGGGCCACCATTAAGCCTGCGTAAACGTTAGACTAAGACATGGGAGAAGGCCTTGAATTGACTTGCCAGATGACGATTTCCTCCGGTGTCTTGGCCAGGGTAGATGGAAAGAACCAGAAAAAAAGCTTGCGCGTTTCATTTGCATTGTTGGAGATGGGTAGCAAGCCGGCATAACTCTCACCTAAGTCGAAATCGACCAAGGGGACATGCTTGCCGTCGACAGCAAAAGCTAAAGGAGATGAGTACAAACGTATTTACACAGGACATATACATCAGTACTCACGTTTGGTTTTGGAGTTGAGAAAGGTATGAGCTCTCTTGTTGATCTCTGGGTTCTCAAAGTCCTGGCCAGGGACACGCTTCTCAATGACTGGACTGGAGCGATAGACTCTGTTAGGCCTGATAAAGCGAGGGCCGTTTGCAGCGAGAGCTGCTGAAGCGCAGAGAAAAGAGCCGAAGACCGAAAGGAGCTTCATGTTGAGATTGACTGACGAGCGGTCGCTACCAAAGCAGGAGGTTGTGAATCGAGGCAAACAGCGGTATTTGAGCACCGAGTACAAGACATGACGGCTGGACAAGCACCCCGGCACTTATCCCAGAATAGAAGGAGACATATTCTGCATGGGAATTCAAGCGTGATAAACCGTCAAGTATGTCAGCCGTGCAGGCCGCGTAGGCCGTGCCATCGGGCAGAGGTTGAGAGTGAATAAGCAATCACATAGCATCATGCAGTCGCCAATAAAACAAAGCTTGCGGACCTTCCTGAAACGTGTGATGGAGCCGTAAAGGTGGAGATTGTGATTGGAGGATATCCATGCAAGGTGTGCGGGAATAGTTCTGGTGCCCAGACTAAGTGGAGCGATGAGCCTCGGAGGGAAATGCTTGTCGATGCTTGGTCAAGCTTGTTCACCGGCGTGCGACACCATAGACAGCCCACCTGTTAGAACAGGTAGATAGCACAACAGGAAGTCATGCGTAGTCCCGCTTGTAAAGCTGTTTGCTAAACGCAAGATCGTAAGTGCATACGAGATGGGGCAAATTGTGGGTCTGCTCATCATTTTAGACAAGGTTTGCTGACTCCCGTAGAAACATGTTTTGCTTTGACATGGAGGCCCCGGCGGATGATCAAAATCCTGGCTCAATAGGTTGATGGGGAACAAAAGGGCCGGTGGCAGTAAGCACTACTACATATCGAGTAATCGAATGGTAGTATGTAAAGTGAATTTGTACTGAAGTTACGGGACTGCATAACAGACTACAGCAATGCTGCCGATCTGACCATTTTTGCCGAGACCGAGGTGTATTTACGCAAGTCGAGCGGTGCGATGATAAGATGATGGCAGATGCACCAAGGTTCTCAATTGGGCGCCACAACGGATGCCCGTATGTGGTAGGCGACATGTGGCGCAACGGCTGCCGTAGGTTTCCGTGCCACTACGGTCTACGTACACCTACAGCCCGCCCTCGGTCGCTGTTCGGCCAGACTTGTAAAGACGCTGATCAATACCATGCCATCTCAGACAACTTTCCATCCTTCTGGGAATGACAAAACCTTTCTATATCGTTTAGAACAACCTTCCCGAGCACCGCCGTGATATTGTCATCCCCCCAAGAATGTCCGCACCCAATACGCCATCCGTCTATCAGGCGACCTCGTCTCACGTGCACTCTAATGTCGACACATCCAACCTCTAGTAACATGACAGGCTCACTATGGCGTCATAGCCCACCAGATGCAGTCATAACTAACGAGTATCCATGCGAACATACGCTTTCTTATCTTTTGCCAGCAAACCCTATTCGCAAATCAACCAAGCCACCAGTGGGCGGAGAAAATTGCCGCAGCTTGACACCACTCTCGGCGAATATCTTGGCCGTCTGATCGTCGACCAAGTAGCCTTGATTGTATACGACCTCAGTTATACCGACCTGGGTGATCTTGACGCTGCATGTCAGACAGGGACATGTATTGCAGTAGAGGATAGCGCTGCCGCCGATACGGTCACGGCCTGCTTCGAGCAGGGCATTCTCTTCAGCGTGAAGACAGAGGCACGTGGAGAGACCAGAGCCTCCTTTTGCAGCATTGTTGCAACGAGGGCCTAGAGGTGGTCAGCACATAAAGCCAAAAGGTCCGTCAGTTGCACACATACATCCGCCCTCGTTGCAGTTGGTCATGCCACGTGGCGTACCATTGTATCCAGTGCTTATCACACGCTTCTCTCGAACTATGCAGCAACCGACTCTCCTTTTCATGCAGTTGCTCCGCAGTGCTGCCAGGTCGGCCAGCTGCATGAAGTATTGGTCCCAACTTGGACGCAGGCGGGCTTCATCGGTGAGGTCGAGGGCGCGTATGGCAGCGCGCAGAGAGTCTATCGATGTGGTACTATTGAGCAGATTGAGCTGTGCTCGGTAGGACAGCCCACTCAGGCCTGTGTTTGGAGCAAACTGATGATCATCGTTCTGGGCGACAAAGTCGAGGATGGATGGCGGAGTAGTGTTATTTGCTGTGCACCGATCATGGTACCGCTGCCACCGCACTTTGACGGGAGCATCGACACTGACAAGTAAAAAGAAAGGCCTCTTCAGCAGGGCGTCGACGACAGAGGCATCCCATATGTCGGTTGTGACCCATCGTTCCCTCCACCTTAGCGTAACAAAGTCGAGCAGCGAGTCGACATCCTGGAACGTGTACTGAGCATCTACAACAGGCTGCGTCGAGGCGGACTGGTCATTGTCGGGCTTTGCAGAAGGACCTGCCAGGCGTAGGCGGGTGAAGTTGTACTCGTCGATGAGGCACGAAGCTATCTCGGACTTGCCCGCGCAGATTCCTGCTGCCTTGTCAGCAACTGGCCGGCGAGTCTCGCGAGATTCTTGCCTCCACACACTCCAATAAGCATAATGATAGATGATTGCTGTATAGAAGGAGAGGCGGGTGACAAGAAGCTCGACGTGTCGGTGTCGATGAAGACGGGTTAGCGCGCGTGTGCGGCTGCAGGAACGCGCCTCAACGCTGCCCCGCCGTGACGGTGACGGCCTGGTGGGGGGCATGACATGCACATGGATGGCCGCCTGAAGCCCTCAGCAGCACATATCACGCTCTCTTGACAGCTTCACGTGCCTCACCCTCTGCCTTGCTTCTGGCCATCTATGTACATGCGTACCTACATACATACGTCCATATGACCTGCACGCCATAGACACTGTACTCTCTGCTCGCTACCCATCGCCCTCTCCCAACGCCTCCAACACCCCGCCAGCCCCGCCACCACCCACCATGGCGACCCTCAAGTTCGCGCCTTGGATGAGCGACGTCGATGTCCAGTTTTACGCCGCCCTCGCTCATATCAAAATAAACCATGACAAGCTCGACGACTCGGCGCGCAAAGTGCTGGGCCTGTACGAAGTTCGCCCCGCCGAGCACTCCTCGCGCTCCATGCGCATTCAGATCCATCCCAATGCGCTGACGTCGGATGAGTACGCCATATCATGCCGATACTTGCTACACGCCTAACACCCCGTTAGCACGCCCCCGACCTTTTGCCGCGCTGAAGGCATCATCAAGAACTGCAATACCATCGAGGACTACAAGAGCCTTGACCGCGCCGCCATACTCGAACGCTCTGCCCAGACAGTATGCCTGTCCACTCTCAGCCGCCTACTGGTCTGCTGACTATGCCTAGATATGGGATGCCATACACGACGGCTCCATCTACGAATGTCCCTCACTCCTCTCCTCCTTCACAGCAATAATCTTCGCCAACCTCAAGAAGTACAAGTTCACCTACCATTTTGGCTTTCCAGCCATCCAGTCAGATCCCCCTTGGAAACAGATAGGCCAGGTGACAAGGTTGCAGCCTAGAGAGACTACTTACCTTGTCGACGCCGTGCAGACATGGAGGTACAGTTCTGATGTGCGCCAAAGAGGTTTCTTTCTCGCCAAGCGCATACGCGGAGGCGGGGAGGGTGAAGATAGACCAAAGACACCAGTCACACCCTTGGAAGAGTTTGGCTACACGTGGGGTGTCGGCAGACTTGAAACTTACGAAAAGGGCTTCTTCGACAAGGTGGACAGCCAGGACCGCTTCATATGCTTCGCAGACCCCTCGACATACGAGACAAACCCAGGCTGGCCGCTGCGTAACCTTCTCATACTGATCCGGCACCGGTGGAACCTGCATGATGCCCAGATTCTGTGTTACCGCGATACGCATACACGGCGCGACCAATCCAACTCGCTGATTCTCCAGCTGCGCTCAGACCCAGACCCTAACGCCGCGCCTACATCGCCTATACTAGATCAGAAGAGCACCCCGCCATTACCCAAGGTTACAGGATGGGAGCGGACAGAAACAGGAAAGCTTACTTCGCGGAATGTCGACTTATCAGAGTACATGGACGAGACCAAATTGGCAGATCAGGCCGTGGACCTCAATCTCAAGCTCATCAAGTGGCGCATAGCTCCCTCGATTGATCTGGACGTCATCAAGAATTGTAAATGTCTATTATTGGGAGCGGGCACGCTCGGGACGTATGTCTCACGCACGCTGATGGGATGGGGCGTCCGAAAGATTACTTTTATTGACAATGCGACCGTCAGCTTTTCCAATCCCGTGCGACAACCCCTCTTTAACTTCCAAGACTGCCTAAAAGGCGGAGCGAAAAAGGCCGAGAGAGCTGCAGAGGCTCTGAAGGAGATTTATCCAGGGGTGGATGCAAACGGCCATGTCATGCAGGTTCCCATGCTTGGCCACCCCATGACGGACGCCGCAACGACTAAGACGGAATTTGAAAAGTTGCAACAACTGATTGCTGAACACGATGCCATTTTCCTGCTCATGGATACGAGAGAGAGCAGATGGCTACCAACCGTCATGGGCAAGGCACAGGGCAAAATTGTGCTGAACGCGGCTCTGGGATTCGACACTTATGTTGTCATGCGACACGGCCTGAAAGCAACCCAGGAGAACGAGGTAGAACTAGGATGCTACTTTTGCAACGACGTTGTTGCACCCGCAGACGTAAGTAACAATTTTCTCCACATGAATCAAGCAATACCAAACTAACAAACATGTACCAGTCCCTCAGCAACGCAACCCTCGATCAACAATGCACCGTCACCCGCCCAGGCGTCGCACCCCTCGCATCCAGCCTCCTAGTCGAACTCCTCATCTCCATCCTCCAGCACCCCGCAAAAGGTCTCGCTCCACCCCCTTCCCATCAAGCCCCGGCAGCATCACCATCCCACCCTTCTCTCCCTCCACCCTTCCAACACCCCCTCGGCACCATCCCCCACACAATCCGCGGCTACCTCTCCACCTTCTCCAACCTCCAAGTTGAAGGTAAGCCCTTTGATTGCTGCTCTGCCTGCAGTCCCAAAGTGCTAGATGCGTACACGGCGGATCCCTGGGGTTTTGTCCAGAAAGCGCTGAATGAGCGGGGTTGGGTCGAGGAAATGAGTGGGTTGAAGGAAGTCCAGCGGAAGGCGGATGAGGCGGCAGCGGATGTGGATTGGGAGGAGGATGAGGAGGAAGGGGGGTTAGAGGATGAGGGGGAGATTGTATGATGAGGGGTTTTTTTTTTGTTTTATAATGGATGGTGTGACGAATGAGTGTGTTGTGTAGTATTTTTGCTTTTATGAAAGTATACTGAGAAAGGGGGAGATGCAGAGAGAGTTATATTGTATCAATTTCGGCACTATGCAAATTTCATCTCTGATGTATTTCTAATCTTCCTCCTTATTATTTGAGTTTTTTTTTTTTTTTTTTTTTTAATTTGATATTGATTATTCTCCATTTTTTAAAGTTACCTAATTATTTCATATTTCTTGTGCCCATGTACTAACCTTTTGCTATCTCCTTTGTGCCTTACACATTTCCATCTCGCTTCCTTTCTTTCTACATACACATGTATATCCCTATCCATGCATGACAGCATTGTAAATGTAAAACCGTACATGTACAAAATCCCGTCCGTCCGTTTGTCCACCCAAAGCGGGGAACACAAACGGCGTCTCGCTCGCTATGCTAACCACATCGACATCGACATTGAACAAAAACAAGAATCGTCTAGTCATCTCGCTCTCTGTCGTAGGTGTACTTACTCAGCTCTTAAACTGAAAAAAAAAACAAAAGACAAAAAACTTTCGCTAAGTAGACGAACAACATACATGTACCTCAAAAACTACCCTTCATATCCAGGCAACCGCACAACTTGCACATGCGTAAATCTATCTAGCATACGCCCCCTTTTCAAAATCAACATCGTACGGCTCATCGCTATCGGCCCTCCTGGGCCTTGTGCGACTCTGGCTTTGATTGCGGCTCCGACTATGACTCTGGGTCCGCGAGTGTACTGGCTGCGACACAGGAACCTCGGGCTCATATGCCGGAGATTCTGTGCGTGGAAGTTGCCAGTCGTCCATGTAGCGTGGGGGGCTGGGTCCGGGATGAAGTTCGTCGTCTTCGTCACTGGTGCGGCTGATGCTTGGGAGGAGATTTGACGAGTCGCCTTTTACGAGGCCGAGACGCTCTTCTTCGGTTGCTGTGGCGTTACCGCCTCTGGCGTCACGGCTGCTCTTGCGGCTGTGGCGGCTGGTTGGGCGGGGTTTGTTGCTGCTAGACGATGACATGGGGTCTCCAGTTGAGTCTGGACGGTTGCGTCCAAAGACGTTTTGAAACGAGAATTGGCGTCTGGTTGTTGGAGGGGCTAACGATGGGGACTCGGAACCACCTTGACGGGATGGAGGAGTGGCAAACTGGATGTGGGGGTCAAGCGGCTTGTAGGATGTGTCTTGGGTCATTAAGCTCTTTTTGTAGGATGCGCCGTCAGATCCATGCTCTGAAGCACCGTCGGCTTGGGGGATGGGTGGTAGTGGGTGCATGTCCATGCCGGGCACAGGTGTATGTGAGCTGTCTCGACTGCTAGTCGATTTGCCACGCGAGCGTAACCGCTGAAAGAAGCCAGGATGGAAACTGTCATTGTCTTCGTCAGAGTCATCAGGTGGAAACTGAGACATTCCAAGTGGAGGGTGGATGGCCTTGGTTTGCACGATAGTAGTGTTCCGGGTCGGTGGTCGATTGGGGTCAAGGACGGTCTTGCGCCTGCGGATACCGTCGAATTCCACCTGTTCGCCTTCGCCAATGGGCTGCATGTGCTCTTCTTGGATCTTGCGAGCCTCGGCAAGCTCCTTGTGGGATCGGGCTTTGGATAGCGACCTGAGGATAGCGGCTCCACCACGAAGGGTATCAGCGCGTGGCTCGTACTCCGGCTCCTCCACCTCGGCAACAGTGCGGACCTGATCGAGATCGCCTTTGAAGACGGCCGAGTCAGGGACGTCTTTGGCTGACTTGGATAGTTGTAGAAGCACGACTCCAGCGCAAATTTGAAGGAAGCCCATGATGACGGTTACAATCTGAAGTGGCGTACCTTTGAAACCCTGGAACAAGACGGCCGAGGTGACAATGGTAGCTGAAGTGAAAAAGACATAGTAAGTTGGTGTTACCAGGGCGGCGTTGAACAGGTTCAAGGCTTTCTGGGCAAAGCTTAGTAGTGGTCACGGGCCAAGACATGGGTGACTTACGTTGAGATAGATGATTTCTGTCAACAGCGTGGCTACGACAAAGACGAGTAGGACGTATAAGAACCACTCCTTGAACTGTCCACCGTAGGTGCCCGAAGCCTGGGCTACCACAGCGGCACCGAGGCCCTGGGTTGCGACAACGCTAAGACCTCCGATCAGACTACAGATGGTGAGGTAGACCATCATGCTTCGCTTTCCATACTTGGGGCCAAGCCACAGAGCGATCACGACGCATGCGACAATAATAACTCCAGCATAACTGAGGAATCCGGGAGTAAGGACCCATTTCTTCATATCCTGAATGCGGGCGACGGACGATTGTTCAGGCGCATTCACGGCAATGACGACGGAGCCGATGATACAGTTGAAACAGCCGACTTTTCCAACGAAACTGAGGCGTTCTTTCAAGAATATCTCGGAGAGAATAGCACAAATGACGACCGACAGTGCACCCATGGGGGTCACGAGAATGGCATCGGTAAAGGCATATGCGACCAGATTACTGCGCTCAAGTTAGCGAAACCCTGGGCCAGCATGGGCAAAAGTGTAGTGTACCATATCTCTCCAACAATCATGAGCGTCATGCCAAGCCACCACCAGGCGTTTTTGAGGTATCCATAACCCTCGCCTGCCTCTTCGTTGTACTTTTTGTTGGCCTGCAGTAGGCCATGTTTCTTGATGACAAAGGACGAGCCGATGAAGACTCCGGAGGAGATGGCCAAGACTAGACCAATAATTTTATAGGAAGCAGGACGGTTGGCTGTGTTGCCGCCCATGCCGCCGGCGCGGGCATGAAGTTCGTGGGCGGCATGGAGGAGTTGGGCGGTCGAATCCATTGTGTTGGGTGGGCTGTCGCAGCAGATGGTGACAATTGCTGGCGCACCGGGGGTTTGCCCTCGTGGGTATGCGTAGGTTGGGAGCGTCGTCTATGGAGGTAACATGGAGGGTGTGTTATGGTGGAGGCGCAGGCGTGGGCGGCTGTATGCACGAGGCTGGGCTGTGCAGCGGCTGATGTTTTGGGAAGTCTGTTTGGCCCAGGGTCCGGCGGGGGTGAAGGCGGCGCAGAGAGGGGGGAGAGGGGAGGAGGGAGTCAGTGGAAGAGAGGGTACAACGCTGTGTTGTTATTGTTGTTGTCGGTGGTGGTGGTAGTAGTGAATAATAATGGTACGAGCCGGGTGCAGGCGTCGAGTGCGGCTGCGGCTCGTTGGTGCGTAATCGTATTCGTCGTGGTGCGAATGGGAGGATGGTCTAGAAGGACAGGGCCGTTTGGAGGACTCAGCCGACCGTTTTCGCGACAGTGCGGGCGCGTGACAGGCGCGGGAGATTGTGTATGTGCGAATGGATGTATAGACAATGCAGAGTCTGCGACTTGTGCGAGACAGCAGGAATGTTCAATAGGCGGCGAGACGGCATGTTTACGAGCAGCTGGTTTCATCCCCGGCCCGTCAACAAGGAATCTGGCCTGGCTGCAGGGGCAACGGGCAACGGAGGCCAGGATGCTCCATGAGACGTCACTGGCCAAGCCTCCACCCACCACCCACAGACTGCAATTCCACCATCGCCAGTCTGCCCCCCCGAAGCTGCACTTCCGCCCATGGCCGTTGACATCACCGATCCCCACGACATCTTTGCTGCTGCCAGCGTGGCCCAGATCCATGCTGCCCTTAGCCAATTGCATGACCATGAGGCCGCCGTCACGCGCCAGCTGAACGCCCTCATCGCCTCCCAAAAGGACCTCTCCCGTGAACTCGGCCGTCTGGATCTGCTGCGCGCCCACCTCGGCACTCAGACCGTCAACACGCGCGCCATCAGCAATGGCATGCTGTCCGATGCTGCTTCTACTGCCACTCGCATCTCAGGCGCCGTCAAACGGCTAGACCAGGAGCAGTCCAATGTCAAGGCCACGTTGCACGTCGTCGAACAGGTGGCCGAGCTCAAGGCCTGCGTCCTGGGCGTCCACGGCTCCATGGGCGCGCCTCAGGACTGGGAGACGGCCGCAGGTTACCTCAGCCGTGCTGCAAAAATCCCCGACGATGTCGTAAACGGTAGTTTTGCAGAGGAAATTGTGCCCACAGCCGAAGTGCCAGACCCTCCACGTGTGACGCTTGACGCCGCTGCCGAATCCCTCTGCGGCCTCTTTTTGCGCGAGTTTGAAAAAGCTGCCAAGGATGGCGACGGCTCAAAGGTAACGAGATTCTTCAAACTGTTCCCCTTGATTGGGAGGACAGACGTTGGCTTAGATGCGTACGGCCGCTATGTTTGCCAGGGTGTGGCTTCGAGGGCACGCGCAAACTTCAACTCGGCCTCGCCAGCCCAGAGAAACGAGGGTTTCTTCTACGGCAACACCATCACCAAACTGTTTGAACACATTGCGCAGATTGTAGACGGACACGAGCCGCTAGTAGAACGCCACTATGGCCCGGGCATGATGCAAAAGGTTATTGAGCGTCTGCAGATTGAAGCCGACGTCCAAGGCGGCATCGTGCTCGATACATGGCATGAAGAACGTCACATTGACCGCAAACTGGCCGATATCAAATCCTATGCATTCTCTTTCCTAGTCCAAAGTTTCCTCCCAGCCCAAAAGCCTTCTTCCGGGACACCTCGCGCAAGCTCACCAGCCAATGGTGTGGCGCGCACAAGTGAAGACGAAGGGGTCGATATGAAGGAGATTGACGCCCTGCTTGGCGAAGGTGCTCTCATACTAGGCCGCTATGCTCTGTATGCTCGCTTCATCTCCGACAAGTGTGCGGTAAGTGCAACACGCCATTGTCGCAATCCATTACTCACGCATGCAGCCTGCTGAGCCCGACGAACACATCGACTATGGCTTGGTCATGCCCAATTTCCTAGCGACCAGCAACCTCCACAAGAAGGTCAACAGCCACCTCATTGAGCCAGTTAACGCCATGACGACCTTTTTCTTCCGCAGATCAGTAGAGAAGGCCTTTCAACTGGACGAGTCACCGGCAGACCTCACTCTGAACCCAAACAGGCCCCTTGGGTCCAACCCGCCTTTTATAACATCAGCTGTTGACGACGTCATGTACATTGTCAACCAGGTTCTGCAGAGGACACTCGCTACATCGCAACGGGCCGTTGTGGCTAGTGTAATTCCCGCTGTAAGCCATATCCTCGGCGCCGAGTTTATCGGTATGATACAAAGAAAGATGCGGGACGAAAGCTACCCAAAGCCCGTCATCCAGGGCGGGCTCCCGCCTGAGGATAAGGTTATTGCCTTTTTAGTATTGATCAATAATCTCGACATTGCCAACGACTATGTCAAGCGCATAGTTCAGCAGCAGCTGCGCATCCAGCCGCAACCCGGCCAAGAAGATGCCCACTCCCCTTTGCAAGACCTTTTCCCGTTCGGACACGATGCAACCTTTGTCGAGAACACTCTCAAATCAATGGAAAAGTCCTTTGCTACCAAGAGTGGTGATTTGCTCAACGACGGTATCACGGTTCTGTTCTCCAATGTTCTCAAACCCCGCATCCGGCCAATCTTGGCCGAGGCCTTTAGGGATATCAGATATGACCCTGGTGGGGACGACGCAAATGATGACGAAGATACCGAAGATACTGACATTGTCAAAGCTCGCTTTGATCGTGGCTGGGGTGTTGTTATTCGCCCAATCAAACGTATTCTTACCGCAGCAAACTTCGACCGTCTTCTTGCCCTTGGTCTCAACTATCTGGCTTCTGCACTGGAAAAACGCATCAAGAGCTACTACGGCAGAGTGAATGAACTCGGGGCGGTTCGGCTCGAGCGGGACATTGCGGGCATCATCACAGCCGCTACCAGTGGCGGTGCGTATGCGCTTCGCGATGCATTCCAAAAGTGCACGCAGATGACCTTGATCTTGAACATGGAAGATGATGAGTTTGAGCAAGTCGCCATTGATGACGCTGCTGGCGAATCAGGAATATCCTGGGTACTTGATCTGGAGGAGAGGAATAGGGTAAGAGCAATTGTCAAAGGATAGATTAAACGCAGCTGTGAACCCAGTCCGGTTAGCGCTTATGATAGATGAATGTACAAACTTTGTTTGTCCGGGTTGATATGGCCTGATATACTATTACATGTTTGCAAGAACTCAGAACCCCTCACCGGCTCGTGCGCTTCAAGTGGGCTATGACCACCCCACTCTTCTCGTATGCAGCCTCCGTAGTCTCCGCCTCTGTTTTATAAGGTTGTGCTCTTACTTTTGCCGACCCACTATCGAAGGAATCGCTAGTACCTGTCTTGGACCAAGAGGTGTGACCCGCTGCGGCTTGGCTTCCAATATAACCCCTGGTGCCCCAAGTATCATGCGCCAACTATCGTCCCGATACGTTGCTTGATCTTATGTAGACGTATTCGTCCAGTTCTCTCTAGCCGTTCTCTTTCCACGCACATCATTGTACGCCACTCCTGTTGCCCGCTTGCGCGATGCGCCAGTCGCACGTAGCCGCCGTTGGGCTTTCGCTTCTGTTGGCACCCCTGTCAAACGCCCAGTGCCCGCCTTACCAGAACTACGCCAACCAACGCCACGAACCCTTCTCCAAGGGAAAATGGAGCTTGAGCTATGCGAGGCCCATCGAGCCGTGTAGGACGTTTCGCGCCCCAGAGGTTGAAGAGACGATTGGTAGATTGCGCGATGTGATTAAAGATCCCGATCTGTTCCGGGTAAGTACTGACTCGACTTTGATTTTGTGTAGTAGTACGTAAAACGAGTGTCTTACTGATGCTTCAAACAGCTCTTTGAAAACACATGGCCAAGCACATTGGACACAACAATTGCGTGGCGAGGACTCGCGAAAGATGCCAACAATGCCACAACGGAAGAGGAATTGACTTTTGTCATTACTGGCGATATTCAGGCCATGTGGCTGCGTGACTCGGCCAACCAACTCCAAGCCTACCTGTCCGTGTTGAAACCCAATTCTAGCCATGACAGTCTTGCTAGTTTGTTCCGTGGCGCCATCAACCTCCAAGCACGCTACATTCTCGGAAACGCATTTTGCAACGCCTTCCAAGCCCCAGATGAGAGTGGTATCCCGCAAAGAAGCAGCCAGAATGACGACCGTATTACTCCGCCGTACGATTACTTCAAAGTATTCTCTTGCCAGTGGGAACTCGACTCTGTCGCCTCTTTCCTCCAGCTCTCAACCGACTATGCAATCGCCACACGTGACTACGAATTCTTCCAAAACTCTAGCAACTGGACCAAAGCCGTTGAGCTCATCCTGGACACAGCAGAAAGCATGATGATCGACAGCTACTCCGAGGACGGCGTTTGGCAGCACACTCCATACACCTACTGCGCACCCTACGGCGGCACCCCCATCAACAACTGCAACGGAAGCCCCCACCGCGGCAATCTCGGCCTCGTCCGCTCCTTCCATCGCCCCAGCGACGACGCCTGCACCTATCAATACCTCATCCCCTCCAACATGATGTTCTCCTCCGCCCTCAACACCTCCTCCGCCATAATGTCCCGACTCGAAGCTTCCTCGTCTGGTGACCTAACAACCCGCATGCAACAAATGAGCACAGACATAAACCGCGGTATAGAAAGATATGGCCTCGCCAATGACCCAACCCATGGCAAAATATACGCCTACGAAGTCGACGGCTACGGCGGCGCTAATATAATGGATGATCCCAACGTTCCGTCTCTTTTATCAGCGCCCTACATTGGATACACAACGATCAACGATCCCATTTACAAAAACACGAGAAATAAAGTGCTCTCGAGAGATAACCCGTACTATGCCGTTGGTCCTGCGATCACGGGCGTAGCGAGTCCACACACCCTCCCAGGGAAACCGTGGCCCATGGCGCTTATCATGACGATTTTGACCTCGGAAGATGACGATGAAATTACGAGGAATCTGAAGTGGTTGGTTTCAAGTACGGATGGCCTGGGGCTCATGCACGAGAGTGTGGATGCCCGGAATGCAGGGGTTTGGTCACGGCAGTGGTTTAGCTGGGCGAATGGGCTGATGGGACAGATGATTTTGGATTTGGAGAAGAGGAAGCCGCATCTTTTGGACTTGTCGTTTCAGTAGGTGGGTTATTCAGTTAGTTGAGTAAAACGTAAATAGGGGTTTTTTTTGGTCTGGCTATTTCGATGTAGATAAAATGAATAAGTTGGCACGTGCACAGTCTTTGTGCAAGTGAAAGTGAATTGCCGAGTCCTGTTTCATCCGATCTAAGTCAAGTTTGAAAACTACAAAAAAGAACCAATTTACCACACCTATGCCAGTACTTAGAGGCATAAGGACATAAGGAGCAAAAAGAGAGTAGACCTAACTACGAGGACTGACCTAGCCGAGGTTTGAACACCACGTATAGGGGACAAAGTAAGTGCATACCACATATCTTCGATCTAGGAAAAACAAATGAAAACAACAATCTCCAGAATTTCACCGCTACGCTCCTCACTATGCTCTCAACGCCTAGCATCTTCCACTACTTTGTCCTGACATGCGGAATTCTCCTCTTCCGACTGACCAGCATCCCTATGGGCGTGATATCAATTATGATCGCCATAAGCCTTTGTATCCTTATTGCTAAACCCTTGGTCGTATTCCTAACCTGAATTATGCCTGTTTGGAAACCCTGAGAGCTGACTGTGCATGTATCTTGTAGAATGGCTAAGCGTCTGTTTCATCATCAGATGCACACTCGCGCGGGTCCAGAAACATTGGCTTCAAGTCAAGCGACGCATGCCTATCTGCGAGACTTTGATGGATCTCCTAGACACTGACTCTATAACTTATTGTATATCTCTCGTGGGTGGGCGGATGAGTGAAGGTGTCTAAGCCAAGTATTCGATCAAGCAGCTGCCATAGCTCTCCCCATGGATCCAGTTCGGGTTCGAAAAGCAATGGCCCCTTTGAAGACAGAGCATAATCCATGGGTGTGTGGCCGGAGTGAAGAAGCTCTGCGAGTAGTGGTACTCTCTCTTCAAACTCTTCGTTCTTGTGTTTGCCTTTGTTAGAGTAAAAGAGATCACGTTGCTCTTGGGTTGGACTGAGATCATCAGACGGTACAGCAAGAAGAGGGCTGTACATGTTGCGACCTTCGCTTCCAAAGAGGTCAAATATAAGAATTCGATGAGAAGGGCTTGCGTCAAGTCGCTCAAATTCCGTTGCTGTGATAGATGGGCCGCGAGATGTGCTTTCTCTGGTCTTTGAGTATACAAGCAAAGGAATGACTGAAGTGTGCCGATGGAGTTCAGAAATTGTGCACGGCACCTGTCGATCTTCAGCATAGCGTTTTTGCTGCTTGGTGGTCCATGTGTATCGACAGTAGGCGAAATCTGCGACCGAATTTGACCGAGAGAGAACGACGAGTAGTCCGGATCGATGCGTTGCACATTGGGCCATGATTGTGAAGAACAGCTTTTGGTGGAAGCTTTGGACATAATCGCCGGAAGGCGCAATCTCGTGAATAGAAGCTGACTTCGAGGGGTTGGTAGCTTTTTCGGTTTTTCGGTGAGGACGTCCACCCGTGTGACGAGGTTGTGGGTTCTGTTGGATGATTTCATAAACTCGCTGGACCCAGTGTCCGTCTGGATCCATGCGTAGCCAGTATGGCTCAAATTCAGGTCTGCTGAAGTCTTCTTCTTTCGCATCTGTTGTGTAGAATTTGTCAGGAATTCTCCACTCTGGAAGAAAGAAGCATTGCTTCCAAGACGTCTTCTGGTTGGTGTAGTCGAACTGGTATAAGAGAAAGTCAAACCTAAGGAAGTTAGTGATGGTTCGCATATAGTATAGAAAAGCTTACCGTTCGTGTTCAGTAAAGTAGTGACGCAGCTGGTTATGACGCATGTTGCGCGCGATTCCGATTTTGTTGAGTGGTGATGCGGGTGATCGATATAACGCGTCAATTTTGTACTGGACGAAAACTTGACGGCGGCGTGACAGCCCTGCTAGAGTGTCCGGCACGAGCAACTTGAAATCTGCTAAGCGTGGTTGAAGATTGACGAATTGAAACTCCATGCAAACTCTGCTCGTGCGAATAGCTCTCCATATTTCCAATACTCCTTTGAAAGAAGAAAAATGTTGCGAGTCTTCGGTTGGCGCTAAACTTTCGTTTCCTTACTCAACACATGGTACCCAACCAAAGCTTTTGACACCAGTCCATGGGTTGATATAATCACCGAAACCTTGTGCACAATTCTTGATGCTTTCGATAGCTTCGGACAGGAGAGATATCGGCATGCGGTAAGGACTGTTGCAAGGACTTAGGTGGCCATAAGCGGAAGGTGGTAAGAATGATTTCCGTGTGAAGTTGACTGCGACCTTACGTGTCTTGATGTCTCCAATTATATCGCCGCTGAACCGGTTTGGTATGATTTCTACATATTCTGGATTGATGGCGCATACAGCAATGTAGAATCCGACACGAGCTCTTTGCCTGACGGTTGTGATGTAACGTTGGTCTTCTGGACGGTTCGACACACTGCTCTTGATGTCAAAAGGGACTAGAATACGCTTCCAATGCTCACTGGTGTTGCGGAGCATCCGAACCTGCTCGTTGAGTTGCCAGAAGCGTTCCGTGTAGCTCCCTGTCGGAGGCTCGCTATTGAGCGTCGCGTAGAGTGCGCCATCGGCAATGGCAAATTCGTACGATCGCAAAACGAACGGACAACATGAAAGGTGTGAGAATATTTCGGCTTCGAAGTGGGTGCCGCGATTGCGATTAATGCAAGAATCGATCTCAGCCAAGAGACTGTCATGGTGGGCGTTGAGAGGCATCGCTAACGATTGTAGCAAGGAGGGAAGGAGGGCAATGATTGTGGAGGTAGACGCCAAACCCGACTCTGTGTCACCTTGATGCGATCAACCCAGCACTTTCACGAAAACGGTTTCTGTACAACGCAGTGGCTTGAATTTGGCGCTTACAGGCTTTGGTGCCTCTACGACGAAACAGAGGCTAATGAAGTTACTTCTATCGCTTACTTGGAAACCTTCCAAAACTGCGTTAAGTATGAAAACACCCGTGCGAAAAGTTCTCCTCTAGCAGAGTTTTGTAGCCCTTGGCGCGTTGGGTAAGCGTTGGGAAGACGTGTGCAGTGACGCTTCTCTGGCGGCTCGCCCTCGGCATCGCTGGTCCTTTGTCGCTTTTTCGCATCGCATTCTGCAAGCGAGAGTGATCTCGAAGTGGGTAGTTGGAGTGAATCGATGTAAAGGTCGAGTGTACCATCGAATATAATTTAATCGGTAATTACAGGTACGATTAGCTCGAAACTAAGCTGACTACACTCACCAATGCGAATTTGCGTGGGTGATGTGAGCTTCACCGGGGTGTTACACAATCTGATAAAGTTGCTCCCATGGGCAAGACCGATTTGCACACCTTGCGATGAGGTATTCCTTATGTACAACTGACGTTCCTGGAGATCAAAGAATACAATAAAGTGGTGTGGTGCGACCTCGTCTGATTGCGGCAAAAGGTAGTCGCACGAGCGTGACGAGCCAACGGAGAAACAACGCCGACCCAATATAGTAGCAAATGATAGTCTGATAATTCGATGTTGAACGACTCCAGGATTGAATGTAGAGCGGCGAGTTTCTGATACGATATGGCACATGTTCCATCGCATCAATGTTGTAGAGTATGAGGCTTCTGACAGCGGAATCATCTCGAGGAACACCATCATGGATGGGGAAAAGGAAGACATTGGGTAGCGGTTGTTTGAAGCAGACAGAAGGAAATGATAACAGAAATGCTTTTCAACAATATGGATGCATGTCTCAAAACACAGTGAGACGCAAGATGCTGTCTCTTTATGCTCCATTGCTTACCGAGCATGGGCAACAAGAGAGTGAATTTCTAGAGTTGTGCTGATCAAGGCCCAATCGGACTTGTCTCATGCGTTTCCGCATGTGATTTCCGGTTCATTCGGCCGTCGAATCGAGATCGAACTGGCAAATGGTGTTGGCCTATCTCTAATCCCACCTCTGGAGAAGATGGGAGTGGAAGGATATTCAAGAGCTGTTTCGACGTCATGCTACATAAACCATGGAATGGGTGGCATGAGCTGATAATGGATTTGTACAGAGTCTTCAGGTCAAGGCACAAGAAAGGTACTAGTTGAGTATGTGTCTCGTGTTCCTGCCATATGCCCTGCACTTGAGCCAATCTCTGTTTAGCGTCTGGTCCTTTTGGAAGGCGTTTCGGTCGACCGATAACTTTTTCCATATCCTGGGCCCTCCCAAAGTATAGCGGATTCGATCGCAATATAATGTAGGAGTTGTGAGGCGTAGAATAGACAGGGTATCGGGGACCAGATATGACCTGGATGCAGTACAATGGCGTTGGATCTGGAGGGGGATTGAGTTGAAAATCAGCGGATAGATATCGCGTTCGATGGGGACTCTGCAAATAATTGAGTTGACCTTGCTGGCTCCAGGTGTGTCTAATGTAAACCATGGATGGTATAAATGAACTAGATACTGGTCAGACTAATCACAATGACTGAGAAAGACTCGTGATACCTCATATTCTCTGCAGTCGGCCCACGGCTTCTCGGTTCATAAGTTTGACGGCTCCAGCTGCTGCGATTTGGCAGAAAAAAGAAGAATCCCTCTCCTTCAGATACAGCTATCTCATTCAAAGCTAGGACATCGACCTCATTTGGGGGAAGGTCACGATGGTTCGTCCCATCAAATGTTTTGTCGCGAACTTGTTGTACGATGTAGTTGCTGAGAGGATGATCTGAAAAGTAGAGGTCGGAAGTCGGAATGTCGCGAAGTTTTGGTTGCACTTTGGTTTTCGGAACAGGGAGATCTTTCGTAGATGAATGACATTTTTTGGCAGTTGATTCAGTCATTTCGCGTTGGAAGAAAGTGGGTTGTGCAGCCTTGGTGAGTGCGACAACTGGAGGATAGGCAGGAAACAACTCATCTGTAGGTGTGGCGCGCCGAGACATGGAATGATTACTCGATTGGGAAGGTGTTGATTATCGTATAAAATGCTCTGTCACTGTCTGAAGCATGGGCCACAAGCACATGCCTGTCGCGCTAGTTACTGCAAACGGGCAATGCTTTCGTTCTATCTCATGGTAGCCATGGAGCAGGGTAGTATATACAGGGTTGTCACTTTTCAGAATTGCGAAAATCTATGTGCAAAATGTTAGTTCACGTACCATGTCACGTTCAGTGTTGGTATCTTCTACCACACTCTACGCATCTGATTGTGGTGAAAGCGAAATCATGCGAGAGTAAAATCAAGACCTTGCCCACATCTGCGCAATGAAACCAAACTACTGCGGGTCCTATGATGTCTTCGCATTTCTTTTGCCTGTAATTATCATCCAGGCTCTGTTCCTCGTTGGAGCGCTTACGCAAGATAGATCATACATTCATTCGATATGTCTTGAAGGTTCTGGCACATAACGAATCTAGGTGAGATGACAAACAGGCAAACACTACTAGTTCAGTATAAGAGAACCTAGGTACATTTGATCATATCAACTCACGAGACATCTGAGACGGACTCACTGTCAGGAGGAACATCGGAAAAAAAAGAGTTTTCACATTTCTGCTCCGTAATCTTCGTGCCGACAAGCTTTTCTATCATTGAAAAACTCATTCTTAAACGATCATCAAAGCCACATCACGGATCGGAAGTTCGATGCCCCGCCCTCTCGATGCGCCTTGAAACTACAACGATCCACCACGGTCCGGAGGATATCGCCATGTATCCTCTTATATCGTCATCACCAATTCCAGAACAACTCGATTGTGAAGTCACCGCTGGTGGGTCTCTGCTGCCTGAAGCCGACTTTGACAAAATTGTGAGCAGCGATATTGACCTCTTCGCAATGATTGATGCTCGCCCATCAAGCACCATCCTCATCATATGCGAAGTCGAGCGAGAAAAATGGGCCGCAATTCTCCAAGAATACATCGATAATGGCCCTAACCCTACAGGGTGTGTTTTCCTTTTGAACGAAACTCAGTCATCTGTAGTTAGAGGCAATATGTTGACGAATACGACCTTTCAGTGGAAGCCTGAATACCGCCATAACCTCCCTGGAGCTGTACTTGAGAGTTACTTTCGCAGCCAAGTAAATACCGTTGTTTGCATTGGAATGCTCGAGCTAACGACTGATATCAACATGGCGAGCTGGCTAAGAGGTTGGAAATGTGTGCTTCAGCCTGGTGGAAGCCTAGTTGTCGAGTTGAGTTGGGACTGCCAGGACCGTACTTGGAGGGATGCTGCAAAGCGATACGCTGTTATGGCTTCTCCTCTTGGTTTCTGTCTGCAGACTGTGAATGGCTGTGATGTCTTCATGGGAGGCCTTTTGCAAGACCGTGCCAGTCAAGACGAGAGGTATCGCATTGCAAGCACTTACCGAAGGCAGGCATCGAGGTTAGTAGCGCGTGGTCGTCACGCCCAGCTTGTTCACGCTTCGGAAGACAAGGCCAGAAACTTTGCAAAGAAGGGAGGGCTCCATGGGGGTGAGTTCATCACGAATGGCGACAAGCTGTACAGTCGATTCGTCCAATGCGAACCACGTGCATGGTCGGATTTCTAGGCCCCATCAAAACTCTCTTTCCATTGTAACATTGTATCAATACCCAAACCAAAAATATTAGTAAATGAAACTTGTTCTTGGTGAAGCTCAGCGAAGTATTGTAGAGAGCATCAGACGATCAGATCCGATTAAGTGATTGAAATTTGTTGAACTTGTATAGATATACGCGTGATCGCGGCCATTGAGTTGCAGTGATGCTCGTAATGAGCTGACTATGTGTTATACGTCTCACAATACTACCTTTTCCATCTCACTCTTGACAACTTGCAAGATCTCTCTTAATTCACTTGTCCTGAGACATGTAGCCGTCCACTTCGATACGTCAATCTTAGCGTGGAGATCAGCCAACAGATCTTGCAGGTTTGCTCCGACACCCTTCCACAGAGCATACTCTTTGTGCTGTGTGTTGGCGGCGGAAGCGGTTAGGTTCCATGCTTTGTCCAACGTGTGGATTGTATTGGCCATATCTTTGTACAGCTCTATAGTGCTCTCGTAAGTGACATCGCTAGAAATTCCTATGAGCTCCTTGGCGTGCTCCAGAGCTCGGCGATGTTTATTCCTCCGACTCGCGTGTAGTCTTTCTCGCTCAACTGTAATGTTTCTGGCAGTGCGTTGTAATTGGCTGCTTGCGCTTCGTGTATGCGTCAAGGCCTCGTTGTGTCGGCTGGCGACAAGAAGGCATTGTTGGGTTGCTTCGCGCAGTTTGGACGCAAGTTGGCCGGTTTGCAAACACGAAAGCCCATGTTTAATTTTCGTGTTTTCGCGTGGGGCGAGAACAGCCGCGCCCAGCAAATTGACTGCTGCGTCTGCGGCATTGCGAATATCCCGATCTAACAGTACCACGCTTTGGCTGATCAGTGCATTCACTGCAGCAATGCAGTCTGGCGTAATGTGGCAACAGCTGTTAAGCGTCTCAGTAGCCCTTTCGAGCCTATCAACAGATACATTGACGTTTGCATGTTTTGCCATAATATTCTGCCCGGCATTGTCAAACCAAGACCCCCACGCAAACGCAATCACCATGCCGATGGCTGCAAGAAGAGAGACATAACGGCGTTTAATTTGCGGAAGCCGGTTTGGAACCACCTGCACGATCTGGCCGTGCATAAATGGTGCAGATATGGCCATTCTATCGTTTTGGTGCTGCTGAATCAAATGGGCCGTTGATGGAGGTGCTGAATTAGCCACATACTGCAACTCGCCGCTCGAAACCGGCTGCGCGTAGTCTGGTTTGGGGGCTTTGTTTGTCGTGAGGGCTTTGTCTGGCGGAGTTTCGACCAGGAGGGGGGGATTAGGTGTGGCAGTCCCAACAAAAAGTGGGACTGATTGCTGGACGCACCCTGCGTCATGCACCGAATAAGATCCATCTTCAATTTTGATGTGCTGGGTTCCGCTTGGAACAATTGGGTCGCGCGAGGATATGGAAGGGGCTCTAGCTTCAGGCGGCTGATGTCTTGAAGAACGCACTGTACGTGTGTCAGCTCTCCTCCGGGCGATGAAGTCATCCACTAAATTCGACATTGCTGAAATCTTGTGATAAATTCTGATGCTTTCCCTAGGACCTAGTAGATCGAGCTACCAGCACTGTTTAATAACGTCGTCTTTTTCTTGTTGCCTCGTTCCACCTCGCTCTCTGTCTAGGATTCTCGCCATCGCCTTTTTGCTCTTCGAAACACGTCTTTAGACATGCCTCTTACGCTGACACCCGCGACGGATAACTGGGATCAGCCCTCTTCCGCAACACAGTCTCCCATTGAGCCAATACATTTCGAAAACGCGAAGGATATAGCCAAAACTCTGGCAGCCCTTGCTGAGAGGTTCATCCAGGCGGGCGAGACTCATCTCGCCCACAATAATGTCTCTGACAGGCACTTTGTCAAGACCTGGAAGAGACTGTTCGAAGAATGTCTTAATGAGTTTGGTGCAAACTACAACAATAGCGAGGATGCAGATAACCGAGATGACGCGGATACAGAGCTAGAGAGCACACCTACCCGAAAGGCCGCAATGCATTAGACAAACATCCACATTGCAGTTTGACTTCCTGCACCGACCCATACCCTTGCGCCTGTATCTTCGTCTGAACGCTGGTTCTCCGACAAAGCTGTAAGAAAGTCCTTTTATTCGGCCGACATACTCATCTTGATAGATTCGTATTTTATTATCAATCTTCACTTTGCTGTTCTTCCCACACTTCGTCCATCGTTCACGCTTACGTTCCACAACATCCGATTTCCCACAATATCTACAATGTCGAATTCCGTACTCAACCTGCACTCGGCCTTCTGTGGGCTTGTACTGCTATTCTTACAAGTCGTTGGTTATGTCCTCTGTCGCCATGAGGTTCTCATTCTTCTCCTCACGGCTGCTGACTACATGGAGAGTCCTCAGCTCTTCATGGTTATTCAGTCGATTGATGAGCACGGGAGTTGGCTGGCTTCTAAACTCGAGATTGCTCTAGCTCACTTTCTCGTGGCTATGAGCAAGAGTCTTCAATTAATGCGCATCGCCCATTAACAATCATTGGACTCAATAGCGACATCCGAAGTAAGTTGCCAATTATCCAATAGTATTTCATAAGTAGCAAAGTATTTCCTAACAGAGTACAGGAGCAACTCAATTTTGCCGCCTGGGAGCAACTAGAAGGGGTCAGCAGTGACTTGGCTCGCCAGCCCATCCGTGCTCTACATTCCACCATGTTCCATAGCATCGAGTCGGCTGCAGCTATATATCGCGTCATATCTGGCGTATGCATCCTTATCGCGCATCTGGTCAAGTCATCACCATACTTCGAGAGACTCGCCATCGCTGGCAGATACGCCTTTGCTCTTTACATCATTGCAACCATAGCTTGGGGTATCTGGATTTCTCTCTGGCGGGCTTTGCGGGTTGTTGGGTTCACTACTGCCGCATACATCGCTGTTGGTTGGCGTTGGCTTTGGTAACCTCTCTCAAACATTGGCTGATCAGCTGTTTTTGGCCCGCATCGATACAAAGTAGGCTTTACAGCATTGCAGAAAATGTGAACACTGATCAAGAGTTGTTGGTGCTCACGTAGTGGTAGACAATGAGGGTTTGGCGTCATGGTGTTTGTTTTTAGCTTTGTATGGGAATATTCTTAGCTTTTTTGTTACGTTGGCATCAAAGTGATTTTGCTATAGAGACGACGTAGCGTATTGAACTATGAGTGAATACTGTGGTGTAGTATCACGTGATCAGAATGTGGATATTTGTTCGATTTGCTTTCGCAAATAGATAGCTGCCTTCTTCAATCCATTCAATCGAGGCGATTAGATTTTAGCTTTACGCTACCAGCTCGATTACGGGTCGTCCCTTGATCTCTTCGAGTTCGATCTTGTATTGTGCCATATACCTATCCCCTTCTTGTGCTTTGCATATCCACCAAGCCATTGCAAAAAAAACCTGGCCAATGGTTCATCCAGGTACTTTTTGTCATGGAAATTGTGGAAGAAGGAGGTGTTACTGTGTGTCGGCATCTGCCGCGCATTCGCTGGAAATAAGCATCGCCACCGTCAATTCACTCCCCGGTCGGCCAACTCTCAACAGACAATGACCTGCCACCTCTCTGGGCATTCAATAACTGGCGGTCACAGCTTCTAAGATGCTTTGATGACTGTAGGTATATCTTGTTAGTGGCTCTGGCCTTTCTGAGTGGAGTTTCTGAGAGAAAAGAATTCTGAGATTGATTACAACTAGTAAGCAGCAACTACGCCCACCCATCCTCCGCTCCACCAATCGACACCGCCACGCACCAGCAGCATCGACACGAGCGACACGTCTGCGACGCCGGTTTCATCTCCATCCTATCGAACACCCAGTGCTTTGCCATAAAACTAAAGCACCATACCCATCTACTCCTTACTCTCCTCTAACCAAACCCTCGCTATAAACTCCCTCTGCCGATCAGTCAGACACCTAGCGCTCAAGGCCTCCTTAATACGGACTATGTCTTCTTAGAGCTATAGAATAGTATCTAAATTAAGTCTTAATTTAGATACGTTAACTATTATAATATCTATGCCTACTAGGTATATATTAAGCGCGTCTGCGTTACTCACGAGGGCGTACTCACCCATCTAGAGGATCATACTTAGATTAATTAGGCCTATACTATCTAAGCTAGCTTCTAACCTATTAAACCTATCTATTATCTACCTCTATATATTATTGTAGATCTTCTTTAGTAGACGATTAAAGGAAGTAACTATAGTATTAGGGGAATTAGTATTTTTAATAGATATAAGATAGAAGGGGAGTAGAGATAAAAGCTACGAATAGAAAGTTAATATCGTTTTAATAGGAGATTAAGTTTAAATAAATGCGCGGCAGTAATAAGATAAGAGAGATAGATAGATATAGTAAATTTATAGGTATTAGAGAGCTTCGCTATACTACGTGTCCTTATTATAACTATAGTTCGTTATATCGTTATCTTATCACAACTATAGTTCGCTGTTCTGCTGCCTTCGTCGCAACCGTATTATAGTTATCGCACCTAATAGAGTTATACCTTATAGTTATATACCTATTAAGAGGTTTATAAATTATTACTAAACTATTCCTAAGGGTTTAAAGTAGGATCTTATAGACGTAATTCTCTTAGACCCTTACTTAGTTTTTTACTTTAACTACACAGTTATTTTTTTAATACCTGATTTTAGCAGGTTAGGGTGTGGCCTGCCATTCTTTTCTGAGATAAATGATCTGATACGCCACATAGCAAACAGAGAAAAAAAGTCAAGTCATATCTTGTTAGGTGCGAATGGTTTTCGGCTAAGGGGCTTTCCGCAAAAAGTCTCGACTCAAAAACAACGCTCCCCAAGACGGTTATCGAATTTTGCAACTCTTGATACGGATCTGGTGATGGATATCTTGATCATGGATTGGATTTGGAGATATCACGTAATGCTAGACAAGCTTTGCATCTTCGATTAACAGGTAGCCGCACGATTAGGCAATGTTTTATTCTATCAACCAGTTTCGAAGATATCGCTTCGGCTTCACGGAAGCACCTATAAGTATGTGTATACATCGAGAGGTGTAGGGAGTGAGTGTTTTATTTAATATCGATACATCGCACCCATATAACACGATAGATGCATGAACGACAATGCGCAAGGCTAACATGGCCCATTCCTCAGACTCCAGCATTGAAACAACTGATGAGTGTCGTATAGAAGAGCAGCACCCTTCATCCAACCTATAGAGGTCTTCTACACATAGCTAGCACACACAAAACTGAAATGCCCCCCGTGTGGCATCTCAGAACCTTAGTAGACACCTCGACATTCCTAGAGGCATTTTCGTGATAGCATTCATCATGACCAAACCCATGCGTTACTCATTCTGAGTGCTTACAGCATCCCCGTTGTCCCGATTTACTCTATCAGCTGCCTTCTGTTGTTCATAGAACCCCTTGGTGTGCAATATGTTCGCCATTCTTAGTGAAGATGCATCTTCCAACGTTTTCATGATGGCACCACTAAAGGAAGAGAAAACACTTAGATGGAAAAGCATCACAATACAGCTCTTTTTTTTCAGCAGCAAATTCATCAGAATGGTCCCTATCTGTATTAAGATTAGCGAAATGAGAAGATGTAAGCAATAATGGAAACACTTACAGCAGTCTCCCGAGTGACTCGTTTCTGATGCCGAATTGCGTACTTGAGTGCAGCATAGATTTTCATGCGACTATCGTTAATCGCACTTGTTTGGTCACGCCTCGCTTTTGCGTCGTCTAAATGGCCATCTAGTGCGTCATTGCGCTCATTTCTAGCGAGGTCAAAGAGACATAGCCGGGTTGTCTTTGTAGCCCTAACGGCGTAGATGAGGATGACGAGGTGGGTCCGCGAGGAGCTCGCGTTGTTATTAGTAGAGCTACTCGTTCGAAATTCATGAGTCTTCGCGACTAGGAACTCGAAAGCAGCTAGGGAGCCAAACTGATAGCATGGACGCTTCGATGGGATTGGCGGTGCATGCATGCTGACCGGACTTTGATCTGTCTTCTCGATGCCGTAGCGAAGGAGTACCTCCGTAGAGAGATTTAGAGAATCGACATTCGTCCCCAGCGATTGGAAGGCTTCAAAAAACAAATTTCTGTCAGGACAAGGCATCTGAAACAGCTCTTTTCCAAAACTTTGTAGCAGGTTCTGTGTAGTATGTGACTTGCCGCTACCACTGAAGCCATCTGTTCCAATACAAACAATACGACCTTGAGGATTATTCAACTCTGTCACAACAGGTTCCAGCTTGGTATAAATGTCGTGTTCGGTTGCAGTGATGCCAAAAACAAGGTCGAATGGACGCTCCACCCAGTCGTTCTTCTCGGATTGCAACAGAGGGCGGACCCTCAACAGCTTGTTGTTCGTCATATCGAAGTCGCATTGCTTTTCTGCCCGAGGATGGTCTGGTTGTGTTACTCTTACTAGATTAAAATATCGTCCAGCAAAGAATTGTGAAAAATTGTTTTGTCGCTGATGCTCGATTTGGCGAATGATTTGCGTTTGGGTCTGCACTTCTTTTAAAACCGCGCTCTCTAAACATTCTTTTTCACCATTGTGTGGGAGATTCTGCTCAGGCTCGAGGTAAAGATCGTCCCGAACGCCCGAGTCGAACGTTTCTCCATCATCGATCCAATCTTCACTGTTGCCATCAACGGAGCAAGTGCCACTTGGCCCGTTGCCAGTATGGGAAATGACTTGTACTTCGGAAATTTGACGTTGAGATAACCTAGACAACTGCATATATGCACATACACTGGAGCAGTATAGTGCTACATGTCTGTGCTCTTGGAGAGCTCCATAAAAGAAAATCCGACGGCGCTGAGGAAGAGAATTACGATTTTTAAATTCCTTGGACATCTTGGTTGGAATGTGCTTGCAAATTTGACTCCAGATTCTTCTTCCAAACCGTTGTCGTATTGTTGAACCTGCTGTTCCCTTCTTTACTTTTTGCTCTTCTAGGATGATGTCGTAATTGGAGCCTAGGAATATATGATGAATATAGCCGCATGTCATCTGGAATTTGGATAACAATAGACCAAAGGCAGCTGCAGCCAGGGAGACAAGGTAGTAAAGATCCACCTCTAGTGCTGCTGGATCTGCAGGTACATCAGAAGCGTCGGCTCCAATGCATCCGTCGGTCCGCGTTCGAATCCAACGCGCTACAAATAGACACCATAGGCTGCGTGAAATGATGCCTCTCCATCTCATCACCTCTTCTAAACTCTCTGGCTGCATGATGCTGATGGTCACCAATAGCCAGTTGAGAGCGTACAAAACTGCAAACCCAACACTCATTGCAATCCAAGATTCAGTTATGAACCAGAATTTCTGTTCCACAATTTAGACACTTTAGATTCATAGGACATTAGAATAAGTACCTTGAGTATACTTTTGGTCTGCGGTGAATGGCGTTGAACGAATCGTTTCTGCGCCGTTCGCACCGAGCTAAAAAACTGAAATGATGCCATCCGTAAGCTCTTGCGCAATGGCTCAGTCGGATCCCAAGAATAAGTGAAAATTGTGGCGGCGAGCTAGAAGTATATGAAATAAGCAGATTGTGGTGTAAGCTTGTTTGTCGCAGGATCTTCAGACAGCAACACGTGCATGTTTGAGACAAGGGCATTGCAGTTGTTTCACACAAAATGCGAACCATATAGACTCTATGTTCCAGTGAAAAGTTTAAATGTCATAATCATCGTCTTTTGGTATCCATAGAATTGCATATGCATTGCATACAAGCATGATGGAGGCGCAGTTTGCAGAGGAGCTTAAGCTGCTTCTAGATCAAGCTCAGGCTTTCATGGATCGACCAGAGGTATGGTGTTGGTATTTATCCTAATGCATATGCTAATTCTTGTTGATAGGGTTTCGCTGTTACCACTCTTCGGAATGTACTTGACGATGAGCGGCTTGCCACCATAAAACGAATCTATGACAGCTGCACCCGCGACGACTGTGGAAACGAAGACGCCGATTACGATTTCGGAACCGAAGTGCAAGAGCAAGACCTGAGACCACTGCAAAAGAAGCGGAAAATTGGCGGAGAAAAGAAGGGGGTCGTTCTGGGTGGTCCCGCAGACCCATGGAAGCGTATAACGAATATGCGTGAGCTGCCCGCCTTAGCTGATTATATTTGCGCACATATAAGAAAGTATCCAGATATTCAAGATGCCGAGAAGTTTCTCAGAACTTTGTCACTTTCAAGCAGGTGTGGTGAATACGACTCTCAGGACGATTTGGGTGACGCTTTCATGGCTCGCTACTCGTGGACTCAACAAGTCGAGCGTCGCAATGAGCAAGTCCATGTCCTACAGCTTTTTAACGACCTTTTTTGGTTTGACATGATGCAAGTTCTACGACCACGGGGTACAGGGCGTGTGGGTGATTCCATGCTGCAAGAGCTTCGTCGCTTCCTCGCCCCGTTGAATTTCACACAACTAGGATTAGAGCAGGATACCGTTATAGCTAATGTGGGAGAATGGAGCATACGGGGATCGAAGATTAATAAGCTTTGCAAGCTTTACGGTTCTGGGGCGATATTAGTCTTGCATAAGCAGCTCTCTAGAAGCTTGTAAGTTGACTTTCCGAAAAAAAAAGTGTTATCCGGCGTCCGTAGCTTACTCTGCTAGTCTTGAAGGAAAATTCACGGCTTCAGGGCCGTATTTCAAGGGCGCCGTTGAGCGGCTCAACATGTTAGAACTGAAGAGTTATGTCAAAGACACTGGTGCTGAAACACTCGCGGCAAGGATTCGGAAGCTTCTTGTGAAACCCTTCCAGGAGGCGTACAATGAGAAAAACCGTTCGTAAGATGTCGGATCCCTCCTAGCGGTGCATATGACCTTGAAAAGCATACTGCGGCTTTCTCTCGTACCATGAGACACTTTACGACTTCTGAAGTGATTCAAAGATTCACAACGGAATGGGTTCATCATGTAGATACACCACTGGGCTACGCGCACCTCTTGATCTCTCTTGTTAGTTATGTGTACTCAATTCCACATTCAAAAGATATTTCGTTCAATTGCAAATCTGTAGCTGGAGTACGTCAAGTAAGTTGAGACTGGTTCAAAGCATATGCATAAAGAGCATTCTGCGGGCAAACAAGCTATAAGGCACATATTTATTATTCATCAATACCATGCCGTCTGCATGATCCCACGCAACAATGTCCACTCTCGTGTCTAAGCAGGCACGCAAAAGTTTACAGCGGGTGTAAATTAGGAGTCAGGAAGCCAGGCTCCAGTAGCGGTGTGTGATTTGAACTTGGTATAGTTTACCTCGCTATCCGCCACGTCCGCATTCATTGACTGAGCAATACCAAATCTTAGTGAAGTAAGGATTGCAGTGTATGGCATGGTTGTCTTGTGCTATGTACACTCATCTAGATCCTGCTTCAGCTGCACAATAAGTATACTGACCGGCTGCAACGAGAGTCTTCGATCTGCTAGCCATTATCCCATATTATGCTCCTCTATAAGATCAAGCCTGAACCCTTTAGAAACTTGTGATGACACCATTTCGCTATCGTATCGCGCATTCTCGAAAGCCTGGAATACTCACTTCCTCGTGAAGGGGCGGATAGTACACAATTTAGACGAACATGGTTACAGTAATTGCTAAAACTATCGTGGGTTTGGTTTGTTTCATGTATAGAGACACTTGGCTCCAGTCGCTCCAATACCGTTGTGTGGAACGGTGGTGTATCCCTATCTTCTTACTCAGGAGTCGTGTTCTTTAGGACAATGAGCTAACCATTGCCGAACATTCTCCTTTTGCTCATCATTGATATTTGCGCGTCCGTACAGCAGTAAACAGGCTCTATGCCAGTCTGCGTCTTTAAGGATTCTTTTCTCCTCCTCGTGTAGACGTTGTGCTTCAGTGTCGTAGCCTGTTGGTCTTGCTTGAAAAAGATCGAGGATCGGTCGTCGAAGCTGGATTTGGAATAAAACGTCGCGTTGAAAGGGATTATCCGGAGCGGGGGCGGCAGGTCGTAACTCTGGGATGACTAGCTGAGCTAGTAGAAGGTTGTCAACATTGTGCAGCATCGCCACAAAATCATTGACTATGGCATCTGCCAGGGGGGGCTCATGGCCAAGTCGCATCCATACTTTCTCAGAGAAGATCTGGAATTTAGCAGCGCGATCGTCGCAGACAGCATTGCATAGTTCCTGGTGGAGATGCAGGATTATGCCATCATCGGAGACGAGTGGGACCGCCATGGACACGAGATACAAGATGCAAAGATGGTTGAATTTGTCCGTCACTGTAATGCGAAGAAAATAACTACAAGAATTAGAAAGTGAGTTTGTGTTGACTGGACGACGAAAGTTTCATGAAGTGACATACCTGGTAAGAGCAGATGACTGTTCGGGAGCGGACTGTCAATATCTATCACAGGGGACCTTCGGTTGTATCCTGCCCGGCATGTACTTCAAAATCGGGCCAATGACGGGCCAGTGCACTAACTAAGTCCGGTACATCATCCACAGCAATACGCAAACAAGGCAAAGTTCAGGTCCAGCAAGCACCATCCCCGCAACCATCAACGATCATACCAAGACTAGAAAATACAAATGCTCTCGAACGCCTTAGTTATGGCGGTGATCGTGGCCCTTATGCTCAGACCCTGGCTGAACGGCGAAAGCCGACATATCCATTGGCGGCTAGTGAGTACCCATTCGGATTGTTCGTGACTTTACTTATCTAACCTTGCCACAGCAGATAACCCAACTTATAGCTGCTATCTCTGTCATGTTCATGGCAATATTAGTAATCTCATGTGTTGCGACGTGGGTTGCACTTCACTGCCTAAGCCCTGAACACTTGGAACTATTCCTCTCGGAACGGAGTTGGATACAGCGGCGCCTCTTTCAACTAGCACTCATCATTTGGGCTTCCTACTGGCAAAAGATATGGTGTCAGTTCATGATTTCTAGTCAATTATTACACCGGATACTAATGCATCGCAAGGAACCTTCCCATTTCCCCACCGCCGCTGACCAAACCTTCCATCGTATTCTTCGCACAGCACAAAGCTACCTCACAGCAAGTGCCTTCAACGACCGTCTTCTTGCCATCCACGATGTCTTCCACAATCGTAGACTGTCCCAGTCGGTTTATACTTGTGATTGCCACACCGGTTCCCCAGCTTTGTTGTTCCGATACATTGAGTCAATATATCCTGGACTGTGTGGTCCTCAGTTGCTAACCCTCTATTTTCGAGAGTCGAGATATAAGATGCAAAAGCTTTAGTTGTGATGTTGGTAGGTGTGGACATGATGGTATCAGCTAAGCTTTGCGCACCTCTGATCAGAAAATACACGGACTGTACAACAGGCCGGCTTCGTAGCATCATTACAGCAGCAGTTATGCAAGCAAAAATCATCGTTTCGAGCAACGAAAGAGATTTCTTGACCCTTGTTGGCACAATGTAAGCTACGAGAACGACTGCGATTGTCGTAAGGATCACATGCGCGGGCATGTTTTGGCAGGATGACAGCTTTTAGTAGGTACGTTCAGGAATGATATGTTTAAAAAGGTTTTAGATAATCTGGCATTGAACAGCGAGTTCTGTTTATATGAAAGGTAACCGACTTGCTGCCGGTATTCTAGGGCCTTCCGGTCTCCTCACTGAGTGTGTCCGGCGATAACTTCTTCAACTCTCTGGTATTGATTCCCTCTTTCAGATTAATTCTAGAAATATCGCTGAATTTCCTAATATGTTTGACAACAGTTGCTGTTATGTTTGATTGCAGAGTTGTGGCTACATGTACAATGACCACGTGCCGTCTATCTGGTTCATGACACCCAACCTTATCACCTCGGACTTTCAGGATTTGGTTTGCAACTTCAGAATGACATGATGGCATTTCGAGTCATACCATCAGATTTTCAAGACTATATATCGAATTGGAGCATCAGACAAGAACTATCTAATGGTCATAACAGCAGGCTTACAGGCGACCCCTCACCCCTACATTACCACCTACTCGTTAACATGCGCAAATCTTAAAGCCTTTGCATGTTTCTCATTGGATAGACGTCCTTCAGGAAGTCTAGCAACTTATAAATGTTTACATATAAGAGACAGAGTTAGATTGCGAAGCAAGTTCAGTCACGAAGACGTGAATGAGATATCATCCTTCGTTGATTGATTGATTGTTGCAGCTTGAAAGCCGGATCTTTGCTCCATAGTGACTTTTCTAACAGCAATTCTTCCCTCCACAAGGCGAATTGTATTAGTTCATGTTAATGATCGTCGGGGCTGACTAGCTTCAGTAGCGGACCATACTACCCGACATTGAGCTGTTGGAGGGACCCTTGGCAGTATCTATCAGACCACGTCTGAATCCCAAGCTCCCGTATAGTGAAATCATTACAAATACTGCAGTAGGCTAATCAATATTTCAATACGGAAAGCCGAGGCGAACATCAGCCAACACAGTGACGGAGCCAAGATTTGGGGTACCGAAGCCGCGACCACGAAAACCGCCTCCAATCAATTACGAAAGTGACACTTAGTGTACTTCCCAAGTGTTGTGTCACACTCAATCTTCGTATTTGTGTATGCAAGGAGCCTTGATCAAAAGAGAATATCGTGGCTTCTACTAGGCGCTTCTGGATGGCTGTGGTGCATCGTTGTACAGTCTCACCGCCTCCAATTTCGGGGCCAATCAGGCAATTGCCAGTCCGAGGGGCAGTTCAAGTATCACAATCGGTTGGAGTTGTCCTATTCCGTGTGCTCGTCACACTACAGCACATTAATCTTCAAACGACGCCTGTCTCAGTAGGGCAAGTACAATTTTCAATGTACTTGGCATTACGCGAGATGCATTTGCTTCTGTCTAACCTGCAGAAATCCCATAGCACAAGTTTTCCTAAACCCAGCCAGTCGATTGCAGGCGCTTGTTAGCCTTGTTGCACACTCCTTTAGCCTTACCGATCACGCTGCAAAGCATCTAAACGGAGTTGTTGAGCAAGAGCCAGCCTGGACATGGAAAGCAAACCAAGAAAACCGAATGAAATCCACGGCTACCTACTGCGCATGCAATTTTAATAGTGTTGATCTAGAACAATCTTTATCCTGCCAAGAGTTTTGTTCATGTTGCACTCAGTGTACGACGTGAAATGCGCATCTAACGACATGATGGCCTGTATTTGCAACAGCAGCTTGAATCAGTGATTTTCTTAAGCTATCAAGCCGTGTTTGAGGTTCTGTGCCGTAGCTCGAATCCAATCCTTTCACGCTCTTGTAAGCTTTCGGGGGAAAAATCTGCCAACTACTGTTTATTCTTGACTTACACCGAAACTCTTGCGAATCAATATGGTGAAAGCAAAATCTGCTGGAGAGCCAAAGCAAAAAACTGTAGCTAATCGATTCCCATCTCTAAGTGGATGGGGTACGGAGCGCAATGCATTTCGCATGCTATCTGAAGCATGTATCCAAGGGTTCAAGGAACATGGATATCGCATTGGTGTCATTCGCGGTATGTTCTCTGATATCTAGTGTAAAAACTTTAGTTACTAACTTAACATCTACTAGGACCGGATTTCAGTGAGCTCGATGGGGGGCTTATTTTTGACCCTCCGGATGGATTTCCTATGAACATGGATCCGTCTGATGTGTGGGCCTGGGTTCATGAACATAGAGAGGATAGCAACCTACAGGTTGTGCCATTCGACATCAAATCCAGTATCAGCGTTCGGTCATCTCACCAGATTCCTCCTATTTTCATGGTTGCACCTCCTGGGCATCCTGAGATCCTATGCATTTTACCCATCAATAGCTACACATCCATGTTGGCGAGTATGAAGTTGGAATACGCTGACAGCCGTGGTGTGGAGTTCAACAAGGCGCATCGGATGCGACAACGGGAACCTTTGCACGTCAGTTCTCTCTTGGCGCCGTTCGCGGTACACCAGCGCGATCTCTTTCGAGCCCTAGCCGGAATTCGAGATGCATTCAAAAGCCAATCAACTTATAGAAATCCATCTAATGGTATTACGCTGCGAGGCTGGATGCCACCAGAACCTGATTCTAGTCTCGAAAAGGTGCTGATGGTATCGATGAGCAAGCAGGATCATTCCGCGCAGGTTATTCAAGAGCTTGTTCAGACTCTCCATGCTCAGCCAGACTGCCATATAGAGATATTGTTCAATCTCGTGCAGCCACTAGCCTGCGACTTAATACTTCGAGACAACGCATCATCCACGACGTACCTACTTGAGCACAAGTTGAGTACACCTAAAGAAAGAAAGCCTAACACTGCTCCCCTGAAAATCAATGAGACATGGGCGAGTGATAAGCTCAATTGGCATTTTCTCTTCCATCAGCATGGCTATTGGCTGATGATCCATACACGAGAGGGACACAAAGCAGGGAGCAACACGCCCGTAGTCCGCATCGACATGAGGACCCCCGACGCAGCCTCCAAAATCGCAAACACAATACGCGCTCATGGGAAGTTGGCTAAACGGAGACTTCAAAACAAGTGGCGAACCCTGGATTTATACGAGGGTAGCCTCTCGGATGAAACGACTATGTCGACGGAGCCAGTTACCCGAGAAATGACTATACATGGCAGATCAGCCGCGAGAGAGCAACTCCGTATAGCATTCTGCGATGCCATCAATAACCAATGCTATAAGCTGAGGAAACACGCTTGTATCATTCTGGAAAGTAGTGGCTGTGGAGAGGCGGTAATAATTCGACATGACTGGACGGACCGCGATGTGGCTATATACCAGGCAAGCAAATCACTGCCTGTCTCTCTTCTAAGTGGAACACAATCCAGATCTTCTCAAGCGCTCGTACTCAACTTCATCCCTCACTACTGGCCGCCTAGTGTCGAGTCTTTGCAATTGTTCGAGCCGGCACGCCTTAGGATGATTCACATACCACTGTGTTTACGTCAACCCTTCATCTATATTGCTGCCACTATTAGCGCTCAATCTGCTGATCGAAAGGCTTGTATCGAAAAGCTCATCATCTTACCTTCGGAGGATACGGATTGGAAGATTGGACCTGATAGATGCCGTGTTTGCGATGATGAAACTAGAGCGAGAGATTGGAAGCCGGTCGTCCAGAGTTTGGTTGAAAGCCAGGGAAACCACAACCCAGGAAGCTCACTCATACAAGTTCCCTTCCTGAACCAACGAGCAGAGCCACTCTGCAAGGTTTATGATTTCAATGACGGCTCAGTGCACGGTTATCTCGATGGTATCTTGCAGGATCAGAACTCACGTTATGTTACTCCCATCTATGGGCCAAAAGGCATTCTTCAACGACAATGGAATCACGGTAGCCCTCGAATGGTGGATACTGGCTGTTCTAGCACCCACAAGTAAGTGCCTTATTGAATGTTATCAAGCAACACAGTACAAATCCTCTAATATTAGGATTAACATGTTTATAGCATGATGTGTCGAGTCTTAACGACCCTTCCGCCCAACACCGAACCAATGCCGATCGAAAGCATCGAAAGCATACACAGCCGGGAAAAAGAAACGATCATGAAAGAGAAAGGCTGCCTTGAAAAACGTGCGATAGCCTCCGCCCACCAGACTCTGATCAGCAATCCCGAGTACGGTATGCCATTGGCGAACATCCTAGAACGGTCTGGCTTCAAGACAGCTTATACTCTGCGATGCGACAAGTGCACGGATAAAGATGAGTGTTGCTTCTACATCCCAGAAGTTGCGTACAGCCTTAAAGCAAAGATTGCATGTGCAGCTTGCTGGGGTAAATCGAAAGCGATATGCTCGTTCCATGGCATCGCCAATACCCCAGGTCTAGTGGATGCGATGCGCAATTTTGATCCATTTAGGCGCCATGTACCTTGTAATCAGTGCTACGTTGATCGATACGAGTGTGACAATCGAGCAGGGTCTTGCGAAAGGTGTGACACTCAAGGTGAGGAGTGTATACGGGAACTTTGTGCATACGCGGACCAGCCTGGGGACGACTCTAATTGCCCGAAAGATTGCGACAAAGCCCATGACGATGATGGCTACACAAACGCCCGTGCGATCCCGAGGGGTGCAGGATACAATGTGCGTCTGCACTTACGGAAACAAGCGCAAGCACGCAAAGATTGAATCTTGAAAACATCAGCAGGAATAAGAGTCAGGGAATGGTGGATACGTTCACAAGAGGCCAAGTAGTATGAGGGGGGCTGTATTATGCGGCGGATGAATCGTGAACACCAGACGAAATAAGGATGCGATGTTTGGTACTCGGCCAATTGCAATTCATCCCGCACATTTCTCTTTCTCGAATAGTATTCAATATATTTATATTATGGTATGGAACAATTTTGCATCAGACATCGTTTGACCAAATGGTGTAGTGGTTATCACGTCAGTCTCACACACTGAAGGTCTAGAGTTCAATTCTCTGTTTGGTCATTAGTTCACTTTTTTTGCCGATATGTACCTTCCGTCCATTTCAACAATATTACCTGCCCCGAAGGTTATCTTGTGCAGACTACTATACAGGATAAGCTTACTTGTGGGTAAGATGATTGCGTTAAGGTTACTAGGCTTGGATCTATTCCTGTGCAATTGTTTTTTTGTTCGCGACATTGTATAGATGATCCAAACATGTCCCCATTGCCACATACTCGTGAACAAACTTGCCTTTGATGCGCAAATAGTTTTTCTTCGTCAAGTGGTGAATAAACAGCAAGTATTTCTCTCTAGCAAACGTAGGATGTCCTTGTTTGTTCACTGCTCACCATCACTTTAAAACACAGTTCCTCTCGCACGCACTCCAGCAACTCAAATACCTTCACTGGGCAGAAACCAGACCATGCGGACGAAAAGGCTGGCCGTAGTGGATCATGACTGGGATGACTGGCATGCCACGATCGATCCTGAACGACAAAGCCTTCTGTTGCATGAGGACGCACCAGTGGACATGTTCAGAGCGAGCGGTAATATACAATGGGATGACTTGGCTGGAAGACTTCGGGACGTGGAATGTCCTGAGTCGCTCTTTGACGGACATGATACGCTAAAGAATTATGTCAGCGCCATCTTCCTTAGAACGATACCGGTAGTTGCGCTTATCACAGTATCACTCAACAACTACGTGGTGCGCCACAATCTGCCCTGCAAGAACTCTCTCTTCTCTTCCACTAATCTCTTGTGCTAACATTGGCAACAGTCAAGTTTTCTTGGAGCCACGTATCTCTTTCCTTAGGTGAAAGTGATATGTTTATGGCATTTGGAGCTTGGTCTACCAAGGAACAGGAAGAATGGATGTCGATGAGCCCTGCTTATCGTGCAAAGCGATGTACCGTATGGGAGAGTACAATCCGCCAGAGGTATAAGGTTATGCGTATTGCCTTAACAAATGCTAACTAGATGCGTATGCAGTTCACAAGCAATCCAAATTCCCTACACCAGAAAGGAGCAAGTTTCATTCTTCAAGAGTGGGGCTCCGATGACAATGTCTAACGCTATCGTCTGGGCCGCAAAATGTGTACGCGAAGACGGCGAAAAAGATGCTGGAGAGCTTTTTCTTCAATGGCGCAAGGTTGATGCCAACAGAGGCCAATGCACTACGAGCGAGAAACTCTTCAACGTATTGCGGAAGTATTACCTAGAAGCAAGTTCACACAAACAATGGCATGTGTTGAGCCTTAGAGCCATCACAGCTATCCACAACAAGAGGAAGTCAACTAGAAGGCACACGACCACATTTTGGAACAAAGTGGAAGAAAAGATCGCCGATATCCCTCCCATGGTTAAGAAATAGAGACACGAAAGCATTGGAAGGATGGTTGGACTGGGTGAGCATGGTTGTTATGTAGCATAATTGATGTGCTGAGATGAATAGATTTCACGTGCAGATACTTGGTTCTGGGTCGTGATATGCAACTCTCATTTATCATCACTCTTTGTGTGTAAAGGTCTACAGTTGCTTTCCTTTTTTTTAGGGAAGACGCGAAAATTGCTCGAGTTGCCAGCGTTCTGATAGGGTGAAAGAATCTGAGAATCGTTCAACGCTCCGTTGTCGTCTCAAATGTCTAATCGGCATTGTTATCACGCGCACAAGGCAGTCCGACCAATGACAGTCAATGCTGGTGCTCGGACTTTCGGCCTGGCCGGTGGTAACCGAACACCCACACAAAAACGCAAAAAATCAACGGTGATACCAATTAGGTCGATAACTGTAACAGGACATGTCTTGGCTATCAAAGTCAGTAGCGGGATCATACATCGCAGCTTCACCGTCGTTGTAAATTGTCTATGTTTTCTATTCCATTTCTTCAAGGAGTCCCCTGTCTCAATAACAGCGTGTATCGATCATTTCGATATCAAGCTCTAATTGCCGCGCTTCTTTGACATGTCTTCGTCGGAGTCTGACAGCTCAATGAATAAGGGCCTCTTCAAATCCTTGCGAGAGTCCCGCATCTCCCTCTCTTCCACAAGCATATCTACAGTAGGTAAGTGTAAGCAAGATAAAGTGCAAGTAGGCAAAAACTACCTCGAAATCTCCTGAGAGCGTTGTATAGCACTTGAGTTTCCTGTTTCTCTTTGATGAGACGATCTAGTCGTTGTTGCAGATCTTGTACGTCGCCTTCACCATCACCAACATTGTTGACGTCTTCGTTATCCGTATAGTCGTGGTCGTTTCCGTTGTTTTCGCCGTTTTCGTCGGGGCTTCGCTCGTCTCCCTCATGTCCGTCTTCATCATGTCCATCTCCATCTACAAGCTCTCGTATCTGATCGTGCGCGCGACGAATATCTTTATCGAGGTTTTGCTGTCGCCACTCGATATCACTAATGATAGGACTAACAATCTTGTCTTGCATGACCACTGCGACGGTCACGAAAGCGGAGTGCTTGTCGTCAATCGCACTGGTGAGTCCAGCCACATTGCGGTCCTCTATACATCGTTAGAACGTGTGCCTCTCTTTTTCTGCGAAAACACATGAATAAAGCAGAACCTACCAACCAAGCACTCTTGTCCGGCTACTATACGGTAGATGTCATTAGCCGCTGCAGACATCCTCTTCGGCATCGGTCGTAAGGCTTCGATGAAGACTGGCCAACATTTCTGAAGACGATAGGGATCTGGCACGAGGATAGGATCAGGTTGTCGCAACTTCGTCGTATAATCGAGCTTCTTTTCGTGCTCTTCATACTGCAAATCTGTCCATAGCAACTGTCGTGCGAGATCCAGCCATCGCTGGCTGTCTTCGACGCCTGGTATCAGTCCTGGAATCACATCCTGAAACTGCATATGTTGCGTCAGTCGTTGGTATCATGTGCGGGGAATAGTAGCTGCTTACCCATGGTAATTTCCTGCCTTTGCTAACATGCTTCTTGAGTTGCTTTAGGATTTTGCTATCGTCTTCCTCACTCTGAATGAATTCGAAGAGCTGTATGCTATCCATTGTTTAGTCAAACGTGGCGTACGTGCGAAACTACTCGCAGTCTGCTTGCGTTGTAGAAAATGAGATTGAGAGCTTCGGACGCAGAGAAAGACAGGTTGACAAGTATTGGATCCGTGTGCGCGAGAAGGCCTCAGGCACGAATGTTAGTAGCAAACTTACCCTCTTCTTAATTATCTTAGAATGTCTCAGCTTCATGCACGTCGCCGCAACAAACACTGTCGACTAATTTGAGGCGCTGTCGACGCATGAAAGGAAAGCCGACAGAGAGTCGACAGAAAACCTAGTTAATGCATAATCATACAGTTGTCACTTGGTTATAATTTATATATCTTTGAAACGATATGACTAATGAAAGTAGATGTATGCTTGTTCTGAAGCATCAATAGACCTTGTACCCACATCTTGGTAACTCGGGACCTTTCGCGTCCGATCTAACATCAGATGAATAGATATGTGAGGCGAACGTGATAACCAACTACACCACCAGGCCGATTTGATATGAGATGAAAAAAATTAAAAATATTATATCTCATAGCATATGGTGATAATCGTCCTGTTGGTGACCGGATGGAATATAGTAGTAGGCGGGGCACACGTTTACCCCTCCTCCCATTCCAAAATATCAAGTAGCGAAAAACGTCGATTACTACCCATCCTTGACCCACAACAAGCAATAGCGCAACTCCACCACCCTTAGCAAATCCACCTCACCCGCAAGGCCTCCCGCTTACCTGCATATCCAACCCTCGCTCTCTCTAAACCTCCACCCATGTCCCTCTCCCACTCTGCCAATTCTCCTCCAACCCGCTAATCCAACTCCCTTCTATACAACCATGTCGACACTAAACTCGCACCTCCCATGGACCACGTCCCCCCTCCTCATCAACGCCCCCATGTCCGGTTTCGCGGGCGGCCACCTTGCAGCCGCCGTTTCGCTCGCCGGCGGCCTGGGTTTAATCGGCGGAGTAAGAGATATGGGCGAGGTACGCCGGGAACTCGATATCGCTGCCGAATTACTGGGCCAGATACGCGGAGTGGGGACGATGAAGGTGGGCGTGGGGTTCCTGCCGTTTGCGATGGAGTTGGCCGAGGTGCTGGATGTGGTTAAAGAGTATAAGCCAGCGGTTGTGTGGCTTTTTGCGTCGAAGACGCTGGGGGGGTATAAGGAGTGGGTTGATGGTGTACGCAGGGTTTCGCCGGAGAGTAGGGTGTGGGTGCAGCTAGGGAGTGTAGCGGCGGCGTTGGAGGTTGCGAGGGGGGCGAGGCCCGATGTTCTTTGTTTGCAAGGTGCGGATGCGGGGGGCCATGGGTTTGAGAAGGGTGCTTCAATTGTTTCGCTGGTACCTGAGACGGCGGATGCGTTGGCTGCGGCGGGGTTTGCGGATATTGCGCTGGTCGCGTCGGGGGGGATTGTGGATGGAAGGGGGGTTGCGGCTGCGCTTGCGTTGGGGGCGCAGGGTGTAGTGATGGGTACGAGGTTTTTGGCGTCAAAAGAGGTCAAGGTGCATCCAAAGTATCAAGCTGCGATTTTGGAGGCGCAGGATGGTGGGCAAGTGACTACGCGGTCGAAGTTGTTTGATCAGCTGCGTGGTCCGAATATTTGGCCTGAGCTGTATGATGGACGGGGCTTAGTTGCGCAGAGTCATAGGGATTTTGCGAGTGGGATGAGTCTGGAGGAGATTCAGAGATTGCACAATCAAGAGGCTGCAGGTGAAGACAAAGGATATGATACAGGACTGCAAGGCCGTGCGGCGATATGGGCCGGCACAGGCGTGGGGTTAGTAAATCAAATCCAGAGCGCGAGAGATATCGTGGAAAAGATACGGGAAGAGACAAAAGATGTCTTACTTCGAGTAGCAAACGTGTAAAACGAGAAGAATTGGGGAGAAACAAGCCTTTGATGAGATTGAGCCTCTAGTAGTCAGTAAGAATAGTGTCGTGTATTCGCAACCTTAATTGTTTGACTTATTGACATCCAACTATACAAGAGTGATGGTACGTTTTTCCATCACTTCCATGATCTGCATGAAGTAGTCGTATCTTTCTGCTCTTGCTACGGCATGCACTACCTTTTCATCCTCTGAGAGTTCCACATCCCAATCAGGCCAAGAAGTCACCCCACAGAGATCGTTGCCGACCCCAATTGAAGCTACCCCTAACCTTTTGTACTTGCCAATTTCACTGGTTTCCACAATCAATAGTGCGTTCTTCCAGCCACCCATGTCTCGCCGATATACGTCTCTTTTCAGTAATAGGAAAGGTATAGCAAGTGCTTTTGTATCCTGTTTCTCGTAGATATCAGTACTTGAAGGTGTGTCCCAATTAGGATGACACCACGCAAGGCGATGATGCTGGTTTCCTGGTATGTAACCCGGATATGTAGCAAACTCTATGTCACAAAGCCTGAAAACAGGAGCTTGGATGACGATGGCCGCTTCTGTGGCATCTCCAAGGATGGGTGGTCCTCGTGTATTGTACATAATCTTTTCTATCTTCGTATAGGGGATTTTCTGGCAAAGATCAGTGCAGTTCGAATTTTCCCACAGAATAGGGCTCTGACTTGACGTCCATGACCAGGTTGGTGAGCTGTTCGGTCCACGTCTATGACCATAGTTCCCAGCAATATATCTATGCACAGACCATAGAAGATCATAGTGTAAGGTATCCTCCCAAATTCCGTGGATATATCTCTTTTTACAGTCTTGTGCTTGTATTCGACTTGCAAAAGCTGCAATGGCAGGAAGCCTATCCTTCTCAAACGTAATGTTTCGCCACGAAAAGGATCTCACAATTCTGCACCACGCATCTTGTATTGGAAGTTCCATGTTACTTGTCAAGTCTTCTCTCACAAGACTTGGCAAGAGAAAGCGACCATCTGGATCACCCTCGTGTCTTGAACTCGTTCGACAGTACCAAATCAATTCCTCGCGGCCATAATGTATGACACGTGGAGATAAGGTCAGTTCCTGGAACACCCAACCTCGCTTGTACAATGGGAATCCATCATCTGATCGCATATCCATAAATTCCTCCGTTGGATCAGGGCGACGAACATTTCTTCGGACATGGACCCAGGGGTACTCGGGTAGAGGATAGCCAATTCGCCGATTAGAGATGTCATTGAACAGCCCTTCTTCCGAGTTTCGGGCGGCGGCGGCTGCAATGGTCACGTAGCCATTCTGATATACATCTGCCATACGCGAAGCTTGTTGTTTCCAATCCTGTTCGCTATCCTGGATGATGCATAGACTGTCGATCCACAAATAATGAATTCCAAGCTCTTTACAGACAGTCACAGCATCCTGGTACGTCTTTGGGAGATTCTCGATTAGGATTCCGAGGTCCATATGTATGCGCCTATTTTCTTGTATTGTTTTGAGGAGATTCTCTCCACTGCCCCAGCAGTGGCTCAAGCATGCATATCGAGCTGGTTTCGACGACTCCTCTAATGTGATCATATTATTGCAAATGTGAAGAAATCGGATTCCCTCGAGTGATTCCACCTTCTGATCTCGAGTGTTACAAGGTTCGTGTTTTGACTCACATTCACTTATCCACTTCCTTACGGTGTTGAAGCTATCTTTTGACGATGTACCTTTGAAAAACAACTGCATCTGACGTTTCTTGTCCAGCGAGTAGGCAGTATTGGAGTCGTCTAGTCATTAGTGAGTCTTGCATCTCGAATATATCTTTTGAGTGCATACCAAGACTGGGAATTACCAGTTCAAACGGTTCAGAGAAACTGGACTCAACAGTACCATCTTTTCCTAGCCATATACTAATATCGCGGCCACGGAGCCACCTGAGCCCTAGTATTTCCATGAATAAATTCTTTGGAAAAGCAGATAGAAGCCTTTCCTATAGGCAGTCCTTCCACAAAGATTGAGAGAGACCGTCTCCAGGGTCCAAAGTAGCCATGAACCAGTGATTCGTAGCACAATTAACGCAACTATGGGAGAGCAATTCCTCATGCGAAAACATCTTCGGTATTTGGGCAACTCACTTTAAGTTCCGAAGAGAGTGTAGGAGTGAGTAGGCTGTCAGGCAGAAGCATTTGGGAAGGCATAGCCTACAGGTTCCGCCGCTAGACTTACAAAGGGGCTAGCGCGGGGCTGATACTTTATGGCTGAAGATATTCAAGAAAGCTGAACATCATGGTGCTTGTTAAGAGAACAAAAGTCATTGCTAAAAAGTAGTGAGAGATATTAGCTGCGGAAAAAAACAATATAATATTGCTAAAACATCATCTCCACGCACCATGTTTCCATATTGAAAATACAGAAGACAACCGTATTTTTCATTGTCACTATTATTATACGTACAACCCGTGCTCACACTCACAAACCCCTCACCATGCTCCTTAGAGCCAAAGTAACCCCTCATAAAACATTGCTCACTAAAATAAAAAAACAAAAAATGCCCCAATCATCAATAGCCGTAGAAAAAAGAGGGGGGTATCCCAAATCGAAATGAACAAATGCAAAAAAAAATCGCGAGTGACAATTATTAAGTTCTTGACTACCAAACCCACTCCTAGACAACCCACACACCAACGACTCCAACTAGCACACTCAGGATACTCGCCAGATGTGGTATCTGTACACCCCGCGACGCGGCGCCGGTAAATGGTACTACGCTTGTCTGCACGACAGGCAGGGCACTTGCATTGGTCGGGACCAAAAACCCAGGAGCTTCACTGAGCGTGGCTGCTAGCGATGGGAGCGGGCCGCTCATGAAAGGTGGTGGTGGTGGCGCTAGGGAGGTTGGCGATGGTGTTTGGGATGCAGATGGTTGGCTTGAGGTGATTGGGGTTGATGTTGTGATGGGTGAGGATGCTGAGGATGCTGAGGAAGCAGCGGGAGTAGATTCCGAGGGAGCAGTAGACGACGGAGAAGCAGTGGAGGAGTCGGCGGGAGTCGATTCCGAGGGAGAAACAGTAGAAGACTCGGTAAGAGTAGAAGACGACGGAGAGACAGCGGAGGAGATAGCGGAAGAAACAGTGGGAATGGAAGAAGGCAAAGGTACTGCGGACTCTTGGGGCGATGAAGTCATGGCGGGAGCAGACGAGGAAGTCGAAGGTGCAGACTCCTCAGATGAAGTGGTAGCAGGAGCAGGCGAAGAAGAGGCGGGCATGGACTCTGGAGTGGATGTAGACCCTGGTGCAGACGGAGTCTCAAGAGGAGGTTCAGCTTTCATAGTTGAAGTCTCCACCATACTAGTCGGAGCAACCGCCTCTGGAGTGACTGTTGAAAAGAGAGTGAAAGAGAATCCAGCATCTAGTGTCGGCGCCTCAGCAGCTGACGTCGTGCTTGTCCTTGAGATCTTGGAAGTAATGTAGGACGTGGTGGTGATTACGCTAGTCGAACTGCTTTCGCGCGACGTCGACATGACGGGAACGGGATAGTTGATCATCGCCGTTGAGTTGGAATCGACGTAAGAGCTTGCGGGTGCGGTGCTGCTGGTGGCCATTATTATGGTAGTCGAAGCCGGTTCCGAGGGCACTGGGTAACTGGCGCTAGTGTAACTAGCGGAAATGTTTAGATACGGGGCTGTGGATATACTCGCATTAGTCATGCTGGTCGTCGCACTCACGTCTGGGGTAGCTGTGTAGCTTGGGATAGTTGAACAGCTTGTACTGGCTGAACCATCAGGAGAAGCTGTATACGCAGGAGCTGCGTAGACTACACTGCTTAGAGTGGTAGCAGCAGGCATGGCTACTGTGGAAGAGATCGTGTAATTCGCCACTGGGACTGTGTAGACTGGCGCATGAGTAGCATTAACCTGAGGCTCCGGAGCGACAGATTCGCTCACAACGGGGGGCGCAACAACTGGGGGCGCAGGAACGACAATACCCGATGCACCATCGAAAGCAGTCTCTGGCGACTTGCATTCCGAGACGAGAGGGAATTCTGCCTTGAAAATGTTTTGTGCGACGCCGACCTGGTTGAACGGTGGTGGCAGGATCGGAATGGAGACGTCAAAGCTGAGATCGCAAGAAATGGAAACATTGGCTTCAACCAAGGCGATGGGACCCAGCTGGATAAGATCAGGAGACAACTGCGTCGTGCTGTTTGCACCTGGTGCAGACGGACCAGTGGAGCTATTGCCGCTAGCACAGTTCTCGGCAATGTTGGTCGAGAGCTTTGCATCCAGGCGAGGTAGGTCCAAAACAGTAGTGACCTCCGCTGACAACTGGCCGAGGAAATCGAAACCAACTGGGATGGCGGGCTTGAAGGCAAGACCAAGGGTAACATCAACATCTGTAATGTTGACAGTGACAGGCAGGGGAGTAAGAGTGGTGTCCTGAAAACCAACAAGACTGCTAGCACCGAGGTTGGTGAGCTCTACTCGAAGCCTGGAGTTGTCAGGCACATTGAGTTCGAGTCCATAGTTAACCTCAAGCCCACCGCTGACTTCGAATTCAAATGCGATTCTGGGTTCGAAGACAGCGCCTGCATTTCCAATTCCGGGAATAACGAATCCAGCGATGGGGAGTTGAATTAGAGCAATTTCGAACTCGCCGTTGGCAGATGGTCGCGCAAACAGATCCAATCGCGCACCTACGCCAGTAGCTACCAACTCCACAAATCCGCCCGAGATAACGCTCGAAATCTCTTTTCCGTCGTCGCCGCCCTGGAAGATGTCGGGGATCAGGTCGATTTGGGATAGGTCAATGTTGAAAGCACCCTGGTTGAGTGCCAACTGTCCAGTGGTAGCACATCGCTTGCAGCCGATTTCAATAGGGACGGCGACGGGCAATTCAGGAAGGGGAACTACAGCCCCGAGGATCTCAAGGAAATCTTTAGAGGCAAAGGTCTTGTCGACTATCTCAGAACTCAAGTCGAAGAGAGCAGTGTTGACGTCTTCGGATACGTTCTGGGGAATGGCAACCCTGTTCTGGCGCTTGCCCCGAATCATGGCAAAGTCGGCATGGCGGCGAACGATGTGATCATCAGTGGTGTGACCGAATGTCACGTTCATACGGTCAAAGGCCTGTCGCCATGTTGTCTTCTTGACGGACAGGTCGAGTGCTTCTCCATCCTCGGAAAAGGATACATCGGTGACACTAAGGTTGTCAGAGTACGATATCTTGGGAAGAGATGCAACTTACCGGTAAACTTCGCGCTCACCCTCGTCGTTGCAGCTCTTGTGTGAAGTGATGATCAAGCCACCGTCCTCACCATAGGCGGCTCGGGCATCTCGGGCAGACGAGGCATCAACGAAATGCAACTTCATAGCATCGTTGCCACACTCGACAGCTTTCAAGTGATGCTCATGCTCTTCGAGGGTGAACACTGGCTTCTGCGAGCTGACCTTGACCTGGGAAGCAAAAGTCGATGCATCGCTCCAGGCATTTTCACCTAATCAATCGTCAGCCCGGGTATGCATAAACCTGAGTAAGCAACCTACTCTCTACATAAGCCATCTCCGTCTCAAACCTTTTGGTAATGCGAACGCTTCTTCGATACAGGTCGGACCGTTTTGTGGCAGCCCTCAAGATGCGTTGCGGTTTGGCTTCCAAGCCACGCTCTGCAATCGCATCGACATTGTTTCCCAACGTCGCAACAACGACGACAAGCGCGTGTAGAAAATGCATATTGGCGCGCGCAATAAACACTCAAAAAATCCAAAGGAGAGTTAGAAGGATTCCCTGAAGCGAAGACTCTTGCACAAACCTCGACCTCGACGTAACTGAAAAGAGAGACAGTGGTGGTGTAACAAACAAACAAAAACAAAAGGCGCAACAAGGCCGATACACGAAGATAGAAAAAAAGGAGTGACTGAGACCAACACAAAAGCTATTGTGCAAAAGAGCGTCTGAGAAATCTTACAACAAAAAAACACAATATCAAACCGACTTTTTGCTCGCCAGCGAGAGACCACGATAATAAATGCAACGAACGAACGAACGACTGAACGAAAGAAGAGACTCAATGTGCAACCCACGACTCGAAAGAAAGTGAAAGTAAACCAGCTAGTCAGGAAACTGCACCAGGGTCAGGGCATCAAGTTCATAACTATAGGATTCCCATAATATCACATCACCCAGCCTAGGCCCCCTCCCCCCAATTCCTCCATTGGGACAGGGTCCCCGCAGGAGTCTGCAATAGCCAAGGCGTTTCTTACTAGCCAGGAACAACGGCTGCACAACCCCTACCAAGAACCGTGGAGTGGGATCTAGGCAATACATTGTCGCAAAGGACTCCTTGCAGCCTAGTTTTCCCTTAAAAGGACGTATCAAGTATCGTTTGCCTATCCGATTTTTCCGTCGTCACGAGCTGTTTGTGCAATGCACACACACAGATGCAACACTCCACATGCTCTTTCTTACTCTTGTGCGTTAGCAACGACAACAGGGTGCGCAAGGCCGGTTCTCAAATTCCCCTTCAATGCGAACAGCGCGTAGCCCGCGAACGTGCGAGGTGCGAGATAGATTACCCCAACTGCATCGTGCGTCGCAAAACGGTCCTCTTAAGGTTCTCGGCTCCTTGCAGCGCAGCAGCGCTACACCTGTCAATTGCGCCTATCGTCCCGCTGCCACTTGCGCGCGGGAAAAGGGAAAACCTTAAAAACGAGCGCGTGTGTGTGTAGTACAAAAGATGCAGGTTCGGCGCAACGGCAAAGGGGGTGGGGGAAACAGGATGAGACACGACAAGTGTTTGAGGCACCAAAAGCGTCTGTGGTTCTTGTGCCTCAGGTTCACGCGCTAAACCGAGTTTAGCAACGGGGCTGAGACGGTTTGAGTAAACCCCCCCTACCCGTCCCCTTCTTCTTGGCTTTTGAACTATCAAGTATGGGAGATGGTGATCCTTGCCTGCAACGGTATCAACAGTGCTGTCCCCCCCACTTCTGATCATGTGTGTAGAGTGAGTCGTGAGGCGCGAGGCTGAATATCGATGGTACCCCTGCGATACCACCTTGTGGCTATACGGGTTTGTGTAGAATTTCACTACTCGCGCAGTCTTGGGATCAGGCCTTCTTTGCAAGGCAACCAAATGCATGAAGGGGAGGGGAGAGTGAGAGATGGGGGGGTTGCGAAACGAGCCTAGAATAGCTGTGTAGTAGTGTGTAGTTGGACCAGACGTCCAAGCGTGAACAGGCGATGAAGACGCGATATCACATGATTGACGTGCAACCCAAAATAAACAAAGAGAACACATCGTGGCTATGGTATCTACACAAATGTCGATCTTACCACATCCCTATATCAGCCCAAAGAAGTCTTGAATAGAACGTGACGTCCAACAACACTACTACTCCCACTACAACCACCAAGACAAACAATACCACCTCGCAATCTCCCCCTTCCCACCCCGCCAAGCCCCCACCAACCCAGGCAAAACCTCGGAACCCCCAACCTGTCACTCCCTCAGTTCCCAGTGCCAATAGCCACCCCCCCTCTTTCTCCACCGACTCTCTCACCACCAACCAAACTAACCCACCCCCTCGCAACCATCAAACCTCAGTGCAAACCATGCCAGCAAGAGCAAGTGAAAAAGAAGAAAAAAAAAGAAGTTGCATCCTACCGGCCTTACCCAAGTATCGAAATAGGATGCGAATTACGCCGAAGCAAAGACTATCGAACTAGTCAGGCACGTTGTTGAAAGCTAGTCAGGTAAATTGTATTCGAAAGACGCGGGAGTGTGTACTTCCAGGTTTGACCAAAAAAAAGGGATCGGACTCGAGTCGTTATCAGCACATTCATATCACAATCACCCGGCTAATGCACAATCCGAAGATATAACGACTGGGATGTTGTATACCCGACTACAACGACGCTAACGAACAGGAAGTAGTTCAGCAGTCTAGCCCGGATTCAACGTTCGCATGTAACAATCTGAGCGTAGTCATAGAGATGCAAACGAAGACGAAGCTATAGCAGGCAATATTGGCAAATGATAAAGATTTTCTTCTTCCTGACTCATCAAAAAAGAGAGACATGTAAATATATAAAAAAAACGCTGGGAGGTTGTGGGGGCAAAAAAAAACATCCCCTTTCAGTCTATAATAAAGAAAAAAGTGTGAGTGAAAACCGTAAAATATCCAAAAGAAAGGAAGAAGGGGAGGAAACGAGAGAGAACCAAAAAAAAAGATAAAAATGCGGTTATGTGGTTTGTTCCCTCAATCGTTTCCCCCTCCTCCCTCCCCTCTCTCAACTCTTTACTTCATGCGACATTTCCGTATCAATTTTTTCAAAAACAGCCTTCTCTTTTGAGCAGGCCGTTTCCGCGAACGTCAGCTAGAAGGCTGAGAGGGGGGTGGTTGTTTCTTCTTGAGTGTGTTGCGTCGCTGCTTCTTGTTGTTGTCGGTGGTGGTGGCGGCGGCAGCGTTGTGACCCTCGCCGATACCCTCACCCGGTGATACAGCGCTGACGGCCTTGCTGGCACCAACAGTGATGCCTTTGGCGCCGAACTTGCCCGCCATGCTTTTCGTGCTTTGCTGGCTGCCGATGCTGAGTCGCCTGGCCGGAGTGGGACTTGCAGGGGTGGTAGATTGAGAGGGGTCGGTGCCGGCGACTTCGTCGGAGGACCACCAGCCTTCGGGTCGGGATGTTGAGGTTTGGGCGGTAGTCTGCGAATTTTCGGGGGAATCAAAAGTGAGTGAGACTCGGTTTGTCGGAGGTGGCGACATGATTCTGCTGCGGATTGACGGGAAGAGTTCCTCCGTGTTCAGCTTGTAGGCAGCTGGATAGGACATTCTCGACGCTATAACGGGGCTGGTAATCACCGAGGGACTGTCAGCTGAGGATGGGCCATGGTAGGAGATTGCTCGTCGGGTTGGGGGAGAGCCTCGCCTGGGTCGGAGGGTGGGTGAAGCTACCTTCCTTTCGTCTCCTACATCGTCGTATCCTTCTTGCTCGGGCAGAGTATCGATTCCTGGTAGGAGACTTCTGTATGTGACTGGTGACCGCCTCTTCTCTTTAATGCCATTGGGAGTCTCGCTTTCCGTGACTGCGAATTTTTCCAGGTACTCAAAAACATGTGGGAAGACCAGAGTGTTGACAGATTCTGCCCACAAAAAGTCCAGATGCTCGTAGTGGGGGATCTCCTTGGCGATTGTGTGAGAAGGGAGCTCCTTCAACATGATGTTGATATCAACTAGACTATCCGACCCACCGTAGACCAGCACAATGGGCGTTTTGATATTCTTAGTGGGAAACTTGGCAACCTTGTAGTACTTGGACCGGTTAGAGATGATTGGGTTCGAATCATCATCGTCGTACATCTGGAACGTGCCATTGCGGATGATTTGGAACCAGTGGACAACACTCTTGGTAGAACTGTAGGAGTAGAGATGAGGATACGCTGCGAGCTTTTGCTCAGGCAAAATGTTATTAGCGGTCCATCCGAAGAGAAACCTCAGGGACTTGTCAATCACACGGACAAAGATGGGCGGATATAGAATAGACTGCCACATGGTGGTCGAGGGAAGAATGGATTTGCGGCCAAACGCAAGGTAGAGAATGTTCGGGGAGGCTTTTACAAAGGCGTCGACGATTCCAGATGCAACGCCCTTGGGCGACATGGCTGGCGCCAGCGCAATGAAGACATCGACCTTTTCGTTGAGCGTCGGGTGTATGGATAGCGTCGCAAAAGCCTGAGCGGTTCCCTGGGAGAAGCCAATGTACGACAAAGACGGCTGGTGGGTCGTCTCGAGAATGTATGAAATCGAGTCGGGAATATCGTGAAAGGCGAATTGGTCCATGCTGAAATTCCAGAAGCTGCTCGATGTCGGGGGCGTATGCACACTCTTCTTGGAGTACTTGTTGCCGCGATTGTTGCCGAGCCAGACGTCGTAACCACGCTCTACCAGCTCAAAGGGCAGGCATCGTTCCTTGGCCGTTAGGCACACCCACACCTCGCTATTCATCATGAGGCCATGGTGCAGGTAGACAACCTTCTTCTTCTGGCCCTTTGCGCGGTCGCGGGGGTTGACTCGCACATTTTCCTCGCCCCTTTTCCAACCCAGGCGGTGCAGGCCTAGCAGATAGCCGTCGCCCGTCTGGACAATGTGCTCTTCGCATTCGTATCCGTAGAGCTGGCAAAGCTCGGAAAAGTCGGAGGCATTGGCAATGGAGCTCCAGACGGCTTTTTTCTTGTCACGCGAGCGCTTGGACGAGGGCGAGGAGCAGTAGTTGAAGAGGCGGCGAGTAAGGCGGTAGCAAAAGTTGATAATGGGCGTCGGCAGGGCGAGGGTGATGACGGCAATGAAGGACTCGAGGATGATGAGGGAGATGGACAGGAGCAAGGCAATGTACTCGCGGATGTGCAGGCGCGAGAGAAAGGGAATATGCAGCGCCATGGCGATGGCGGTGGCAGCGAGATGCTTGGGGGGCGGGCGGGACGCGAAAGATGAGACTGTTATGGCAACGGGCAAATGCTCAGTCGACTGCAACGCCAACGCATAGCCCCTCTCTGCGCGCGCCGGGGCCTGAGAAACGTCGAAGCTTGAGCCTGTCTGGGAAAGACGGTGGCCCAGCCATGGGAGTCCAGCCGTGTGCGATGGGGAAAAAAATGACGTTGACCGACACTACTGCACCGCCATGGTATTGCTCTGCGGCCATGTTTGGCATGTGACAGCCCATCTTGCCCAAGC